GTACTTACAAAAGATGGTATTGAGCGGTGTCAAAGGCGGTCTAAAACTGGTAAGAGCTAGTCCCAATTAGGCGATAAAACCATTAAAATCAGGCATCCGACTGTTGGCCGCTATACACCTTCGTACCCTAACCGCAGACGACAAGGCAGCGGTCTTGAAAAATATCGCAATCCAGGTGCCGATCGTCACCATCAGCACCACCATCGCCCGCTCCGCATTTATTATCTACATCATCCCCCTGGTCGGAACCTACAAGTACTACCAGGCCGCGTTATGGGTTGTTTTGGCGATTCAATTCGCCGGGAACGTTGCATCGGCCGTGCTACCGCTTAGCATCTGTCGCAACGTAGCCGCTCTCTGGGACCCAGCAGTCGCCGCTGCGACGACCTGCGGCAACCTGAATGCCGTGATGAAATTCGCCTACTACTCCAATACATTCAACTCAGCCACCGATCTGTTTTTGGCCGTCTTCCCGACAGTCGTGTTCTGGAACTTGAATTTGAAACTACCCATCAAGCTCGGTTTGATCGCTCTTCTCAGCTTAGGCATTGTGTAAGTACCTCTACCCAAACCGTATAGCCACAATATACTGACCCTGCCACAGTGCGATGATCGCGTCCATCATCAAAACAACCAAACTGGACTCCGTACCTAGCATCACAAATACCGGAGCCGCGGGCGGCATCGAACTAATCCGCTGGGGATACATCGAAAACGTCATTATCATAATCACCTCCTCGGTCCCCTGCATCCGCCCCTTGATCATGTCCTCCGTGCGCAAGCTCTCCAGCGGCAAATACTCCCACACCTACGAACTCGGCATGCCTTTCAGCGGGCGCAAAACGACCGGTGCCCCAAACGAGACGAATCAGTCGCGCCGCACGCGCAGGTTCAAGTCCGATGTCGAGAACAACAGCATCGATCGCATTCTGGGCCATGAGCACACAGCGCGCACGGGCACGTCTATCGAAGGCGCGCCCGATTCTCCCACTTCATCCGGTCCGGGCATCACGAAGCAGGTGGAGATTTCTGTTTTCTCGGATGTCAGACCGCCTATGCAGAAGGATCGCTCATTCGGGAGTTGAAGTGTATAATTAGTTTCTAGGACCAGATTTGTAAGATCAGCTACGCCGTCACGAATATGTACCTATACACACATCCTTGTGAACGCTATGAAATTTATGTGCGTAATAATCTCATACTTACTACTCCGTATTCGACCCTCGATTCCCTTTTCCCTCATTCCCAGCCCCCTGGTTCCATACTACTAGTGCCGACCCGGTGGGGTCGATCAAACCGGCTATGCCAGATCCTGTGCATGAGCCGACCACATGGCCTGCGTCCTGTGCGGTGCTGCTGCGAGCGGTCTCATTCGCGGAAGTGGGTATCGCCGGCCCTTATACCAGGAACACAGTGGAGCTGTTTATATAGTGCACACGTACTAAACTCTCTTTGCTCCGACGCATCCCCTTAAACAGTCATATATATCCCCACCTCGTGGAAAGAGCCACGTATTTCGCGCTAGCTACTGTGGGGATTGGACACACGCCACATGTTGTCTTGGTATTCCCGGGACTAGTAGGACGCTTTGACTAGGTACGGAGGGGAAGAGCTAGCTAGGGCTCGGAAAATACTTGCCGATCGTGTGTAATGGTTCGTGTAGGTCAGCACTAGCGTTATCGGACGATGGCCGAGTTGAGCGAGATGCATCCACTAGTCATACTACTAGTAAGATATTACTTCTAGAATTGAGGAGATTCTTGCCGACCTCATGCTCTGGGTTGATAGAGTTTGGTATAATTATAGCTCTCAATTTTATTCTCTAGACATCATCGCTCAGGTTGATCTCAGCGCAGATAAACGAAGGCTTCTTCATCAAGCACATAGTCAACGAACACCGTGAAGAATCCCTCTCAAAGGAGGTGTTGGTAGAATGGCCCTGGGTTTGAGCCAGAGCAGGGGTTTAGTGCTTCGATCTAGACCTCACGTTCGACTATCAATACAGGCTAGCGATGTGGATGAGGTTAGCGTGCTATCAACAAGCATCATCTCGGACTTGTTGGGTATTCAGACTTTCAGCTATGTACCCAACCAATTTGAAGAATTTTATTTAGACATAAGTTAATTCAAATACAGATTCCCCGAAAAAAGTCAAATGCCAAACAGAATTGAATGGAAATTCACAGCTTCGATTGATACAGTCTCACATTGAGTAAAGTGAGAGCTGGTCTAAGGCTCATGAAGCCGAGAGAGAGAGAAGAAGTTGATTCTCTACAAACAAACAGAGAGCCACTTAGGTATCTGGATGCAGCCTATCAAAAGGACAAACACGGCAGATTATCCTCCGGATGGCCAGATTCTCTTAGCCTCTATCTTCTCAGCTGTATCACTGCGACCCAGTCACTTCGCATCAAGGTAAGATATCAGAAACCGGAGATAGAAAGAAAACAAGATGAGATAGAAAACGCCGTAGCGGCTCTCTAGATCAGCGTATTGACCCATGATCTCTGAGAGGAGATTTAGAGATCAGACGTATGCCGGTTCATAGTTGCGGTCGCAGGAAGAGACCATCTAGGAAAATCCCGTGGGATCGTGAGCGCAGACGCATCGCAGAGTTCTTTGGTGGCCTCAACGCCCACATCCAGTACAAGGATTCGCGGCGAGACTAGGATTCACTAGCCCACTCTAGAATCGCGCAAAAGTCATAGACGTCTCCCATAGGACTATACACTGGGGCGCGCTCTTCCTCGTTGTCTCGATTCCTTCGATCAAAGCTGACGGAGCTTCAAGTCGAACATTTCGGTGAGTTGTCGAATGTTCTGCTTGGACACAGATGATGGCTTGTAGCTGCTTGGGTAGTATCTTTTGGAGTTGAGAACTGAGGGTTGAGGGTTGAGGGTTGAGGGTTGAGAAGAGGAAGAAGAGAGAAACCTAAGTAGTGGGAATATATAGGATTAGGATTTGACTACACAGAGCGATACCATCATTTCCTTATATCATAAGTGTCATAATTCATGATAAGATACTCAAAACCACACCAGCATTCCCTTCAATCTCCCATCATTCACACAACCCACCTAGAACAAAGGCATCTTCGCCGTATTCTCATAATCCACATTCCCCTCCACAGCCTCAATACGCTCCATAGAAGTCCCAAAAACTCGATCCCACAGTCTCGTCTGCTTCCCATAGTTATGACTCTTCCGCCAGCCCTTCCGATGATGCAAATCATGGTCCTCGATATTGATTTCCACCCCGAACCTCACCAGTAACCAGTTCAGCGTTGACGGCACACCCGAATGCATCCGCAATCCACTATGGCCAAACACCTCCCCAAAAGCGATATATTCATGACAGATCCACCACTCGTAGAACCCCATCGGCAGACCAACCAGCTTTAGACTAAAGTACGTCATCATCGGAATAACGAACAGATCGAAGAGTTCCTGCTCGTGGTCTGCGTACGCAGAGAGGAGCGGGTTCGGGTGTTTGGTCAGGTGGTGGGTTCGGTGGTATTGCCAGAGATAGCTGACGTCGTGCATCAATCGGTGGTACCAGTAGTACCAGAAGTCGAGGACGACACCGTATAGTCCGAGTTCGAGGGGTAGCCAGCTCCAGGACATCTGCGAGGGTCGTTGTGTTTGGTCGTAGGATAGGACGATTGAGAGGATCATTCGGGATCCGGTGAGTTTGTATAGTGAGGTAACTACTTTGCCGATGCCGACGTCGGGGATGCCATCCCGTGCGTGCTTGTCGCCGTCGAGGAAGCCGTATTTGTGGCCGAGACGTCGGAGGATGTGCATTTCGTGTATCACTATCGCGTTGAAGGCGAGGACGTAAAAGGCGACTGCGACGATTGGGCTTATGGTGCGGCCGGTGAATGCCATGTAGGTCTCGTGGAGGAGGAGGGGGATGGCGGAGTAGAAGAGAACCCAGCGTTGAAGATGCCACTGGGGCATGTGTGGCACTTTATCATCTTTGCTATGCACTGGTACCTCCTTGTTTATGTCGATGGGGTAGGCGTTGAGTGTGTCGAGCATGTGATGATAGATGTTCCACTCGCTGCGAGGTGCTGTGCGCCATGTTGATTGCATGGAATCTTTGGATAACGGTTTAGCATGGTTAGAATCCATGATGGATGCTCGAGTTGGACTCTGTCATCTATAGCAGCGGCCATCCTGCTTATATCATTCCCACGAGGGCGCTGGTTACACAACATTTGAATGACGTGTGTTCACTTCCCTATATGGATCAGTTTACCCAACAGGAGACGGTAAAGAATGCTCATTTGAGGATTGGCTGCAGATTATGTCGTTGGGAATGGCTAAGCCTGACATCAAAACGCAGTTGCATTGACACCAAAAGGGAAATCAATGACAATCATTGCGATTTGTGGTGTGAAGATTGACCTCTGAATAGACTCAGAAGACGTGGGTCGAGTCGACACCGTGCACTCGGCTTGAGCCTCGGTATTTCAGCATTTGATCGTGAAGAGTGGAGCAGCGACGTCAATTCATTTATTGCCTGTGTTCACCGCTTCTCAATAGGGAGTGTCACCTGACTGGACAAATAACTTCATAAAATGGGGGATAGCTAATTGGTAGACATGGCCGGTTATTTAGTGCGGGTGATCTGCGCTAAATGCGGGATTTAATTTACAAGCAGGACTAAAGTCGACGTGGAGTCATGGACCCCGAAGGACGAAATATTGCCGACTTTGACTTTCCTCGCATCCCCGATACAATTCAACATCATCAGTGACATTTATCGCCTCTATTTGCCGCTGAATTACATCTCGATCTGGAGGTCGTCTAGGCCCCGGAGGATGTCATGCCATTAATCAGGCCCTGTGCGAGGAGCTTCACCTCAACCCCGTTGTGATTTCGTTGATGAAGCGACTGCCATATTTGCGATACTTGGGATCAGCGGTGGATATCGAGTTCATCTATTCACACTCCCGAGCATTTGTGCATATCGAGGACTATGAAATCCGTGGGGGGCGCGATCCGGATCGGTTTAGCTATAAAAAGCCGAGGCCAGACTTCCAGCAGGCTGAGTGGAAGACTGCTTCAAAGGTTACTTGGAAGCGGATTCAGCTTGGTGATCCAGATTACGAGACGGACAATGATGATGAGCTTGAGCCCGAGGTATTGACGAACGGTCAAGATGACTAGTTCTGATATGTGGAATGGCTTTGGGGTAGATCGGTGACAAAGCCAAAAGGAATAATTGTTTGACTTGAAGGCTCCTTCCTAAACCTGGGGCCTCGTGTGAACAAACAAAGAAGGCGCAATGCATGTGACATTGACATTGTCAGGGAAGGTGCGAGGGAGCTGTCGCATTCGAGGAAGGTACCGTTTGTCGAGGGTATAAAAGGACCCTTCCCCCCATTTCTCTTCTTCTCTCCTTCTTCTACTCTCCCAATCTCTCTGATCACCATCTCACCGTAGCCCCCCGAGACAGCGCAGGCAGAGGGACCCGTAGCACATGCTGCTTCACCTACCACAGGGATCATAACATTACCATATGTATGAGGTCCATGTAGGTCTGCACCACACATCAAACCCAGCTTTCTCGTGGACGTTCCTAAAGTCGTGGCTCTCATTGCCACTCGACAAGTCCCACGGAATACATGAGGGGTGTAAATCTCCGTAGCCGAGGACAGGTCGCGTAGGTTTGATCTCCATGCAAGCATCAAGCCCAGCGAACTAACTGTTCTTTGGCATTGGGTTCTAAGTTGAAGGTTGTCATGGCAAGACAATATCTTAAGATGGGTTTAGGATGACCAATACCTAAAGTGGAATAACTACATAGAGGACCTAGGTTTCATTGAGTGTATTGAAATTGCATTTTGCAGGATCATCCCGATCCAAACTATTGACGCAGTCATATAGAGGCAACAGTCTAACTAAAAGTCTAAGCGCTCGCTGCGACCGGCGCAGAAGTAGCCTCGGAGTGCACAGGAAGTGGAGTAGGAGCAGTGGCATCAGCCTTGGGCTCAGGCTTCTCGAAGCTCTTCATGGGGTAGTATCCCCAGCGATCGAACATGGCGCGGTCCTCGTCCCAGCCACTGCAGTCGGTGGTGAGCATCTTCTCACCGGTGAAGATAGCGTTGGCACCTGCTTGGAAACAGGCGATCTGCTGCTCTTCGGTGAGCGCGATGCGACCGGCAGCCAGGCGAACGATGGTACTGGGCATGACAATACGGGCGGTGGCGACGGTGCGCAGCAAGCGGTCGAAGGGGATCATTTTGCGGTCGCCGAGAGGAGTACCGGGGATAGGAACGAGGGCATTGACGGGGAAGGATTCGGGGTGGGCGGGCAGGCTGGAAACGGTGTGCAGGAGACTAATGCGGTCGCCGTCACTCTCGCCGAGACCGAGAATACCGCCGGAGCAGACGTTGATGCCGGCATCACGCACGTGCGAGAGCGTCTTCAGGCGCTCGTCGTAGGAGCGGGTGGTGATAATGGTGGGGTAGAATTCACGCGAGGTATCGAGGTTGTGGTTGTAGGCGGTCAGGCCGGCCTCCTTCAGCTCCTTGGCCTGGTCTCCGTCGATCATGCCCAGGGTCACGCAAACTTCCATGTTCATCTCGCGGATTCCGGAGATCATCTGCTTCACGTTCTTGAGACTGGTCTTGCGGCCACGCATGTCGCGCCAAGCCGCGCCCATGCAGAATCGAGTACTGCCATTGGCCTTTGCATTGCGGGCTTTGGCCAGGACGTCGTCGACGGGGCTCATTTTGGTGGCCTTTAGACCTGTGTTGTGCTTGGATGACTGGGCACAGTACGAACAATCTTCACTACAGCCACCGGTCTTGATGTTCATCAGGGTGCACATCTGGATAGCCGCGGGGTCATGGAAGCGACGGTGGACAGCAGCCTAGAGGGGTCAGTATAGGGTCAGTATAGCTGAAAGTCGGCATCAAGCCATATGGTGAATTGCACTTACGGCCGCATAAGTGAGCTGGCTCAATGGCGTCTCGTAAATCTGCTTGACCTCATCTAGGGTCCAATTGGTCCGGGGACCGGTAGCACCCGTAGCATCGGTCAAGGTGAGGGGGATGCTGGTCAATGAAGCAGCACTGGGGGAACCCTGGACGGTACCGTAAGACCGAACCAACGCTCGGGACAAGGAGCGAATGGGAAGCGACATGGTGGTGAGTTGAGAGAAAGGAGAGATTGATAGTAGGATGACTCTGAGAGGGGCAGTCCGATATTGATTCACCGGTTCAATCGTGTGGGGAACAAAATACCGCCGGCTCATTGGGCTTCGTCTCGGGAAAATACTTGCTGACCTTGCTATTTCCCGTGTGGAGATCCTTTGAATACGGTTGAATACTCCGTTGAGCCAATTCCCAACATGTCCATTCTCCCCGGGCGATTGGAATTGACTCGGCTGTGACTTGTCCGTGGGGGATTTCCCTTTTGGGCATATTCCACTTGACGAGATAAGCGCGTATATTCTTTTACAGCTTCGATTTACTCGTAATTATTGCAATGCTTCCTTCTTTCTCTACAACCTTGGAAATATCTTCCAGTACGTCATGGCTATCCACACTGTCTCCAACCAATGATATGCCTTTCATATAGCCGACACGCTCTGACTAAATATAGAGAGATCAACACTTCTAGGATCAATCTGAACCCTCAACATATTAACTAACTGTTAATAACAATGAGATTGTTCCATCTTAGCCTATACGATAGGTAAGAAAACCCAACTGTATAGGAGGGTTCTGCAATTGCAACTCAATCCAATATAATATGTACATAACCCAAACTATAGCCCAAGCAAAACAGACAATGACAGAGATGAATCCCCGCTCAAAACACCCATCGTGGCACCAATCCTCTAATGCCAATTGAATGCCCAATTCAAACTGCAAGCGGACCATTTAGCCCTTTTCATATTCCCTGCACGGTCGCATAAGTGAGGACCAACTTGAATCCTGAAAAGGCGGTAATCAAGATCCACACCGTAGGATCAACTGAAGAAGCATGACCACAAGGTGAGTGGGTGTATACCTCTGGGGTCTCAGTTTGAACAGACACGGACTTGCGACTTTCGGTAAGGCGTTCCAGGTTAGGCAAAAGGATGAATCGCCGTTTAATACGTTCATCAGCCTCGATGATTCGGTGCTGGATTTCTTTGGCGCTTTATAGCCGAGGATACTCGTTTGACCCGGTTCGCTGCATCCGACGAGCATAGCCTCGGGTTGCGATTGGCTCTGGGCTCGATAATCTCAGAATGATATTATGGCGGGCGATCCAATTTTGATTAAGACTTCGATGATTCCGCAGAGGCTTCTCCTAAGAATCATTGAGCGAGATTGCGAGATCTTCGATCGTATACTTCATTGGTGGGCCACCTGTACCGCCTGGTCTGGAGCAAAGATGCAGGATTCAAGTAAGCATAACGCTTTCCTTTGTGTAGCCCTGCAGTATTGATTGGCATTTGGGAGTCTTTTCAAGGACAAGTATCCTTCAGCTAGCTTATATGGTGCTGGTAAATGATTAATAGATGGGTTCTCAAACAAGCGCTGCGTGTGATCTTGGAAATAACTACATCACTTTCATATGCCACAGATATCGGCAATTGACCCAGCACAGAGCGCTTCATTTTGATCAGGCCGAATAAAAACAGATATTGAACAATCTCCAACTCCCTTCTCCAAATCTGTGTGTTAGTCTCCCCTGTCGGGCCAAGACCTCCGAAACATCGGACTGGGTTCCGATGCACATTAGCGCTAACCCGATTGAGCCGATAAAGCCCGATCGTTCAATGATCTTTAAAGAAAGGCAAATACCTTGAGATCGATCGATGCGAGTCTCTTATTTTAATTTTCAGCATATCCAATCCAAAAAGTATGCCCCCTAAACGCGATATCCGCATCGGAAATGTCTCCGGCGCAACCGGCGACAGCCCGCACGCCATGCGGCGCATGGCGCAAGATGGCAACGTCGATGTAATTGTCGGTGACTGGCTTTCAGAGATGAACATTGCCTGGAACGCCATTGCCAAAGACCAAGATCCATCGTTAGGCTACGAAGCGGGCTTTTTGACGCAATTATCTGAATCCATTGATCTAATCGTGGAGAAAGGGATCAAGGTCATTACTAATGCGGGTGCTTTAAATACACAGGCTCTGGCTGCGCAGGTGCAGGAGATGTGTCGTGCGCGGGGCCACAAGGATGTGGTGATTGCCATGGTTTTGGGGGATGATATCTCCCAGACTGTAACCGATCCTGCTAAGTGCCAGAACCTCTTGCATCTCGACCATCCAGATTGGGCACTCAAGGACTGGCAATTGGAGCCATACTGTGGAGTGGCGTATATTGGAGGCTGGGGTATCGTCGAAGGAATCAAAGCGGGGGCTGATATCATTATTTGCGGTCGAGTCACGGATGCATCACCAGTGATTGGAGCTGCCGCATGGTGGCACAATTGGGCTCGAGATGATTGGGATCGACTTGCAGGTGGCTTAGTTGCGGGCCGTGAGTATTCTTCGTATAGCGAATAATTGGCTAAATTGACTAACTAAGTATAGATTTGATCGAGTGCGGGCCATATGTGACAGGTGCCAACTTCTCTGGATTCAAATCTATCCTCCCTGAGCTGGTGGACCTCGCATTTCCTATCGCGGAGATCACTAGCGAAGGAAGTTGCACCATCACAAAGCCCGAGGCACATGCCGGAGCCGTGACAAAACACAACACCATCGCTCAATTCCTGTACGAACTCCAGGGAGAACAGTACCTAAACCCGGACGTGGTTGCCAACCTCCACAATGTGACCATGGAGCAGGTCGCCCCGAATCGGGTACACGTACATGGTATCACCGGATCTCCCCCACCGGCAACGACCAAGGCAATGATTGCAGCCAAGGGCGGATACCAGGCCGAGGCTACATTCTACATCAACGGGCTCGACGTCTCGGAGAAAGTCGAGATGATGCGCAACCAGCTCCTGCACATCTTCCGAGACCACAAATTTAGCAAGTTCTCAATCGAGCTATATGGAACCCCTGCATCAAATCCCAGTAGCCAGCAGGCTGGCACGGTCTTCCTACGTGTTTTCGCGCAGGCTAAAAAGAAGGAAGATATCTGTGCGGAGAAGTTCAAGATCCCAATATACGCGCTACGAATGCAGAGCTACCCTGGATATCATATGAATCTCGACTTCCGGACCATGGACCCAAAGCCGTTCATGGAAATATTCCCAGTCATCATCTCGATGGCGTCTCTTGACCACCAAACACATGTTTTGGGAAGCACCGTTTCCAGCCCGATTTTGATTGAGCCCCCGAAGATAACCTCCAAGTACCCCGATATCAGAGATTCCTACGAGACTGCAAATGCAGTCGATTTGGCGAGCTTTGGGCCTACGCAACTAGCTCCCTTGGGCCACATTGTCCACGCCCGATCCGGAGACAAGGCAGACAACTCCAATATTGGTTTCTTCGTCAGAAATCAGGACGAATATCCTTGGCTGCAGTCATTCCTGACGGTTTCCCGGATCAAAAGCCTATTCGGAGATGACTGGACGAAGGGCGAGAATCATGCCGATAGAAGGGTGGAAAGGTGTGAGTTCCCCAATATTTTCGCCGTTCATTTCCGGGTACTAGACTTCTTGGACGGGGGTATTGCGAGCTCCAGCAGGATCGACGGCTTAGGGAAGGGGATTGGGGAATACTTGAGAAGTAAGGTTGTTCCCATCCCGGTACAATTTTTAGAGAGAGGATGTATTTAACTAGAGCTTTGTACAATTGAAATATCATGTAACATGTCTTATAACTTTCTTACTCGTCTCATGTGTCGGTTTCAGGTAGTTGCGAACCACCGATCTGCCCTAACCAATCTTGTGAAAGTTGACCAATGGGGTCTTCACCGAACGCAGACTCGTGGAAATGCTGTAGATCGTCAAAACAATCCCGAAAAACATCATCGACCGCAAGCAGAGACGATAGCATTGGATCCTGGAAAGACCAGCCCTCGGATGGCAATGTATCAATTGTGTAATTTGAGGCGGCGATATTTGGAGGGACACTGTTGCACAACGCAGGAGGGGTGGGAGGGACCGGTTGCGGCAAGCCGCCAAGTCGAGGTGCTGTGTGATATTCGACCGCATCTGATAACACAGCATCGCTCAGCCGATCGAACACACGATGGCAATGACGAGCGATATCCCCACGTTCTGATACCGCCACCAAGACACTAGAGCAAGAGCGGCAGATGTTGACAATTTCCAGAATTGACGGATCGGAGCTTAGCATGGGTGATCCCTGGCCATGACGCTGGTTCTTCTTGGTGCGGAAATGCTGTCCAGCAGCATAAACAAAGGAAAGACCAGCCATGAAGACACCGTGCAACGTAATCCAGGTATAGTTGATGCGCTGTAATTCATGAAGATGTGCGTAGAAACCGATCGCCTTTTTTGCCGACTCATATATGATTGGCACTGCCACGGTTGCTCTGGACGAGTTCAATGGGAGCGCTGGAGAAGGCCGGTACAACATGAGCAGAGCATTGTGATAGATCATCTCGTACCACTCAACGGTCAGGAAACTGGAGACCTTGGCCCCGTCTGAGGCACCACTTTCAAGGTGTAATGCGCTCGTCTTGGCGTGCCATTCTTCCAGGTCATTGGCAAGCTCGGCTTGTGCAGCCAAGGCGGAATGTTCGTTATTGGTGTATCGGCCTCGGTGCAGAGATGACATGATTCTGCCACAAAGAATACGGTACCGGATTATATGAGCGAAGACCGCTTCTCGGTACTGCTCCCCCGTTGGCCGTATCTCATGCCCTTCTGTTGTGCTCAAAGGTTGTGTGATTCCGTAATCTGGAAGTTGGAGGTCCACGTCTTCTAGGTGTATCGCGAATGGTCGACCTAGCGTAATACTGACTACGCTGAGCGCGAAAGAAAAGTTAGAGTCACATCTTCAGTAACTGTTCACAGTGAACTCACCGATCCATTGCCAATACACACCAAAGCCACCGAGGATGCATCGTTAAAGTGGAGGCTGGTGTAGAGTTTCGATAATTATACGCCTCTTCCCGGTGAAGGCCCATCTCAAAACACATTCGCGCCGCCATCCCAACCATGTGCCATAGACTTCCAGATGTTCTTTGCGTGGAGTTTGTCAATTGATATTGACAGAGGAGTAGGATCGCCTGTAGCGCTACGATGCCCCCCAAAGCTAGGATATCGTTCAATCTGGACATGGCTTGTGCATGGTATGTTTCCGCTTCGGGCAATGACTGCCAATGAAGCTTTTGAACATTCGAAGCTGAAATAGCTAGAATCATATAGAAGCAAAATGTCTCGTAAGGTTTCCGTTCAAATGTAGACGGTTCCGCATAGACTTTTCTTAGATTATCCATTGCCGATTGCTGGCAGAGAATTGGAAAGCATAGGTGATCATGTTCAAAGTATGCGCGATGGAGGTCGCGAGCTGCACTCTCCGGCAGAGCTGGTGGTCCTTCTCTGATTGAAGTCGACAACTGTACAGCCCTGGTGGACGCCCCAGATGCCGACGTAGACCCGGATCCCTGAGCATTCAGCTGCGCATTAGATGAGGCATCAGCTTTAATGGCGGATATTATCAAATCTGCAAAAGGAACACCGCTCGTGGATCCCAGAAACCGCCGCTCACCCCCAGCATTCAGAGATAAGAATGAAACTTCATCGGAGACCTCGTGTCGGCTTTCTTCCGCTTGAGGGCTCTTAGTCGTAGAAGGAGTATTCTGATTGTTTGAAGTCGAATTGAAAGCGGCCAATCTCGCTGTCAATGCTCGATTTGTCGCTTCTGTTTGGCGTAATCGGCGTTCAAGCCTTTCGATTACATCTCGTCGGATCGGAGGCTCTTTCGTTCTGTCGGTGTATACACAGGCCACACCCGCTTTGCTGCATACCCCACAGGATGGGTGGACTTTGTCACATCCGGATTTTCGCCTCCGACATCTATCGCACGCTTGCATATTCTCTAATTTTTTTCTGTTGGGGTAAAGGGGGAAAATAGTATCGGAGGGCGGATGCGAAGACCCGACGGAGTACGGCAGTCTCTATCGGCAGTCCCTTAGGGAACCTTAACCGCCTGGCTCACAAGGTTGCCGGCTTTTCATTGCACCCTGATTATACACGACCTTTAAATTAACACTTGATGTATTCAGATGTACAAACTACTTATGCTAGAAAATACATGTATACTGCAGGCAAAATCTCGCACTGGCATTTAAAGACTGCCGTATGTCGCAGTCAACCCCGGTGTACGGCAAAATGGGGCAATTTGACAATACGATTTCTGCCGTGCAGAATCCGAGCACGCCGCGGATGGAACAATACAATACCAGTGAAATTTATTCGCATAACCTTATCTAGATAACATGACAGATGGATGAAGCAGTAATAATAAAGAGAAACCACAACTTTCAAAGCTCAATGGGCTCAAAGGTAAGTTTGCATAGCATGTCCTTTGGCCGTGATGTCATCAACTGATCCGACATTTCCATCGATGCGTTCATGTCATCCGCAGGTCGGGTACGGAATCTTGAATAGACAGCATGCAGAAGAAGTCTCATTTCTGACATTGCGAGACTATGAGTAGCTTAGCAAAAAGTCAAGATCAATATCAATTAAAAGACGACACAAAGACACACAATTTACCAAGACATGTTCTGGCACCGGAACCGAACGCAAACATCAAACGTTGCCTCTCAACTTTCCCTTCAATCTCAAGCCAGCGCTCGGGGTTGAAAGCTTCCGAATCGGGAAAGATCGTCTGGTCCATTCGGTGGACTGTAAATGACTGAGCGCTGACAATTGTATGGCCTGGAACAAAGTGACCGTCAATGCATCGGCCACCATCAGGCACGTACCGAGGCAGAGACTGTGTTCCTGGAGCCCAAAGTCTCATTGTCTCTTGAACTATAGCATTTAGGTAGGGTAGGTCGATGAGTGTATCTCCATTTTCTAGGCTGTACATTCGCAACTCTTCGCACAGGCGTTGCATCTTTTTGCTATTGTGGGGTTGAGATATTTCCCACATTAGGAAACATAGTGCGTCGCCAGTTGTGTCAATACCCGCACCGATATGATCTAGGCATTCGGCCACCATGTTTCCCGTCCCTATCTCAGGGTACTGGAGTAGTCGTGTGGAAAGGGTGAAGACCGAATGAGGTTCTTTTCGAATGGATGCCCAAGCATATTCGTCGATCATTTCACCACCCTTCTGAGACCGTGTATCAAATCGGCTGTAGAAGCGATGCAACCAGGGTAGATAATGTCTGATTACCAAACCTTTAATATAATAAGTGTGCTGGATCATTTTACAATCTCCACGATATACGTACCAGGGCGGCTGTTATGATACGAGAGATGACGAACCATATCGTTGTCATTGCCTTCTTCGATAGACCTCGTGCCATATGGATCAAAAGCAATAGCACTGACACAATCCAGGGCGTAGCAATGTAGATATAACTGTAATGATAGATCAGTCTATGAGCAGAAATTGAGAAAGGACTGACACGAACATACATAGACATCTAAAGTTTTCTTTTCGGCACAAACCCTGGCAAATGCGTCTGCTCGATCACGCAGGAGCGCCTGTATCCCTGGCTGAAGGACTGCTGAGTTTGAGTACCGATCCGCTAGTCTCTTTTTTTTCTCGTTGTGCTGTAGCGGAGTTAACGATATATATTCTTCTCAATCTCCAAGTGCTTTACCAACTTCTTTCTTATCGAGGGCCGTGAAAAGATTCCTGTGAGGCCCATGTTGAAAAAGAGAGTATAACTCAGTCTTGGCGTAGCCACCTGCAGATGTATAAATCTCTTTTATCGCGGTCGCGCTGGCGAAAGATAGTTCATTTGGAGCTATGCGTACAGATTTCCCGTATTTCAAGTGCAAGTTGTGAATCCAAAGTCGTTTCGAGCCCCTGTACTCATGGTATACCAGAAAAAGAACACTCAGGTTGGTATACCATGGCCCTGGAATCTTGCTCAACGATGAAAACATCAGACGATATAGTAGCCAACCCATAAGGATGATCATGGAGATACATCCCAATGACTTGTATAGAAATGTATTGGAAAAAATGGGTTCCACTATAAAACCTGTGAAGATAGTCATCTTCTAGATGCTGCTGTTAGAAAATGTTCTACAATGCAAGAGAATAGAAGGGGCCGCAAAAGCTTTTGAGGATATCAAGTCCTCCCACTGTTCTAGGTGTCGAGGTCTAAGTGCAGATCCTAGCCACACTAAAAAGGGAAGCACATCCGACATGCAGTTGAACTGAAAAATTGCTAATATGCATGAATAGAGGGATACGTCCCTGCGCGATATGCGCTATCTACGACGTTGTATGAAGTCACTAAGCGCTGACTAAATAGGGTCTGTGCGCTCTTGTTCCACCCAATCATATCCCGTGGAATTATGCTTGGCAATCCAAAAGGGGAAGGCATTGGAGATGAACGTACATTGGGCGAGTCAACTACAATATACAGACGATCAAAGATATCGAGTCTCTCTTCATTTGAGAAATGGGATTCTGTTCAATTCTTTCTGTTCTCATCTCGTAACAAGAACGATATCAGCGAAATAAGTACAAGATAAGCTCTTATCTGTATCACTGCGTGTATCCAAGCCCCTGGATCGAAGTACAACATACGTCAGTGAATTAGCGAAAAAACAAAAGCCATTATATCTCCTAGGACTATGAGGCAGCATGAATGATTGTTCATCGCTCTAATTTTCTACTCTTTGCCTGTTCATAAATCTCTAACATTCTCATAATGAGTCAACACATGACGGACGCGCCTCCCTTGGATGAGCAGAAAAAGTCTCCTCGTCTTTCCACTTCCCCAGCTCACACCGATGAGCTGGATACCGATATACTACAGCTCGACCCTTACGGTATTCCATTATCACCTTCGCCGACGACAGATCCCCTAGACCCACTGAACTGGTCTAAATCACAGAAGAGCCTTATTTTGTTTATAGCATGTTATTCGGGATTTCTATCCGTGTATATGACCGGAACACCTATCGCATCGTTCTCTTTACTTGAAGAGCAATTCAATGCTTCCTATTCTATGGTCAATTGGACAATCGCCATTCCTTCCTTAGGCTTGATGATCGGTCCGCTCTTGTTCTCCGCCCTGGGTGATCGCTGGGGTCGCCGGCCCATCCTCATCGGTACATGCGCCCTCACAATTCTTGCGACAGGTTGTACAACAATCAGATCTATAGGACTTGGAGGATACATGGTCACTCGCCTTATACAGGGCATCGGTGCTGGTCCGTCCATTGTCGGTGGGCTAAGTATCATCCGCGACATTTCGTTTGAGCACGAGCGTGGGTTTATGATTGGCCTCTGGGTTATGGGACTTGATATCGGAGGTACTATGGGCTGCCTAGGTATGTCCCGCGATTATGGCGCTTGACAACGTAGCTTTGTGAAATACTGCTAACAATTCGGTCTAGTTGGAGGCTTTACAGCTTTAGCCAACCAATACTGGGCTGGTTACCATGTTATAATTGCCTATGGCGTCTTGCTAATTCTGGAAGTCTTTTTCCTGCCAGAAACGCTGTTTCCTCGCGATCTGATTTTGGACCGAATCAGAAATGAGCAATCATTTGCCGATATCAACCGAACGAAGATGATCAAACCTTGGGTAAGTAGGGCCCAAATTCCCTCATGCATCATAATCTAACACAAACCAGAATGCGATCGAAATTCCTGGTGTAGCTCATCCCCGCCCAGAACAAGGAATCATAAGATTTTGCAAGATGTGGTCGCATCCCAGGCTGGTCCTCGGCGTTTTGCCTTATGTTTTCTGCCTGTACTGGTGGTAAGATAGATGGCATTTAGACACCTTGAGTCCATACTTACGCCTGAATAGGGTCTTGTCCTTCATGACCATGGTGCCTGCCGCATACTCCAGTTATCAGCCTGAAATCCAGGGACTTCTTTTCTCTGGTCTTATAGTTGGAACAATTGCAGCCGAGCTCTTGACTTCCGGTAGGCTTAGCGACATGATTTGCTCCCGCTTGGCGACAGCAAATAACAACATCCGAACTCCCGAAATGCGACTCTACCTGATGTATCCGGGTGTGGTCCTTGCATCGGTAGGAACAATTATTTGGGGCCTTTCAATCGATCGCCAATGGCACTGGATCACAGGCCAAGTCGCTTTCTTTCTATGTGAGAATATAGCGGACAATGTGTATTGAAACGATGACTGATATTTACTTTACTTAGTCTCTGCTGGAATGCAAATTGGAAATTGCGCCGTCTCGACCTACATTTTCGATTGCTACCCGGAACATATTACCGAGATTATGACATTCTACGCCGTCGTATTGAACGTATGTTAATTTGCAATCTGTGACAAGGAGCACTCCAGTACTAACAGCGACAGTTTTCTGCCTTTGTCGAGCCATGGTTCATTAATTATTGGGTTGAAGCCGTCGGTAAATATATCCCACTATCACATTGCATGCATTCGTTGGCTCACAAATATTCCAGGCTATACTTGGTGTTTTGTCACGCAGGGATTAATTGTACTACTCCTTGGTCCGATTTATATGGGGCTACAGAGGTACGGTTCAACTTTGGCGAAGGAAATGGTTTTTTCTGAAGACGAAGTTATAAATTTACCAGTGTAAAGTCATTTCCATCTCAATATGCAAGGAAGTCTTGGTTTATGGAGTCTGCTGATGTGGTCAGTATGGATAGAAGGAAACTGTAGGTATAGAAGATACTGATTTGCACTTACCCGATGATATTCTTAGCCAGTGTCTTTCCATGTTCTGAGGTGCTACCATCATGCTTTGATTCCGTGTTGATTGATAATGAAGAAGAAGAAGTTGTTTGATATCCTGACGAATATCCCACACAACCGGCGAGTTGAGCTGTCACACCTATGATCGAAGAGGGCGCAGATGTATCCTTGGTGATAGAGAAAATCGTTCCCATAGGCAAGTATATCAACCGAATAAGGCTTCCCGATGGTAAATGCCTCATGTATGTCGTGCCGATGTTCAATAGTATTGCGGTAAGTTTAGTCCTTACTTCTCGCTGCGGCATGCTGACCTTCTATGCTGAAAGCCATCAAGTCCTGCCCTCATGGTCAGCATCAAATTCATGCCAATTAAGAGCTCTGCTAGGCTTTTATGGTCAGGTTTAGATGGCCTATCTTGCGGATCCCTATTTATCACGAGAGCCATCGTAGTAAAGTGGATCGAGGCACATCAAATATGCGAGCACCAAGGGTGATCGTAGCTATTTCGTGTTTTTAAATAGCCCAGACAGCCAGTAAGATCCTACCCTCCTGCTCAGCTGAATTTCTTGGGGTTTGGGAGTGAATTGGTGGCATGATGGGTGGTTGAATTGACCAAGTGCTAATTCATGGACGCGTTTCGGGGAGGATGGCGACTCGCTTACCGACTAGTCGTGCGTTTCCGTTGCCCTAATGATGGATCAAAACGCGGAGGAAAGAACCCATCAGCAATAACGTGGGCCATATAAATCATAGTTACGATCTACCAATTTTGTATCTAATTATGATGTCGTCCGGTACATATTGGTTTCCAGGCGGCCCGTTATTGTGGGTGAAACAGACAGCTAAAGGTAGCCATCGCTGATCTCTCGTTATAGAGTTGTTCATATCATTTCAAAAATTACCAAAAATTAAGTTCCTAAAAGCTGGAAATATATATGATCAGAATTTCATCTCTTGCTAAGCTTGCTCCGAAAGATTATATCACGGCTATGACCTCTTTTATTGACAACAATTCATTTCTAAGAATATTGAGGTGGAGGCATTGCAACAGGCTTGTTATTCACCACTGGTCGCCTGCGGCTGCGCCTACAGGAAAAAATCAAGCATCCAAGTATAAGCAGCAATAAAGCCCCACCAATACCAGCAGAAAGCCCAATAACCAACGGAAGATGATTTTGAACCCAGGATGATACATCGTTACTTGGTTGGCCATTTCCCGAGATCCTGCCCCCAGTGTTGCCATTGTTATCAGTGTTGGCAGTATTACCAGAACCGCCATTATTTGTCTGATCACATCCATCTCCTGATCGCAACTGGCATGTCACAGAGTCGCAGCAGCGAGACTCTTGTTCGCTACAGGCACCATTTCCACAGTCGCATGTCTCGCCGGTTTCGACGATACCGTTGCCGCATTGCTCGTTAGTACCAGTTGTATTGCCGGTATAAGAGTCCACCAAGCAGCGTCCATCAACTTGCCCAGAGCCAAGCCTTGAACAGACGTTTCCGATTGTGCAGGGCGAAAAGCGCGTAATGCCAGATTCAGATACGGGGCTCATGAGGTACTGTCCATCAGCATCACAGGTATTCGACGAGAGGGGGCAGCACTGTGTCGAGTCACTTCCACAGGTGCTCGAATCGCAGTCGTGGACTGCTCCGAATGTATGCGCCGACTCGTGACTGATCCTGTCAGCTAAAATTTCACCACCTTATGGCTAACTGGTATTGTGGCTTACGCAAAGACCTGCCACTCGTTCTGCGTTCGGGCAACGACATTGGTAGCTCCACTATCACCAGACCCAGATCCCGTGTTGCACAGTGCTGCAACCCATGACACGCCAACCTCTCCAGCAGAACCCGAACACCCAGTCAACAAGGTCCAGTATGCATTTTCATCATCCACGGAGCTTCTCCATGTTGAAAAGTCTTGAAGGCGCGTGTTGAGATCTCCCCGAGAGCATGGTACATTCCATGCAGTCGTACCAGAGGTATTGTCCGGGCATTCAGAGTCACTAATTGTCAAATTTTGTATAGCAAGAGAGATATTGAAACTGTTCTCAAACACCACAGAGGCAGTGTTGACCATATTCAAGATATAGCGATAGGCAGAATCGGAGGAGTTGAAGCCTGCAGTGTAAGTGCAATCCGTCATAATGCCAACGTTGGCAATCTTTCGCGTATTTGGACAACCGTAAGTACTGCCGATCGTTGATGTGAGATCCTCGTTGCTCCAAGGATCCCAGCTCTGTCGTTTACACAAGTGTGTCTCGGGTGAAGTTGAGCAGATCGGAGAGAGTGTCGATTCCTGTTCGCGGGCTACGATCGCAGTAGATCCATCATCGAGCATCTCAAACTCTATGGCGTATTGCGAGCCCATCATTGTGAATGCTCCATCGAAGAGCAGGCTATCTCCTTCCTGGATCACGGTAAGCCGTGCCCATCCGACGTTATCCTGACTTCGACTATAGGGGTCCTGCATCCACACTGTTCCTTTTGTAAACCGAACGTGAGCCCCCGAAAGCGCACCTGTCTCGTTAGCTTGGCCATGGAGCCCAGGATACCGAATCTGCACGTCTTGTGATAAGAGATCATCGTTGTTTTCTAGAATGAAGTTGATGGTTTGGTTGCATGTCTCAATCCCAGCTGTGATACTGAACTTCTTCGTGGCATTCAAGGGAGAGAGGACGGGGTCGATAAAATGAACTGACACTGGATCACCTGTAAGAAACAGTCAGACATATGTTCAGCTTACACTTGAGAAACATCGTATACTTACATCCAACAGCCAATATCGACACAAACCATGCATGCAAGGCCAGAAAAGTGAAGGACAAGGTCGGCTTCTTCATCCTAGATATTATACTTCGTCTTATTGTCCAAAGTATAATCAATCTCCCTGTAAGCAGTAATATGTAGGATTATATAGAATTAACGTCGACATGTACGAATCTCCAGCCCCACCGCCAGGTATCTCATCACCTGTGGTGTCTCTGCTGTGGCCAAGATATAATAAGCAAAGACCCATACCTAACGAGTATCAATTGACCAAAGCATTTCAACCGAGCCTGTGTCAGCACCCCAGAACTAAGCAAAAGACCTTTGCCAAGTATGAAGAAAGCGAATACATGGACGCGTGGCTAGAATAAGACCCACATAAGACCCATGGATGACCGATATTTGGCTGCCTGGGATCTGATCTAAACGAGAACGAAATTTGCACGCTGACCTTTCAAAGTGTGCATTTGTAAGCCTAGTGTAGGATTTATCGTGAGTTCGACTCTGTGGTATGATGAACACAATCCGCTGTGGAGATCTTGGCCTGTCAGCCACCTGCATCAATACTAGGTCATCGTGGATTGTTGCTGCCTTCCTCAGTCACAATGGAGATCTTTCTTTGGGTTCTAGAAAACGTCAAGATAAGCTGAACCCTTCGGATGATGACGATCTGTGGGTCTGTCGCAAAGTGTCGATTAGTCGAGAATCTCGTTCAATTTGACAGACCAAAGTAGCTGGGCTTGTCCGGACGCTAATGAATTGTCTTGGAATGAAAACAGAAGCAGTGATCTGAGGCCAGGCAAATAAATGAAAGCCTATGGATTAGGAAATGCTTGATTATTTGGCATTCAAATTGTAATATTGCACAATGTTATGTGAGAACAGTCCAGGGTTACCTAGGGATCCCATTTCGAATCATTGAGACACTTTGCCAAGCATCTCCGCTGTCAGCATCTTCGGCAAACGGTACTTAACTCCATGCCAAGCCCCACAGCCACGATCATCTCAATCCTGATCTAGACCTAGCCGGCTTGAGTTCTGGAATCTTAATGTTAGTACCGTGGGATCTATATGGTACTAGGTGGCAGAATACCTAGATCTAACTAGAAGATCACCTGACCTATTAACGTATTTTGTCAGAACGAGAAATAACTAGTTACACCAGTTATCCTTCCTAAGTAAGGTGTGCACCTTTTTGGTCTAGTGGTAACATGCGGTGTTTTTTCCTCCGACATATTTCACAAGCGAGTGGGCCACCCATAACACCATAGCAAATGCCTTATTTTACAATCTTATATCTCAACAACGGTGAGTTATAAGGGGTTTTTCCTTACAGCTCAATGATTTTTAGGTGACACGCAGCCTTTGTGAAATGGCGCAAGGAATTTGGAACTGAAGAGTTCTATAATAACTTGGAAATCCAAAGCTACGAAGAATCAAAGATGGTATGGTCGCCCAATTTTTTCTATTTTCTATTCCACATTCCTGTGGCTAATACATCATAGTACCCGCAATGGATTGGGAGACGAGATCATGATGGTCAGCCGATTTGCTGTCAAAAACTTCACCAAGAAAAATCCGGATGAGTATCTCGGGAAAATTAACTCTTGCGAGTCAACAAACAAATACTGCAAGTCGAGTGCCCCGGGCTATGTCCTCCATTTCCACGCCCTATAAGATAATCTGATAAGATTTGTCACAGTCTCGGAACTCCCAAGACCAAACGAAAACATCCCCGTGTCTGCGTCAACACATGAAGAAGAGCCGTGTATTCGTAAATTTGGTTGCAGATGGTGAATTCCCCGACTTGGCCGGCGTTAAGCATCTCTTGTACCCTTGGAAGAAATCTGGGCGGTAAATTATTGTCTCTGTGTATCATTCGAAGCAAAGCAGACTCCATACTTTGGCCTTCCAATTCAAAATCACTTGGGGACAAAATCGAGTTTTGCGGTGTAACATCAAGCTTGCGTCGGTCGAAAGCTACAGCTCCAATATGGCGAAACATATCCAGGACTTCATTGTAACAAGCCACATGATCGTCCAAAAAGGCTTGAGAGGATAGTTACTGGTCGTCCTTCGGCTCTAGCGCCTCAAATCCTTTAGCTGTAAGCATTGCAATAGCTTCTAGCAACTGATAGCGCTTTGTCAGGTATTCGATTTGAGATTCTTTTCCTGCAAATTCTGTAGCGCTTATAATAGAAAAGGCCGCCTTTACGCCTCGGAGGTGGGCTCTCCAAGATATATAGTCGTCACCCTCATGGCAAAGAGAGCACAGACATAGTATCAAACTAGATGCCATAAGGGGAAGACCTGACCGAAGCTGAAGAGAAATCTCCCCTTGAAGATCACGTACACTTTTGGTTTCGAGTTGAATCATCTGGCGTCGGAAATGTCGTTTTTCGACTTCGTCTGTGGTACGAGAGGCTTGGTGACCAGCAGCGAAGGCCAACAGAGAATAAAGCAGAGCGTTACTTGCGGATGACAAAGGCATTAACACATTGCAGGCTTCATGCTGCATCTGTGGGTGACACGAAATCATAACCGATGCTTGGCAGGTGAAATATTGGATGAGATCCCGCTGATCTGGTGCGACATCTGGGAACTGGTTCATGTCCATTCCGGGCAGTTGTAGTAAACCAGCAATGTAATCAAACCAGATAAGCATCAACCAATAGGAGGATAATCCCACATGTCTCGCGGATTAATCTTCTGAAATTCGTGGGCTGACTAACGTACCCTTAAGCATCCATGGATCCATGGATAGAAGTACTTTTACTACTCCGTAGGTAATCATATGTTGGAATCCACTGGTCATATTCAATTGCTTCCAGACTGTGCCTTTACATAACATAAGTCATAATGAAGCCTTGTAAGTCTGCATTAGTTGAAGTGAACAGATTTTGGGGGAGAATTAGTAGTAGTGAGTAGGAGTTCGAAACCCCCAGCCAGAACCATGTTGGCCTACTAGGCTTAGTTCGCTACACCGGCAGCACAGCCCTCAGAATGTAAGACGTAGATGCGGATGGAGCCTTGGAGTCATCGACGTTGTTGATCGAGCTTCCACCAACTACTGCGGAGGCAGGAAGGGAAAACTGTTGGCACGCCGCACTGGATGTGACGCTGCACTGGATGTGACGCTGCACTGGATGTGACGCTGCACTGGATGTGACGCTTAACGTGGGTGTTCAGTGTCTAAGTTTCAAAATACGCGGACTGTATTAAGCGGTATATTACAAAGGCGGAAACTCCAGCGGTGAAGACAGTAAGTATCACCGAGGGTTTCAAATGTGGCCCGTTTAGGCTACCGTAGTTGGCCACAATTAGCCGTTTAGCCATCGGAGACGGCCTCCTACCCCGAAAAATTAAACTATGGGGCACGGTTGGGGAATTGTGTATATCTTGAAACTGCTTTCCCCGGATTTTAGCTACCCCAGATTGCTGCACTTCTCCGTCCCTAACCTCGATACCCCTAATGCAGAACCACAAGAGTCCAGCAGATATGGTGGAAGATGTGGAGATAGGGATGAAGGTATACACTACATCCTTACCCCTGATATCTGTATCTTAACTAATCATAACTGTAGAATGGAAGTCCTTCCCCGGCGATCGAGGTCGACTTCGAGCAAGAAAAGTCCCTCATTCGCAAGCAAGATCTTCGAATTCTACCCCTATGCGCTGGAATTTATCTACTTTGTTACCTTGACCGTTCCAATGTTGGTATGTTTGGATTCAGTATGCCAATTAGCCAGCGCCAGTACTGACAAGTCGATCAAAACAGGCAATGCGAAGACTCTCAACTCAGGCACAGGCAATGATTTGCTCGACGAAACGAATATGACAGACCACCAATACATGTGAGGCAATGCGACTTCCCATACTTCGCGGCACTTCTGACTTAAACTAGCATCGCTCTAATGGTGTTCTTGATCGCCTACGGTCTCTTTGAAGTCCCTTCCAACTATTTCCTCAAGAAATTGAAACCAAGTGTTAGTAACCGTCCCATGTGGTTTACCAACTTAAGCTAATTGCAAATTATAGCGCTGGATTGCGTTCCTCATGTTCTCCTGGGGCGCAGTCACCATGGGCCTTGGAGGTGCCCAGAATTTCGCACAAGTCGCAGGAGTTCGTTTTCTCCTCGGGGTGCTTGAAGCTGGCCTATTCCCTGGACTAGTATTTTACCTCACATTTTGGTATAAAGTGTCGGAACGATCATTGAGAGTCGCGTTTATCTTGGCTTCTGCCACCTTGGCAGGCGCGTTTGGAGGAGCCATTGCATACGGAGTCGGGCATATGAATGGTGTAAGGGGTCTTTCCGCCTGGAGATGGCTCTTTATCATTGAAGGCGCGCCTTCGTGCGCATCTGCAATCCTTGTTTGGTTCTTTCTTCCAGATTACCCAGAGACTTGTGGTTTCTTAACTGCGGAGGACAAGGCACTGGCTAAACAGCGACTCGCCGTGGAAGGAGGCCAGGGTGCGGCCAAAGCAATGACCTGGAGTGAAGCCAAGGCAGTGTTGACAGAATGGCGACTTTATGCCCATTATCTGGTATGTATAAGGTGTCTTCGGGGGAAACCGTTGGATTCATTCGTTGACTGATATTTTTAGGTATACTTTTCCATTTCCGTGCCATTTTCTAGTCTGTCACTTTTCACACCAACCATCACCGCCGGTTTGGGTTATGAAAATCTACAGGCTCAGTTGATGACGGTTCCTCCATATGCCGTTGCATATGTAGTAACTCTTGCGGTCTCCTGGTCTGCAGACTACTTCAATGCGTTCGTTCCCCCTCTTCAGGCCCCCAATCAATTGGCATCGCTAATCAAGATACAGTCGCGGTATGCATTCTGCTATCTTCTCATTTATTGGTGCTATGGGTTTCTTAGCTTCCGCTGTCCTTCCTGCAGACGCTTATCTGGTGAGCAATTTCTGATCTACGCACAACACTGTAAACGAATATATGTTAACATCAGCTCACCAGCACCGCTATGGATGCTTGATTGTCGCTACCTCGGGTGCATTCTCATGCATTCCTCCTCTTCTGGGCTGGCTGTCTTCCAATCTCCGCTCAACGGCTGGAATTGGTTTGGCCATTGCGATGAATATTTCCTTCGGAGCGCCTGGTCAAATCGTAGGTGTCTGGATCTACAAGTCCAATCAAGCCAAGAAAGGCTTCCCTACTGGCCACTGGACCAACGCAGCGCTCCTGCTGCTTGCTTGTTCCGTATGTGTTTCTTTGAGACTGTATTACGGGTGGATGAACCGGCGGTTGGCCCAAGGCCAGATCAGATATGTCTACTGAGATATTATAATCTGTTTGAATATATTCCGGCATAATCTCGATATTTTCAGTAGCATGATATCCCTGTGATCAGTAAATCGTGAGCAAGTCACCAATTCGGACAATTATCGGCAATCGGAATGCCATCCTGGGACTTTTTTTTCTCAAGATCTTTTCCATATCATGTCTATATTCAGCCTCTTTAAACTTCATTCTCCAAGACTAAGACTAACCGCTAACTTTGGGGAAGAATAGTTCTATTGGCCCTGCACGTATATGTCTATTGCGCTGAAGGTCGTAATAAGGCTACGTCACATTAGCGTCAGGTGGTCCTCGGGGACGATTCTTAATGCCTACAGTCAATATGGGAATGTTTCTTCTTTCACACTAACACGGGACGGTATTATTGCGGCTATCATGTCCTCGAACACAAAGTCTGAGCTAGACACCGAGAGCTCTAGCAGCAGCTTTCTCGGTGATCTAGGACCCCCGATCAGAAGGTATCCGTACAAGGGAACTAAACAATTTCTAGAAACTGTAAAGATGGAACTAAATCGCCAACAAGAGGAATTTGAGGCCAGTGAATGGGTGCTCTTCACCAAGGTTAATAAGCAGGCCTTCAGTCGCGACTTCCTAAACTCGGACGATAGTATCCTTCAGCGTTGCTGGAATTCTTACGACTCTTCCCAACACCTTCTCCTTGTCAAAATGGCAGTCTCACGCGCTCATGAAGTTACGGCACACTTATTTGAAAGGCTCTTCTTTGATTGCCTCAAGCCAATGGAACTCGATTATAGTCTTCGAAGCTTTGGAGCCGCTACTTGCAAAGCAGAGAATGGCTCTGCTAAACAGCCAGACTGTCAATTTTTACCAAAAAGACTTCCTCGAGCTCGGACGAAGAAATGGCCCTCGCTTGTCATAGAAACGGGCTTTTCAGAGTCGCCCAGCAAATTGATGTCAGATGCTCGGTTCTGGTTTTCCCAATCCAACGGCGATGTTCAAATGGTCATTACAATTAAGATCAGTCGGAGCTCGCCCAACATCGTGCTAGAGTTATGGGAACTTGTGAACGATATGGTCAAACGTCAGCAAATCGTTACAATCAGCAAAGGCGAGAACAATCGTGTCTACCTCAGTGGCCAGCCGCTTATTATCAGCTTCGAAAAGCTCTTTCTTCGCCCGCCGAGCATCCCAAAAGAAACTGACATCAGCCTTAGCGGCGCTATGTTGAGGATGATTGCTGAGGAGGTCTGGGAAGAGCAAGAATTTTGACCATCGAGTGGTACGAGATGGTCTATCATAATGCTATGCTCATGTTGTACCACCGCTGCTCTCGTGGGAGGAGCCACAGTCGCAGGATATCTGAATGCCAAATTTCATATTCAGAAGGATGTATCAAATTTGGTCACGATGAAGCACGCTGAACGACAATATGCCAATGCCGGTATGTTCACATACTATCCGACAATTGTAAACCATACTGATCAGCTTTAGTTCGTCAAAACCAAGGAAATCCATGGTTCGTCCTACTGCAGACTGTGAAGTAATACCCCGGCATGGACTGTGTCTGGACTCGCGAGAGACCATACACCTACCGAGAAATCCAAGACCAAGCCTGCCAATACGCCCATTTCTTCTTATCACAGGGCGTGAAGAAAGGTGACCTCGTTGCCCTTTACCTCCAGAACAGCAACGAGTACATTTTCGCATGGATCGGCCTCTGGAGCATTGGCTGTGCCCCGGCCGCGATCAATTACAATCTCACTGGCGACGCATTGCTGCACTGTCTGAAGATCAGTGGCGCGAATATTCTGCTCGTCGACGAAGATGCCGACTGTCGTGCCCGCGTCGATGAAAGCAACGACGCTATTACACACAATCTGGGAATGAAGTCGATGACCCTGGACAGCTCGCTAAAGGCGCATATCAACACTTTCCCAATAACCCTCCCACCCAAGGAACTGAGCAAACATGTGACCAGCGACTTCCCAGCGATCCTCCTACACACCTCCGGCACCACGGGTATGCCCAAGGGCTGTGCGTTCACAATGTCCAGACTATATACCACTCTCTTCATCCGACGTGCCCTGATGGGAGACACGCCCGGCCCAGACGGCGATCGCTGATACAGCTGCATGCCTTTGTACCACAGCACAGCAGCCGTCGCCGTAATCGCATGTCTAGTAATGGGCGTGAGCGTCGCCATCGCACCCAAGTTCAGCGTGAGTAGATTCTGGACCGATGCCCGCGACTTGGAGTCGACTATTTTCATCTATGTCAGAGAGACAGCGCATTACCTGCTCGTGCCGCCCCCATCACCCCAGGACCGAAACCACAAGGTCCGCTGTATGTACGGCAACGGTCTGCGGCCGGATATCCGGGAGCGGTTTAGAGTCGCTGAAGTCGGGGAGTTCTTTAAGCGGTCCTTTCACGTCTGGAATTTTTGGTCACCACGGTTTGATCATGCGGGGTATACTGTATAATGTCTTCGTTCCTGTTGCTATTGACCCAGAGACTGGGGATATTCTGCGCGATTCTAATACTGGCTTTGCGCTTCGCGCGCCTTATGAGCAGGGGGTGAGATTATCGTCAATGTTCCTGGTGAAAAGGCTTTCCAGGGGTACTGGCGCAATGACGAGGCGACCAATAAGAAATTCCTGCGCGACGCCTTCAAGAAGGGGATCTCTATTATCGATCTGGAGATGCTCTGCGTCGGCAGAGTGATGGCCGTTGGTACTTCCTCGACCGACTTGGGGATACCTTCCGCTGGAAGAGCGAGAACGTGTGAGTTGAAATCACCTGAGGGAATACAAGCAAAGCTAATCAAAGCATTCATGGACTAGAGCAACCGCGGAAGTTTCAGAGGTCCTAGGCCACTTCCCTGGTATTACCGAGGCGAACGTCTACGGCGTCCGTCTTCCCAATTACGAAGGACGGGCTGGGTGTGCAGCTATTCAGATTAGCCCGGACGCCCGACAGACATTTGACAACACAGCGCTTCCGAGATTCGTACGCTCCAAGCTGCCTAAATATGCTATTCCGTTGTTCCTTCGCATCGTCGAGAATCCCACGCACATCCACAATCATAAGCAGAACAAGGTACCGCTTCGGGATGAGAGTGTTGGTATTGCTTTGCTTGGAACTAAAGCCCCCGAGGGTAAGGATGACCACTTCTTGTGGATTGCACCTGGTGATAAGAGCTATTCGCCGTATGGACAGAGAGAGTGGGAGCAATTGTCGACTGGGAGTATTCGTTTGTGAGCCGAGGCAGATGCAGATTCTGGATAGGATTACATATTTGCTTTGCGTTTTTAAGACGACCAGTTCTATTTTATCTTAGCTAGACATGGAGATAATGCATATATCAGCATTCTGTTCGTTATATTGACATTGTTTATTCAATCAAGCGAGTTTCCTAAATTGCAACTTGATACTCCTCGGCTCTCGGTCTTCTTCCGATCCATATGCAGGCCGAGCTCCTTACGACCGCCAACACACAGTCTGTGGAGACTGGTCCAAGGCTACAGGGAATATGGCCATCTCTCGAAAGTCAATCACAAACGGCTGCCTTGCATGTCTTACATTATCTTCATGACGATCTTCCCATCCGGTTTACATTACTCTCCATAATCTCAAGTACTTCTTTTGCTCAAAATTGAGATCCAATTGATCAGAAAAACAAGCATTCTATAGAGGTAATTCTGTCTAGTCGGATGAAATACATAAGAGAAAACGAAAGCGACCGAACGAAAATGAAAAATCAGGAAAGCTCGCTTCACATTCATCATTTGAACCGTCGAGGCCAAGGAGTTTTAGGTCGCACCAGGCAACATATTGGTATTTATTTCTTGCTGAGCAGGCCCGAGAGGTTGATGCTCTTAGGGCGCTCAATGGGCATGCCAAGAACGCGATCCCAGATCAGCTGGGATAGAGGGCCGAGGGCACGGCTGACACCGAAAGCGACGGTGTAGTATAGGGGCTGTTGGAAACCAAAGTGGTGGAAAAGGACACCGCTGGCGGCATCGACGTTGGGGTATGGGTTCTTGGTCTGTAGAAAAGTAAAAATCATTAGCTGAGAAAGATATTTTGATGATGTCTGCTGTTGGACATACCTTTCCGTGCTCAGTGAGCACACCCGGAGCGATCTCCGAGTTCTTCTTAACCAACTGGAATACCGGGTTGGCGAGAACATCAGGGCGGGTGGCGGCGAAGTCCATCAGAGCCTGGAAACGAGGGTCGGGCTTGCGCAGAACTCCGTGACCATATCCAGGGACCACACGTCCCGACTTGAGAGTATCCCAGAGATAGTTGCGGACATCCTCATCTGTGAACTTGGTTCCGATCTTATCCTGCATGGCAGTTACCCAGCGGAGAACTTCTTGGGCTGCCAGGCCGTGGAGTGGGCCAGCCAGGCCCAAGAGACCAGCACTGTAGCTCAGGAAAGGATCGCTCAGGGCGCTTCCAACGAGGTGAGTCGCGTGGGCTGACACGTTACCACCTTCGTGGTCACCGTGCAGAGCAAGATAAAGACGGAGTAGGTCGTGGAAGTCAGCATGGTCTGAGCCACCCTTGCCCAGCAGCTCTGCGAAATTGTGTGCCCAATCCTGAGTAACGTCAAGCTTCTGGGTACCAACGGCATCGATGTCATTGGGACGGAAGATAATGGCGGCCACGCGAGGAATCTTAGCAAGAAGGGAGATGCTGTCGTCAAAGGTAGGCTCCCAGTAGTCGGCCTTATTGATGCCATCCGCGTAGGCCTTGGCGAACTTGGATTCGTTATTGAGGGCTGCCACAGCAATTGACAGCTGGGTCATAGGGTGCATTGAGGAGGGGAAAGTCTTGATCAGGTCTAGGATATATGAGGGGAGTTCGGACTTCTCGGCGAGCTCGCGCGAGAAGGCACGAACCTGTCCGGTGGAGGGCACCTGGCCCGTGAGCAACAGCCAGAACATAGCCTCGGGTAGCATTTCTGTGCCAGTTGTACCCTTGGGAAGTTCCTTCTGGCAGTCTTTGATTGTCTTGCCGTGGAAGCGGATTCCCTCATCAGCGTCAAGGACGGAGCCCTCCCAGAGGATGGCTTTAAGACCACGCATACCACCAATGACATTTGCGAACTTTACCTCGCCGATGACTTCCTCACTCTGTGCCTTGACCTGCTTGAGAAGCTCCCGCTTAGCCGGGATGACCTCCTTCAAGGTAGTCTTCAGGTCGGGCTCGGCGGTCGCATAGTGACGTGCCGAGAGGACAGGTCGTGCTGACTTAAAAGAAAAGTTAGCGAGCCCGAAATGTCTAATTACAAGTAATCATTATCATCCAAACTCACCTGTGCAAGCCTTGAAACATGCCGGGTTGATCTCCAGCTGAGAGCCATTTTGTGTGGTGTGGTGATGGGGTCCGGGGGTGGATTTGCGGGGGCGGAGATGAATTGCGGGGATAGGGAGAAACAGCAATTGAAGTCAAACTCGGGGGATTGACGAGGATAAATGTACAAAAAGAGGAGAAATAAACAGCCGAACTCAGAGATCGCCTTGACCGAATGCAGACCGGTTGGACGCGGGGAACAAGGGGTTGTGTCTACCGAGGCCCGGGGTCATGCGGCCATATCGGCTGTGCTAACGTTGGGGATGATGAAATGGACGGATATGACGCATCTCAGTGAACACAGGGCTATTTCGTAATTCAGTCTACCTGGATAGTCTACAGAGTAGTGGTATAAATCGTGATATCTTTCATTGACATGCATTGTATACGATAGCTACTGACATACTTGGAGAAGGCTGGCCTCGGACCGAGTCGAACCCAATGCCGCCAATATCCTTACGAGATGAGCCTCGGGGCTCGCCAGAGTGAAAAAGAACATCCATTTATCCGTCAGAAGCGTCGGTTCACGTTGGTACTTCTGATTGCTGTGACGTAACGCCTCAGGCATAGCTCAATTTCAGGAATAAGGCAACAAGGCAGAACGATATTCAGGCAGTAAGGCATCAGGAGTTCCAGGCACCAAGGCAGACATGTCACTGACCCAATCAGACAAATCCGGTTAGGCGCCTTTTGTCCCATGGCACCGCCGGACCCGCTGATTGGATGAGTAAGCAAAAAAAAATTTCGGTCGCCCGTGGGTCAGCAATCGGCGATGGCGAAGATTGTTTTTACTTCTTTAGACCACTCTCCCCTCTTTGTGTTTCTTTTTTCGTTGTGTTTCGGGTCTTCAGGGTTTCTTCAGAATCGTGTGTACATACTCTACGATTCAACCCGATCCTACTCCTCTGTTTGTGTGCGTGAGTTGCGCTGTGAACAGTCTTATCTTCCGTAAGGTCGAATTGCCCCTCTCTACCCAAGGGCTTCAATTTTTTTTTTTTTTTTCGGTATCTTTCTTTGATACCGACACTCGATCTTCGACTTTCTGTTTCTCTGGAAAATGCCGCATACTGTCTCACCATCTGAGACTCCCGCCATGCCGACTGTCGTTGCAAAGGGCCCCTCCGGCGTGCCCCCCACCTCCGAGGAGATTTCCTCAGTCCTCAACACCATCTTCACTTCCGACACCTCCCAGAAGTCTTTGGATGGCGCATATGCCTTGACCAACCTGCTTATTCAGGGCGCCGGCACAGCCGGCCTGCTGAACTACAATGTTCTCGCCGATGTTCGCAAGGCTGCTTCCGATAAGAAGAATCCTACCAAGCGCGAATGTGCCATGCTCATCATCGGTGCTTTGTTCGAGCGCTTCCCCCGAGAATTTCCTCTCAGTGAAGCCGTTTTCCTCTTGCACGACGGAGGCGTCTTCGACCTTGCTCTGGATGCCCTTTCTGACAAGGGTGCCGTCGTCCGTGATGCTGCCCAGTACGCCATTGATGCCCTCTTCGGCTGTCTCAGCCCCGAGGCCATGGTCAACGGTCTGATCCCCGCTCTCGAGCGCTACCTGGCCAAGGGATCTGGCAAGTGGCAAGGCTTTGTGGGTGCCTACTCGCTGATCGAAAAGATGGCCGTCAAGGCGCAGTTGGGCAAGGGTACCAAGGACGAGGAGCGCCAGAAGGACTTGCTGCGTGAGGCTATGGGCAAGACCCTGAAGGAGCTCATCCCCATTGTCGAGTCCGGCATGCACGACCTGAAGAGTGAAGTGACCAAGCAGTCTTGCAAGACCATGACTGCTCTCACCACCCTCCTGTCGAACGACGATGTCGCCCCCCGTATTCCCCTTCTGATCAAGACCATGGAGAACCCCTCCGCCCAGACTCTTCAAAAGGCCATCCACGCTTTGTCTCAGACCACCTTCGTCGCCATCGTCACATCTCCCGTGTTGGCCATGTTGACTCCTCTGCTCGCTCGATCCCTCAATACCCCTGCTACTCCCCAAGAAACCCTTCGCCAGACCGTGGTCGTTGTGGAGAATCTGACCAAGCTGGTCCACGATCCCGCTGAGGCCCGTACTTTCCTCCCCAAGCTCCAGCCTGGTGTGAAGTCGGTCAAGGAGACTGCCTCCCTGCCCGAGGTTCGCGAGCTCGCCACCCGTGCTCTCGACGTTATCGAGACTGCCATGGGAGACAACCATCTTGCCTCTGGTTCCATCTCCAAGATCACCCCCGAGGAGGTCCTGGTCGTGCTGAATGCCAAGATTCAGGAGCATGGTGGTCTGGTTGGTTTAGACTCCAAGCTGCAGGATCTGGCCAAGAACTTCATTGCCGGCATGGTCCGCGAAGATGTCAACTGCCGCATGCACGACCGTATCTCCGACCGCATTAGCCCATACCTGCGCGGTCTGCTTGCGGATGGTAACGCGGAGGCTGTCGCCGCTGCTGTTCAAGCCCACTACATCGCAGAGGATGAGATCAAGTTCGGCAAGCCCATCCCAGATGACCCCAACGATGTTGAGATTGTCAACGCCAACTTCTCTCTTGCTTACGGAGGTATGCTCCTGCTGTCCCACACCAACCTGCGTCTCCTCAAGGGCCACCGATACGGTCTTTGCGGTCGCAACGGTGCCGGAAAGTCTACTCTGATGCGCAGTATCGCCAACGAGAAGTTGGAAGGCTTCCCGCCCCAGGATGAGGTTCGCACTTGCTTCGTGGAGCACAACCAGGGTGAAGATGCCAACCTGACCATCCTTGAGTATGTTGCCAAGGACCCCAAGATTGTTTCCCAGGGTATGGACCACATTCGCGAGGTTCTCCTCGAGTTCGGATTCACCGATGGCCCCGAGGGCCGCCAGTCCCAGCCCGTGGGCTCTCTGTCCGGTGGTTGGAAGATGAAGTTGGCTTTGGCCCGTGCTATGCTCCAGAAGGCTGATGTGCTCTTGCTCGACGAACCTACTAATCACTTGGATGTGGCAAACGTCAAGTGGCTCCAGGAGTACCTCAAATCGCACACCGAGATCACCAGTTTGATCGTCAGTCACGACTCCGGCTTCCTCGATGCTGTCTGCACGGATATCTACCACTACGAGGGCAAGAAGCTCGTCTGCTACAAGGGTAACCTTGCCGAATTCGTCAAGCAGAAGCCCGAGGGCAAGAGTTACTACACTCTGTCCGCATCCAATGTGCAGTTCAAGTTCCCTCCCCCAGGCATCTTGTCTGGTATCAAGTCCGCAACTCGTGCCATTATGCGCATGAGCAACGTCTCATACACCTACCCTGGCGCTGCCCGCCCCTCGCTCCACGATGCCTCGCTGTCCCTTACCCTCTCCTCCCGTGTCGCTATCATTGGTGGAAACGGTGCCGGCAAGTCTACTTTCATCAAGATTCTGACTGGTGAGACCATTCCTCAAGGCGGAAAGGTGGAGAAGCACCCCAACTTGCGTATCGGTTACATCAAGCAGCACGCTCTGGAGCACGTTGAGATGCATTTGGAGAAGACTCCCAGCCAGTACCTCCAGTGGCGTTACGCCAACGGTGACGATCGTGAAGTGTTCATGAAGCAGACCCGTATTCTTACCGAAGAGGACAAGATCCAGCTGGAGAAGCCAGTTGACCTGGGTGACGGCCGCGGTGCCCGTCGCATCGAAACCTTGATTGGTCGTCAGAAGTGGAAGAAGTCCTTCCAATATGAGGTCAAGTGGGTTGGCCTTCTCCCCAAGTACAACACCATGATCTCGCGTGAGACCCTGCTCGAGCTTGGTTTCTTCAAGTTGATTCAGGAGTTCGACGATCACGAGGCTTCCCGTGAAGGTCTGGGCTTCCGTGTTCTGGACCCCAAGACCATCACCAAGCACTTCGAGGACATTGGTATGGACCCCGAGATCGCCAACCACAACGAGATCTCCGGTCTTTCCGGTGGTCAGAAGGTCAAGGTCGTGCTTGCCGGTGCCATGTGGAACAACCCCCATTTGCTGGTCCTGGACGAGCCGACTAACTTCTTGGATCGTGACTCGCTCGGTGGTCTAGCCGTTGCCATCCGTGACTTCAAGGGTGGTGTCGTTATGATTTCTCACAACGAAGAGTTTGTGGGCGCTCTCTGCCCCGAGCAACTGCACATCGCCGACGGTCGCGTTGTCAGCCGCACCAACAACGCCGTCAGCCTCGACCGCTTCGAGGACAGTGCCGCCAACTCGCCTTCCGGCCCTGGAACCCCCGCCACTGGCTCCGCCGTTACCAGTGCCGCCCCATCCGCCGCCCCATCTGCCGTCAACTCTGGCGATGAAGGCGACCTCAAGTTCCGCGCTAAGAAGAAGAAGAAGATGACCCGTGCTCAGCAGAAGGAGCGTGAGATCCGTCGTCGTCTGCGCTACATCGAATGGGTGAGTTTCCTTATTCATGTTGATTTCTTTTCTTCCACAGTATGCTAACCCATTTTCTAGTTGAACTCCCCCAAGGGTACTCCCAAGCCCGAGGACTCCGACGACGAATAGACGTGCTTCTACGTGCTTTAACATTATGATTCGTAATCGCTGAGATGTCCTCGCATCATGAGCACCATGATAATGTTTTGGTCTGCATTGGATCTCATAGACGGTGTTTCGGCGTTCTGCGTTCTGTTCTCTTTTCTTTTTTTACCGGCATAGATTTTGTTATTGCCATTTCCGCCAGTATGTACATGTTTCGGATAGATACCTAACTCAGTGCATCTACCATGTCAAAGCAAAAGTTTATACGTTATTTGATTTTGTTTCGCTCTGGCTTTTCATGGCCCTGTTCAGTACGATAGACATATACTATGGTCCGTTTATTTCAAGTTCGGCTTCTTGTAGCCACGTAGACACATTTGGGAAATTAGATCGAGTCAATTTTATAATTATAACAGTATTCCAAGTCCTGGATCAAAACTCAACCACGAGCGGTAAATCTCTAGAACTACGCCCAGCCCAGATGCGGAATTTCCCTTCAGTAGGCAACACCCAGTTCTGTGCACGAACACTCCAATAGCTGAGATCCTTCCGAGTCAACGTCATCTTGACATTTCTAGTCTCACCCGGTTGCAGGAGGATTTTCGAAAAATTCCGCAGGACACGTTCAGGGAACTCAATTGACTCACGGGACCATCCTAGTCCACGGTGCTCGGCGACATCTTCGGGGAAAGAAACATACACCTGGACCACATCCTGTCCCGGGCGCGTGCCGGTGTTTGTCACCTCGACGGTGAGCTCGAGGATGGGCTCGTAGAGAGATGGATTCCCGCCCGGTCCGCCGCCTGCGGCGGATGGATTTTGGTGTTTGTTGTATCCTTCGGGGTATGGGTATGGACCGGGTTCGGTTCCTTCTAGGCTGGTGAGGTAGGGGTAGATGTATTTCCGGAGTACACGGAAACCTGGCGGGAATAAAATGCTGCTGGCGTCCTCCTGTTTTTTGTCGTATGTGGGAGGTTCGACTTCGTTTGTGGGCCGTTTGGAAGGCCATTGGGACTTCTTCTGCAGCTTCTCGATGCTCAGTGCAGAGTAGTCGAAGGTTGTGTATGACAGACCGAAGCCGAATTCGAACCGGGGAGTGATGTTGAACTTGTCGAAATACCGGTAATCGATATACAGGCCCTGGCTGAGGTCGACCTGTGGAACGGATGGGTCTGCATGCTCATACAGAACTTGTGCGCCTGGACCGTAGTCCTCTAGGCTTCGTCCGATGGTGTATGGCAGACGCCCACTGGCGTCGACGTCTCCAAATAGAACGTCCATCAACGCATTCCCGCTTTCTTGCCCAGGTAGGTTGGCATACAGTACAGCGTGGACACCGGGAAGGTCAATCCAAGACTCCATCACAACGGGGCCAATGGAGTGTACTATAACGACGGTTTTACCTTGGCCACCGCCGCAGTGCTTGGCCACCCCCTCTACCAACTGAGTGCCGTTCTTTTGTAGAAAGAGATCCTTTCGATCAGCATCAATGCCGTCACTGCGGATGAACCCTTCTCCTCCGTCTGCGTTGGCAAAGACCAAACAGAGGTCCTGCTTTGCGAGGTCCTGAGGTGCAACATTATTCGTCAAATAAGCTTTGACATCGACAGAGTCATTCGACCACGCATGTTGCAGTGCTTCCCATGGACTGATCAAGTATGGGAATTCCACAGCCCCACTACCCCAACCAGAGCCCAAGGTCCCTTGGTTACATCCTCTGTCAGCACAAGCATTCGGTCCTTGGCCAGGACCAGCGTCTTCGCCGTATACACCGACCCGGTATTTGCCATTGGTTGCGGACTGTGCCCGCAAGAGTGGAAGGGTATTATTAATATTTTTCAGAAGCACGGTGCCTTCGGCAGCGACATGACGAGCAACAACAGAATGAGCGTCCTCGCCTGTTCCCTGTGCGTCGACAAATTTGTTGACCACACCCGTCGCATCATTATCCGGTGAGCCTTCATGCAAGTGCCCGATTCGCTCCTGAGTCCAGGACGAGAAGTTCGGCCCGCCGTCGCCCTCAGGTGCAGGGGGTTCCCATGAGTCCTGTCTGAGATGGTACCAGGCGGCCACGATGCGAGTGACCATATCATTCAGGCGCTCAATGGGAACAGACGTGTTCAACGCTGCGCGAGTCAGTTCACTTCCCCAGAGCGCGACACCGTCGGCCCAATGAAGGCCATCACCGGGCATGCTCATATCCAGGCCTCCAATAGCGCTGTGCACGCCTGAACGCTGAGCCAGCCAGTCCGACTGCACGAATCCCTGGAATCCGAGCTCATCTTTCAGAAGACCGTTGATGAGTTTACTATTTTCGCAAGCATAGCTGTTGTTGACCATTTGGTAGGAGCACATGACGCTCGCCACATCCGCACGCACACTCTCAGCGAAGGGCCAGGCAAAGACTTCGTGTAATGCGCGATCATCGATATTCGATGAGAGCGCAGTTGGAGTACCCCACTCAAATGACTGACGGAAGTGTTCTTGTTCATTTCCAATGAAGTGTTTCGCCGTGGCCATGACCCCGTTCCGCTGGATACCGCGGATGGTCTCCGCCGCAGCCACGCCTTGCAAAACTGGATCTGAACCGAATGCCTCCCAGTTACGACCACCGGCAGGCATCATACCAATCGGTCCCATAGATGGACCGAGAATTATATTCACGCCTTTCAGCCGCGCCTCCTTTCCCAGAGCAAAGCCACGCATTTGCATGAGCTCGCGGTTCCATGTCGCACCCGTGGTGATCCCTGCGGGGAAAGCTGTAATGTTGTGCGCAAATCTGAGTCCGAGAGGACCGTCTTGTAGGCAAAGGGAGGGAAATTTGACGAGTTCGGCAGGTGCTAGACAACCCAGTTCGCGTTAGAGTTTGCATAGCCATGGTAGCGAACGGATATCAAGGGCCTACCCGTATTGCCAACAGAGAGTCCCATTTGCCAGCCTGTTCCAGTTGTAACGTTCACTTTTTCGGCGAGGCTCATTTCTCTGACCATTTTCTGAGCTTTGGCATAGCTCTCCTTCCATTGTTCGCTCGTTCCGCCGAGGGGAGTAGGGTACCAGGGGACCGCTTGCTGTGATTGTTAGAGGCTGATTTCTTGTCTTCAAATGACCAGACGAAAAGGAAGAAAGACCTACAAATTCACCAATGGCAGCTCCGACAGAAGACCAGCCCAGTCCCCTGAGCGAAAACCATACTACCAGTAGGGCGATTATCAACAAGCCGAGAACGTTCCACCAGGAAGTCAGACGGAACAATGACCTCCAGTCAGAGCCCTTTCCCACATCTTCACGCTTTATATCGTTCAAAAGCAGGCCCTTGTCAGACGGGATACCATAGTCGTCACTATATCGATCACTGAGAACCAGAGAGTCTCTGTCCGAATGTCCTTCCTCCAAATCTGTCGAGAATGAGTTCAATGGAATGGTGCCATTCGCCTCGAGAATCTCTTTTATTCGCTCTGATGCATCACGCTCGTCGTCGGGGACATTGATAGTGGGGTTCGGTTCATTTGTTTTGGGGCTCGAGAGCCGTGAATCTCGAGCTCTACCTTGTTTCAAAGGTAGGAGTTTTATATTGGCCTGCTCGATGGACTCATCCCCACTTGAAGGAGTGTCCAGGTCGTCATTTTGTCCCAAATTGCTCTGTGAGATTGAGTGTTCGACTGTTGAATTCGGGAGTGACGTATAGCCGCGACGCGTGGAAGGGGAGAATTTGACCGAGCGCGAAGCTCCGGCCTTGGCACGTGGGGAAGCCATTCACTCTTCGATGCCCATGATCTTGTAAACCTTCTGAAAATGATTAAGCACAAGTTTGGTTGATTGTTGTTCTATTTCCATCGCGTCACGGAGAAAAGGGTGGGTCACCTGACATCATATCACTGACATCATATTAAATGCCCCTTTTATCAAAAACATCGTGGGGTGTACGAGGAAGTTTGTGGAATTATCCCACTTATTGTAAGCCTTTTCCTACAATAAACAATCTACTACGGAGTATGTACTTTGGGGGGTTGGCTACGCTGGTAGGGCTGTTATATCCTGATTATTCCACATCATCAATCCATTTATGTGAGACAATATATACATCGGACGGTGGCAATGCTATCAACCGAGGTATGATATAGTTATTCAGTCGACACATTCGAGACATTCGAGAACTTCTAAATTAAAATAGCAATACAGCCACTCACGATAGATAACCGATATCACGCCAGTTGACGACACAGCCAATGATGATGGCAAAGACGATGTGCCCTGAGACAATGTGGATATCGTGGATCCCCATATGGCGCAGCTAAGAGGTTGCCGTTCTCTTCTTTTTTCTTAGGGGCAAAGTCTGTCGGACCTCCGGTCGATCTTTAATCACTGTCGAACTTTCATGAGTTCTCTGAAACAGCTTTTTCCGGCTCTTCTATTGGGATCTTCAGGGTCCAACAGCATGTGTTTTGGATCAATTGGGGTGTCTACTTTTGCGTCAATTGACACCGTGAAGGGGAATACCTACATTTGTGGTCCAGTTAGTCGATCTCCACCGTGTTGAAGCCCCTCTCAATAGTCCAAGTAGACGGTGGGTAGAGATATACTGCTGATGTATGTGACCTGTTTGTTGTCACTCCTACCTAATTAGGGTTTCCTCCCATCTTGGGCCTTCCAGGCTCCCTATACATACTCCCATCTCTATATATATCGAACAGGATTATGTTGTATCGTCTAGGTAAGACATTTCCCTCTTTCTCTTCAACTCGGCTCCACCGGATTCAATGTCGATCACAAGATTTCTCAGCTGGGTCCGCTTATGGAGTTGCCTAAGCACGTTCCTTTCCGAGCGTACCTTATATATGACCCTGACAGATCCCCTGAATATCTCTCTTCATTGATAATTCTCTCATCCTCAGTATCAATCACTTCCCCTATCCCTCAAGATGAAGTTCTCTGCTATTCTCGCCCTCGCCCCTCTGGTGGCTGCCATCCCCGGCTCTAAGCAGGCCAACAGCTCCGATGCTGCCTTCAGCGTCATCTCTGCCCGCTCGGCTTCTCCCGTCCACCTGCTGCCCCTCAATGCCGCCGGCAGCTACTTCTGGCTCGGTGGCAACGCCTACACCTATTCTCCCGTCCCCGGAATTCCCAACACCAACCAGACCGTGATTGCCAACGGACACTACTTGGTTAGAAATACTGATACATGTATATTTCCAATGCTCCATTTGCTAACTTCATATCCAGGATGTCGAGGTCCCCGGTGGCCAGGCTATCTACGTTGATAACAAGGGTGCTCTGCGCTTCACATCTCCCCACTCTGCCTACGAGCCCGTTGGTTCCTCTGATGGTCCCTTCGTCTACACTCCCGGTGCCTCTTTCGGCCACTGGACCTTCAATGGCCTGGGTGCATCTGGCTTCATGGCTTGCCCTACTGCCAACGGTACCACCAACAGTACCACCAGCTCCCGCCGTTCCCGCCGGGGCGCTGCTGCCCCTAAGTGGCAGGTTTTTGCTGCTCTGCAGAACGCTACTGTCCCCACTGGCAAGGTTGGTGACTGCCTCGGCTTCGATGCTCTGGCTGTCTCTGTCAACACTAGCACCCCGGTTGCTTGGGAGTACGTCTAAGTGGTTGAGTTTATAGCTGGTATTTGGATTGTACAGGATTATTGTTAGGTGTGGCCCTGAGAAGGATATAGATAATGAAGTTGAATACTTGGTGTCGTTGATCTTGTATTCTTTGGCCATTTCGGAATTACCACGCTATATTCGATTGTACTTGGCTGTCTCGAGCAATGGGGTCGGAATTGGCCTTTCTTGAGAGATACCTCGGTATTCTCAATTTCACTCCATTAATACGACTTATGTGTTTAGACCATGCCATCTGCAGGCTGCCACAAATATCAGCCAACCTCAATTGTTTCCTTTTTCGCTCCGTCATGTACGAGCAGAATCCCCCTGGCAAACCAACCCAACTTCACTCACATATTATCGCCATACTGCGTCGTCCCAAAATGATTTTTCAAGCTTGTAAGAACTCTCGGATTAGATTCAACCCCCTGAAATTACCCATGCATCACATCACTCGAAAATTCACCATGTCGCCCAGCAGATGAAGAGCCAAATCTGGTAGGTTGCTTTGTTTATTACATTATCTCCGACTCACCAAGTGATAGGTTCCGACCTGGAGCCTTATTACAGTTATTTCGCTCAGAGATGGTTATGGAACGAATCAGAGCAATTACGACGCAGATACATCCAATCCGACGTAAATGCACTCATCGACATCGCCGAAGAAGCTGCAGGTCAAGATGCAGTCTGTCTGAATTTGTCAAGGCTACCAGAGGGGAACTTTAACAAAGTATTCCTCGCGACGATGCAAGATGGGAAGCAGCTGATTGTCAAAATACCAAACCCCAATTCGGGACCAGCCCACTACACCACAGCCTCTGAAGTAGCAACCATGCAATTTGTAAGAGATTATACATTTGGGGGATTTTGCAACAGGACACGCTAACTTGTATTTGGAGATTCAAGAAAAACTTCATGTTCCAGTGCCAAAGGTCGGCCCGGGCCCAGCCAAATCCATACGAATGCTCCCTGAGGGAATGAAAGGGCAGGGATTGATGCCCTTTCCATAGCTGATTGATACCTCGAATGGTGGACTTGGACTGATCAGGCAAGCCCGTGTCTGGATGAATAATCTCATGAAGAGCAGCACCCATGAAGGCTTTATAGAGGGTCAATAAATCATTGACAGAGCTTCGAAAACCACCGGCTGGCCCCATCAACACATTCTCACCATGCAGTGGCGGTGCAATAGGGACAATAGACCCGTCCTCTAGCGCAGCATAGGGCTTCGCTTCGTTTTCACTGCTCTCCCCTGTGTAATATGTTCGGTGCATACCGAGCGGGCTGAGAAGGCGACTCTGCAGAACCTCTGCAAATATTTCACCCGACGCCTTTTCAATCACCTGGCCGAGTACCTCGTAGCTGAAGTTGTTGTAAATGAACTGTGTTCAAAATGGCTGGATACCCGGGGCGTAATTGAGGATTCGAACGACCTCCGATCGAGGCAGATAAGGAACATTGTTCGAGGCGAGCCAGAGAGAGTCAAGAGATGCTAGGTCGGTACGGTATGTAAGCAGATCGGTGAGAGTAATTTCGCCGTAGATATCTTCGCGATGAAACTCTGGTAGCAACGTCTTCAATGGAGCATCCCATGAGGGAATGATACCGACGTCATGAAGAGAGGCTACTAGAGCAGCCGTCAGGCTTTTGGTGAGGGACCCTAGCACGAAAGTTGTGCAGCGAAGGGGGGTATACGGTTTTGTTATTCTCCACGATGCCCAGCGACAGCCCTGGGATACCCGAGATGTTGCAGATATCTTGAATGACCGGGAGTAGAGCGGCCCACTTGCTGTCGAGACGCATCGTGCAAATGTACTATGCTCCTTGATATATAGATCTAATGTGGGTCATGTCGTAGATAAACTCAGAAGGTCCACGGGTGGCTTTAAAAGGCGGGGTAAACCCCGATCTTCTTCCTTATCTCTCTCTTTTGCCACTTATCATCTCGATGCTTCATTCTTTCATCAGCTTCCGTCCTGTCTAGACCAAGCTTGATTCGCTCATCATCAATTTCTGTTCTCACGGGAAAAGAAAGTTGGATTGAAGGAAACCTAAACGGTAGAGGAAACCACGGTGTGATCTCCTCGCAAGACCATAGTACCCAGCATGCAGTGAGTGTCTCGGGTTCTGATAATTCGGATTCTAATGTAATACCTCAATTAGGGACCAGTCCAAATCTCCTGCCTCGGACCAAGAAACCTATTACGATCTTGGCTCGCATCATCGACCAGTGACCACCTCTTCGGCAGAAACCCAACTGTGGTTCGATCGCGGACTGATATGGGCATTTTCTTTCAACCATGATGAGGCAGAGCGATGCTTCCAACGCGCAGCGGACAGTGACCCCAACTGCGCGATAGCGTTATGGGGAGTCGCCTACGCTGCCGGGCCGAATTACAACAAGGCTTGGAAGTTCTTTGATCCAAAAGGTCGCCGGGCTTCTATCGAGAAGGTCAATAATGTCCTAGAACGAGCACGCAAGCTGGTAAGTCATGCTACCCCAGTCGAACAGGCATTGATCGAAGCCATCGGTGCCCGCTTTCCATCCGTCCATGACATCCCCGACGACCTAAGTCCTTTTGACCACGCATACGCAAATGCCATGCGCCCTGTGTATCAGAAATTCAGCAACGATATGGACGTCGCTGCTCTGTTCGCCGATGCACTGATGTGTATCACCCCACGCGGGCTGTGGGATTTGGATAGCGGCAAACCTACAGGAAATCACACGGTCGAGGCTCGCGAGGTCATTGAGCTGGGGCTGAAGCAGACTACCGGTCACGATCATCCGGCACTCTGTCATCTGTATATACACATGTTGGAGATGTCTCCATTCCCAGAATTGGCTCTACCGGCTGCAGATCGACTGCGTGGGATGGTTCCGCATGCTTCGCACATGTTGCATATGCCGACGCACATCGATGCGGCAGTGGGCGACTACCGCCGTGGTATCGACTCCAATCATCAAGCGATGCTTGCCGACGACATCTATTTTGCCCGAGAGACGGGCACAATTATGTACACAGCCTACCGGGTACATTATATCTGTGCGAAATTGTATTCCGCTATGATGTCCGGTCGCTTCTCGGACGCAATCTCTGCTGCCGAAAAGCTCGAAAAGGTCATATATCCTCAAGTGCTGGCGATCAAAAGTCCCCCGATGGCAGACTTTATCGAAAGCTTTGTGGGGAGCAAGGCACATGTCCTAGTGCGTTTTGGCCGTTGGGAGGAGGTTCTCAGCCTTGAGCTTCCCACGGATCGTGATACATATTGCGTGACCACAGCTATCATTTATTACACCCGTGGTCTTGCGTTTAGCGCACTTGGACGGATTGCAGAAGCCGAAAATGCCCAGGTAGAATTTGAAGCGGCACGCAGGGCAGTCCCTAGTACCCGACTCAACAGCATACCATGCAAGGAGGAAGACGTTCTAGGGGTAGCCTCGGCCATGCTTGCTGGAGAATTGGAGTACCGGAAAGGAAACATTGAGAACGGATTTTCCTTTCTCAGGGAAGCTATTGTGCGCGAGGATGGACTTGCGTACTCTGACCCGCCCCCCTGGATGCAGCCAGTCCGCCATGCCCTCGGCGGCTTGCTCCTGGAGCAGAATCGCGCCGAGGAGGCAGAAGTGCTGTTCAAACAGGATCTTGGATTTGCCCTGGACTATCCTCGGCGTAGGGCAAAGCTCAACAATGTGTGGGGGTTGCATGGCTTATATGAATGTCTCACTCGCCTTGGAAAGACTACCGAAGCGGCTTTTATCGAACCTGCACGCGACATTGCCTTGGCATCTGCAGACATCCCAGTGAGCGTTTCGTGTTTCTGTCGAACATCCGCGGTTGAAAAGGATGGATGTTGTTAGCGCTGATCGGTGATAGCTCGTTGTCTGGCGGGGTAGGTAATGATCGCTCTCATTATTATCGGCGTTGGAGTTACCGAAACCGGCGTAGATAGCGGAAATTGCTAGCAATTGGACCTTTTAGCCGGCTCCGTCATTTATACTACGTACTCCCATAATCTAGCTCAGATCAAGCACCATATGAGATTGCGGAGGATTTGGTGAGCATAGACGAGAAAATCGAAGACTTAAAACCCGTCGAAACAGAAACGCGCGAATTGGCACGCCTATCCACGCGCACGCGAAGACGCATTACAGTATAATCGATGTCGCGAAATGCCCCATCACACATAAGCTTAAATATCCTTGTAAGATACGAGACCCAGCAACTGAGTCACGACAAACAGAGAAAGTCCCAGAATAGAGCAAACAAGCCCAATCTGAAAGACGACTCGTTGGGCCTCGGTGAACTTGGAATACCGGCGCAAGCCTATAAGGGAGATTCCCACGACAGCCACAGTGGGCGCCATATCCTTCCACACAATATCCAGCATGTTGCTGGCCAACGATCAATTAAATTCAGGAAAAGAAGCTATTTTGATATTAGCATGAGGTTCGCCGGGTTTTCCGGGTTCGGTTGAATTCTACCAATGAAGTGGGGTTAGGGCGAATGGGCCAGTGATGATCGTTGGAGATCGCGATCAACAATCTTGGCGCTGAAGAGATAGTTCACTTGACAAAAACAGAGCGCAGAATTCGTTATTTGGGTATTTTGGAGAGAAATAAATTGAAGAGAACGAGCTGGTCGGGTGGAAGAGCTCTAAAACGACCGCGTATGCTAGTGGCGGAGTACTTACACTATAATGCTAATAGAAACTCCTGAAGGAACAAAGCTCAGGAATTCGAATTCGCCTCACAAATCACTCGTTTATAACTATTGGCTACATCGTGACCAAAGGTGCGAGGCGATCGGAAAAAACAACCACCAATGCTCCAGCCAAGGAGAGTAAACCTTCTTCAAGCTATCACGTGATGATATCGCCAACCGATGATCGGCTTCAGACTGACCCCGCGCTCCTGTGGTCGATTGCCCTGTTTGATTATTTAATCTTTATCCTTCGAAAGCTTCAATTGAATCCACCTGTCGTCATGGGCATCCTGGGTCACCACAATCTCGAGCCATTCGCCGAGCCAATCGCCCTGTTCGAACAATTTGTCGCAAAGGAGCCGCAGACACTAGTCCTGAGAGAGAAGGTGCTCTCCGCGTCTGGGGATAGCTTCGACGTCAAATTGGCCAATGGTGACCCAATTTTGAAAGTGCACGGAGCGTGGGTATCGCTTTCTGGCCGCAAAAAGGTCGAGGACGCCCATGGCAAGCACCTGTTTGATATTGTCAGGGAGCTTCTACACGTGCATGCGACCTATGCAATCGAAGACACCCATCGCGAGAAGATTTGTGAGGTTAAGAGTAATCTCACATGTAAGTGCCGTCTTTATGATCCAAGATATTCAGCAAAGTAGACATATTATACACATTACTAACTGCACCAGTGCTTGGCTCCAAAGCCACCGCCACTTTCACTGATAGTAATGGCAAGGCGGTGATTTTCAATATAAAAGGAGGCTGGTTCGATCGTACTGCCGACATTGTCGACCATAAAAGCGGCAAAACGGTGGCTCGCATTGACCGGAAATTGCTTAGCGGCCGTGACCTTGTGTTTGGCCAGCAGACCTACGCCGTTGTTGTGGCACCTGGTGTGGATGCAGCATTAATCGCGGCTCTGTGTATTTGCTTTGATGAGAAGAACAACGAGGAACGTGGCGAATAGTAACACTTAATCCCTATTTCCTTCAGTCTTTCTCTGGGTCCGCCCCTTTCTATAGTAAATGCCACCGTCTCTTTCTGTATAGAGATTCATCATTAAGTACCATTCTGTGGAGGATATAGAGAGCGATTTTACTAGCTATATAAACAGAAGAATAACTAATATGTGAAGCTGCAGTTGATATACATAGGTGTCATCCACAATTATGGTTCATCATATACACGAATAAAATAGAAGAAAGGACTCGAATAATTTGAAAGGATTTTGAAGCTCGCCGAATTTGAATTTTGCTCTGGTTTTGAGCAGTTCTAAACAATTGAGGTCAACATGTAGAGTTTCCGTATCAGCCTAGTCTCCGACCTGCTCAGAAACACTAACGATAGCTTCTAGCGCACACGTGGCAATAGCTGTAGGTCCGACAGCGGGCATATGCGTTGCAGCATGGATGGGTACAAGAACGCTTAGACAGGTCAGAGTGTGCCTGTCCCTGTCACTTTGAGGTAGGTGTAGCGAATTCGCTTTCATCGTCGATTTCGGAATGGGCGCTGCGGTACCGTTCTGCTGCCTCGATTGCAGCATCCAGTTCTTCACATAGGGGATCAGATGCGATAGCTAGAACGGTATCATCATAGTCTAAGAGATAATAGCCTCCATTCCTGTCGTCCATAGTTCCGAGTGGGTATTGCCTCGCCATATCATTCAGTTGTTGACGAGTCTCCAAAATTTGGATCGATTCGTGAATTGGTACTGTGTAACGGGCTGTTGACATTGCGAAGGTTGAAACAGTTGTTACCGCAAGGAATAAAGATCCAAAGAAGCTTTTCGGTAACATCATAGAGGTCCACTGGGCGCTGGAAAACAGAGAGCGGGGTCAATAATCTCTCAAGAGTTCGGTGTAAATAAGACTCCATACCGGTTGAAGGATATTCTTAGGCAATTGTCTTTCTCTCTTATACGATTCGAGCTTTTAGACAGGGGAATTTGTCGACTTATAGCACAATTAAGAGCAGATCACATAATGTCTTAGTTCAAAGCTAACTCATTATTTAGTATCGGACACGTTCAAAAAGTAACATTGCATGATGGAAGGAATGGGCTAGGGCAGGGATTTGGCTCCATTGTAGGCTGCAGGAATACATTCGTCATACATACAATCCGGACTTTATCAGGGTCCGCCATTTACACCTAGCTTTCGGGATATGAGCTATAAAGCTGCGAGCAAGATCATGTTTCGAATTTAGTAGGAACCGTCCCAGATGTACAGAAAGATTCATAGCGCAGTGGAATATCGATCCCATGCGTATTGTTCTCATGCGAAATGGCGTGTGGGTCATGGTAGTTTGAGCAATCCTGAGACAGTGGCGTGAATCCCGGGCTTTTAGCCTCTCCCATGGCGATCGAGCTAACTATATAGCACATTAGGGTTACATTACAGCAGACCGTGCGTCCAGGCTCATCGGTCTCTGGTGTATATTACGACAACCCCTGGGTTCCGCGAAAGACTTGCAGTCCCATGAATCAAATTGTCGTCCGCTCCTTACATCTTACGATACTAACGATTTCCCTTGGCTGTACTTCAACCATGCTCTACACCACCCTCTTTGGATCGCCTGGTTTAGGGGGTACCTGGGTATTAGGGAATTCGCGTGATTGTAGGTGGAGAGTATCGTTTGGCTAATTATAATTGTCGAAACTGAGGTGGATACTGGTGAAATACGTGAAGTACGTCAAAGGCTTGACTCGTGAACATAGTCACATGACGTCACATGACTCCGCTTTTTGATGCGGGGAGCGCTGATGTTGGGCACCAGTCCGCGACTGCCCCTCCGCGAGATACAAGTCTCCGGGCATACTGGCATTGTTTCTCGCATTAAGCAGGAAATTTCAGTTACAGTCGGGGAATCGCAACTATACAATATATATGTGTAACCCGAATTGGGAATTAAAAACTCCCCCATCCGATATGAACCACTGCATCGCCATGCTCGTATCATTATGTCTCCGGGTGCTTCGATACGATTAGAAGCATAATCTAGAAGCAATTTGAACGGTGAGACAAACCAGGAATCCCAGCCCATCGGAGGACCGCACCACTTTCCCTTTCAAGACGATCAGGCTGTGGCCGAGACCTCATACAACCTTTTTGAGGATTCCCTGTCGATGGACTACCTCCCCTATCAAGATGATCGAGCCATGGCTGGACTCGAGAACGCAATGACCCCAATTTCGAGAACGGTTCAGGGACCCGAAATACAACCAACCTCTGTTGCTACGCCGTGGATATCGGCTTTATTTGGCGAAGGTGGGAGTTGTGTTGAGTCGTCTTTCTCTGAGCCTATTTCGTCAACCTGAGAATTTCTTTCTTCGATGATACAATTCTCAGTAATTTACAGAGATAAATAATTGCCAGTCTGAACCCCGAAAGAACACATCAAAGTGTATGTACGGAGTACACATAAGCTAAATAGAAGTACCCACGTCCTACCTAGTCAAGAGGCGGAGGAACAATAAATATGGCAGTTGCCCCTGCACTTATGACAGGCTCATTGATGATATAGATGTATGATCCCTCTTTGAGTACTCCTCCAGGCGTTATGGTGATGGTATTGGATAATACGATCAAGTAACCTTCCTTCCGAACGTTCTCAAGTTTGGTATCTTTCGAAAAATGCACTAAATGCCATCGCCAATCCTATATTCTGATGAGTCCGTTGTCTGCAAAGTAAATGATAATCAATGGACATACAGTACCGATTTGCAGCTTTTCCGTGACGCGGAGTTGTATCGTGAGAAGAGAGATTTGTTTCGCGAGTAAGTCTCCCCGATATGCTTTGTTTCCATTTTTGTTTTCGTGAAATATCGCTGCTTGGTTTTCGGCTAGTTTATTCGGTGATGTAGCAGTTTCAGGCATCAGTTCCTTCATGATTCTGCGGATGGATTCGACCGAAGGAGGAAGATCTTTGTGGATCATAATGTGGATTCCTGGTGAAGGGTTGGCCTAGCCATCATTCGAGTGTTTTTGTCACTTACCTTGAGATAATCAACCTGTCGATTTAAACTAGAATATTTCTAGATTGGTGTTGGCGAGGGGTAGTAGGAGGGGCCTAATTTCAATGTCAGGCGATATATCTACATGCACGCACAACGTGCCTACCCTACCCCTCCTTGATCCATCTTCTCTTCGCCCAAACAACCCTCTTTGATGACAATATTGAATGTTTTTGCTACGGTGTCCAGTTGCCTAACTGATAGGCATCCCCCTGCCGTCATGTCGGACACGCATATACGAGGGCCTATTGCAAAACATCAAGTCAACGACGTTAGTATAAATATTTTCTCTATCAAGTCACCCATATTATGCATAGGCTACCGAATTGATCCACCTGAATCACGGTCACCTTTTTTACCACCGACTTTGGTGGTATGTGAGATTTTTCGACGTTGAAGCTTGGATTGGGACCTTATCGCAAAAACAAGTACGCGAGCGAGGGAGAGGTATAATAGACTGAAATAGTCTCTTGGCGTACCGGTGTTGATGCTTGACAGAAGAATAACCAGAGAGAGGGATATTATCAGCCGAAGTAGCGATCCGAAACAAAATATAGAACATCAAGCACATAGATTATCAAGACATTGACAGCTGTTTTCTATTCATATATAGGGCGAACGTACCCAAGGCACCGAGGATGACTGCCAGTCTTACAATCGACCGCCCATCGACCAAGTTTTGGATAAATTCTGTCAATGAAGGTCGATCATATAAAGATTTGGGGCTTGGGGAATATAGAGTGATTGAATCTAGTGCTCGTAGCAAGCTATGCGCATTTCGAAATCCCCCGTCGACGCAGCAGTCTTCAATGATCGATCCAAGCCAAACATTTTCGGTATTGGGAAGGAACTCTCTCCGCGGCCAGGTAGCGCGGCCATCACTCGGAAGGTTATCTTTAAAGAGATCGATTTCGCATTTCTCGCCAGTCACAACTTCATAGATAACTGCCCCGAGAAAGCCAATGTCTATTCGAGCTGTGTATCCGTTGTCATCGACAGAATCCATATCGGTATCCAAGGGTAGAAGAGATGCTTCGGAGAAATCGCAGAATTTGATTGTTAGATCTGAATCGAGAAGGAAGTTTCGACTCGCAATATCTGCCACAAGCACACGTCGATCGTGGATATACTCGAGCGCGCGAGCCATATCGCGAAACCATGAAAGTTGGAGCTGTTGAGGTGGTCTTTTGGTTGCTAAGTAGGTGCGAAGATCGCCATTTGCCATATAAGTGAGCTAGGTAGCTTCTCTTAAGAAACCAAGGCAGTTAACAATACCGCCACATTGGGTACTGGATTCTTGAAACCGACGATAGACATCTTGTTCACGTTGGATGACTTCAATATTCATCTGAACCTCGATAGCTGAGCTCCAAATATATCTTAGGGGTGTTTTGACGGCTAGGCCGTCACGCAGAACTACAACCGCTGAAGATCCACATCCAAGGACTTGCTCTTGGGGGATGGTATCTCCAGAGAGATCTAAAAAGGGAGAGGACATTTCTTTTTTGTCGGAATATAAGGAAGGAATGATTCTTGGACTGGATTTGGCCACAAACTGAAACAAGGGGGTCTCGCACATTGCTTTAATCACATGACCCGATATATCTTTCTTTTTATCTTCGTAGATTATTGAGAATTATAAGTTGCCGTAAGCACTGCCTGTATGCGAAATATTCGTCTCGGAATATATTGACCTAAAGTGCGGTCTATTCGAATGCCGTCTAATTGCCGAGGTCCTCGACTTAACGGCGGCGCTGTCGGTTGTAAGAGAATGGTGGGAAATGGAATCCTAGCAATTCATCTACTACAACGAAATAACGTCGAAATACTGGTAAAAGTAATCGGAATAAAATAAATTTTATACAACTATGCTAACTGCAGATGGTAATCTGGCGATAAAGTCAAGACCAGACAAAAATAAACAAAGGGTATTCATCATCATAAAATTAAAGCCCATTCAAAGCTTAGCAGCACTACCAGCAGAGGAGATCTCATTGTACAGCAAGCTGGTCAAGAAATCGGCGTAATCCTCACCGGTAACCTGGCCAGCGAAGTAGCGAGCAGCAAGCTGGTACTTGTTGCCCTTGGCACCCTGAGCAGCAAGGCTATCAGCCTGCTCCTGCAGCAGACGCAGCGCGAAGGCTTTGTCCATGCGCTTGCCCTCGGCAGTGAGGACGTTGTGGCGGGTCCACTGCCACAGCTGGCTGCGGGAGACCTCGGCTGTGGCGGCGTCTTCCATGAGGTAGTTGATGGGCACGCAGCCGACACCGCGGAGCCAGCCCTCCATGTAGCTGAGGCCGATGTTCAGGTTCTTGCGGATGCCTTCCTCGGTGATCTTGCCGGGGACGTTGGTGTTGAGGAGGTCGTTGGCGGTGATGTGCACTTCCTCACGGCGGATGAAGAGCTGGTTGGGTGTGGGCATGTAGGTGTTGAACACGTCGGAGGCAATGTGGGCCAGGGCGGGGTGGGCAACCCAGGTGCCGTCGTGGCCGGCGCGCACTTCGCGCAGCTTGTCGGCGCGGACGCTCTCCATGGCCTTGTCGTTGGCGGCGGGGTCGTTCTTGATGGGGATCTGTGCGGCCATGCCGCCCATGGCGTGGACGCCACGACGGTGGCAGGTCTTGATGAGGAGCTTCACGTAGGCGTCCATGAAGGGTACGGTCATGGTGACGTCAGAGCGGTCGGGGAGGACGAAGTTGGGGTGGTTGCGGAATTTCTTGATGAAGGAGAAGATGTAATCCCAGCGGCCGCAGTTGAGACCGGAGCTGTGATCGCGGAGCTCGTAGATGATCTCGTCCATCTCGAACGCGGCGGTGATGGTCTCGATGAGGACGGTTCCACGGATGGTTCCGCGGGGCAGACCGACGAAGTCCTGGGACAGGTTGAAGACGTCGTTCCAGAGACGAGCCTCCAAGTGGGACTCCATCTTGGGGAGGTAGAAGTAAGGACCGGCGCCGCGGGCGACGAGCTCCTTGGCGTTGTGGAAGAAGTACAGACCGAAATCGAACAGACTGCCGGAGATGGGCTCGCCGTTCACGGTGAAGTGCTTCTCCTCGAGGTGCCAGCCACGGGCACGGGCAATCAGAGTGGGCAAGGTGCGGTCAGTGCGGAGCTTGTACTCCTTCTCTCCCTGCTTGAAGTCGACCTGGCGACGGATAGCGTCGTACAAGTTGACCTGGCCGTTGACCATGTTGTCCCAGGTGGGGGCGCTGGAATCCTCAAAATCGGCCATGTAAGTCCAGACATCGGAGTTCAAGGCGTTCACGACCATCTTGCGGTCAGTGGGGCCGGTAATCTCAACACGACGGTCGACGAGACCGGGGGCGGGAGGAGCACCCTTCCATGCGTCATTCTCACGGATGTGCTTAGTCTCGGGGAGGAAGTCGAGGAGGTTTCCCTTATCAAGCTCGGCCTGGCGCTCGACACGGCGCTGCAGAAGAGCTTTGCGGGTAGGGTTGAAGGTGCGGTGCAGCATAGCCAAGAAGGCACATGCCTCCTTGGTCAGGATCTTGCGAGCATCGTTGTTGATGGCGCCTAGGATAGCGACATCCTTGAGCTGTGTTTCGACGAAAGACATGACGTATGTGTATGGAATATGTAGATGGGTAGTGTGTGCAGTATTATTCCATGTATAGAACGTCAATTTTCAAATTCCACAGAGCAGAAAGCAGGAAAAGCCTGAGTGATATTGTTCCTATATAGCCATCTGCCCGAGGGTATCGAATACGTCAGAGTCACCCAAAAGTTGCCGCGGTTGTTCTGGACCCGCCCAATGATAAGCCGGAAAGCCGATTGTCCCCCATTTTCCCCGTTTGACCGTGTCGCTTCTTATAATTTCCCGACTCTTCTGTGTCTTTCTGATACCGAAACGCGTTCGATGGACGACTTTTCATGGGTTTTCCACGGGAAACTCTTCCTCTCGGCCGACATTTCCCGATCTTCACCTTTTAAGCTTATATTAGTTCTATACACGATCGCAATTAGAACGGCGTACGCCGCACACCGAGTATGATTAGGCTGTCCACGTCGGTATCTTTCGAAGAACACAGTTCTACAGCTTGGCCGTTGTTTAGAATGATAATAAAGAAGGGTAATAGCAAGCTTTGCACAATTCGCCCCCTGCTTCACCCGAAAGTGGCTGTACGGAGTAGAAGCTCTCCGCATTCCCCGGAAACTCCAATCAACCGCGGTTGTCTCTGATCGCCCATATCTCGCAGGGTTCAGAAGAGTCACATCCGAAGCCGAGTTGTCCCGGCGGTTTTCTGCGTCACCCTGTGTTCATCGGCATGTGACAACTCGATATATATAGAATACATCCGAACTCCGGCAAATCGACAACTTCCAATTCGTTGAATGTCATTTGGTATATATCTGGGGTAGTATGCCTGCTAATCTCGTGCCTTACACACCCTTCACCAATCTCTAGGCCAATGCGACTATGTACAATTCTTCATTCTGCTAACCCGTGTCTCTGTGTAAATCAAAAATCGATATGAGAAGAAATACGGCATTTACACGGTCTCGATGTATCGCTTCATCTCCCTGTGAACTTGTCAGTATACGAATGAGTACGGGGTAATGATGTCACATACCAATCAGTCACCGCCTCCTCCCACAAGCGCACCTCGTGTTCCCGAGTTCCGGCAAAGTGATCGACGAATAAATCGCCAAACACTTCTCGTGCGATACTCTCCGGTCGCGTAAATGTAACGACCGCCTCTTTCAAGGATTTGGCCAGACGCACACCCTTGTCACTGGCACCGCCCATATCCTCGCCGCGAGCAAGAGGCGGCAAGGGAATCTCGAGCTTCTTCTCGACTCCGCGCCATCCCAATGCTAGGATCGCCGCCAGGACGAGATGCGCATTGGTGTCCGCACCCGGCACTCGCACCTCAAACCTGGTCGCTTTCGGACTAGCTGTCGGTGGGGTAATCAGACGGATTGATGCGGCCCGGTGCTCCAGTCCCCAGGAGACTGTGACCGGCGCCCAGAAGTTCTCCACCAGGCGTTTGTAGGAATTGATCGTCGGGGCCAAGATCGGCATGATATCCGGTAGGCCGACGAGAAGGCCAGCAAGGAAGTGTCGACCCAAGTCGGATAGATGAGCGATATCGGGGTAGAGCGGGGATGGATCCGGGGTATCACGAATGAAGGCATTCTTCCCGTCGGCCGTGACGAGCGAGATGTGCATGTGTCCGCTGTTCCCTGGCAGGCCTTGTCGGGGTTTGGCCATGAAGCATGGGGTAATGCCATGCTTGATTCCGAATGATTTGACGACGTACCTATAACAAGTTAGCTGGCCCAGCCCGCACTAGCAAAGGAACAAACCCACTTGAACAACCCCGCCTTGTCAGCCATGTCCTTTGCTTCGCCAAATTGTAGTGCCTATCACAATGTTTAGTCCCAATACGACCGTGTACTATCATGGCACTAACAGCTTCATAGACTCCTGGTCCACTTTCAGTATGCCACCCTTCAATATCGCATCGGAACTTCTCACAGGCGTCGAAAATGCCATAATAGTAATCTTGGTTGTGGAGGGGCCGAGTGATTGAATAACCAAACATGCCTTCTGTCACTGGCGGCAATGCATCGACTGGATTCGACTTGAGGAAGGCGGCTGTTGCAGATGCGCCTTGCTCGGGGGTGACATGGTTGCCCGGCGTGCGAAATTGGTAGAATTCATATTCCGCTGGGTAATATCCTGATCAGCCATTGAATCTCACACACCCTGGTCTGCGATCGGACATACCTCCTGCCATCGCCCGATAGCCCGCCGCCTCGGCTTTGGCAGCCGCAGTCTTTATTAATCCTCGTGGACAGGCGCACACCGGCTCCCGTGTCTCTGGATCCAAGAAGCTGATGAGGAAGAAGGGCACATTGTTCTCCCAAGGGATGCGACGGAAACTGCGCAAATCTGGGACTGCGAGAAGGTCGCGGTATCCGTTCTGCTTGTTGCTGATGGCCAGCTCCTTATAGTACGTCGCATCATGTTGGTCCCAGCCGAAGATCACAGAGCAGAACCCGAAGCCCTCGGTGATGACAGACAAGAACTTATCTTTCTTCATGAGTTTTCCGCGCAGAATTCCATCCACATCGACTCCAGCCACCTTCACTTTTGTGTCATTCTTGAGGATCTCGGCGACATTCTCGACTGTGACCTCGGGGTCTGCGGGGCTCGACATGATGGATCTGGCCAAAGAGTGAGATTGGGAGTATAGGGATCCAAAGGATAGAAATAGGTGAGGGGAAGCAAGATAAAGACGGGACAAAGCGATAACAGTCTCGTTCCAAGTCAGACAAATCGGGTAAATCAAGCAAATCGACAGGCCAACGCACCTGGACAGCTTGGAAGCTTATCAGCGGATATCGGTGTCGCCTTACCGCTTCGGGCAAACACCGTCACCGCTTATCTAATGGGATCCACGCTGCCCACGTGCCCCGCGTATATTCCTTTGGAGCAACACACTGATAGACAACTCTCATATTAATTCGAATTCTCAGTTCATGTGGGTGGCCTCCTTCTAGCGTTTTCTATAGATATATCACACGCTGTAATGTTGGCGGTTGAGTCATTGCTAATCTAGATTCCATTTATACAAACAGAGCTCAAGATAAGGTCATAATGGCTGCCACTACTCCCCGAGGACGTCTCCAAGGCAAGAATGCCATCATCACAGGTGCAGGCGGGTATGTGGATTGTTTATCCCTGAAAAATACAATGCCGTCACAAGCCTAACCGATTCCGAACTTGGATAGTGGCATCGGCCTCGAAACCAGTATTCTCTTCGCCCGAGAGGGTGCCAATGTCCTGATGGCCGATGTCTCCGAGCCCGCCCTCGCAAAGGGACTGGCCAAGGTGAAGGAATTGGTTCCCACCGCTCGAGTCGAGTCGATCCGATGTGATGTGTCCAAGGAATCGGATGTGCAGGCAATGGTTGAGTCACAGGATAGCTGGGGAGGCACCGACGTGATTTTCAACAACGCCGGAATCATGCACGCCAACGACGCAGATGCCATCGATACCCCCGAGAAGATCTGGGACCTCACACAGAACATTAATGTTAAGGGTGTCTGGTTCGGCAGCAAGCACGCCGTCCTCAGTCTGCGTCGCCACAAGAAGTCCCGTGGCAGTATCATCAACACAGCTAGTGTGGTGGCCTTGGTTGGTGCCGCCACTCCCCAGCTTGCGTACACGGCGAGTAAGGGTGCGGTCCTGGCGATGACTCGGGAGTTGGCGATCGTTCACGCTCGTGAGGGATTCCGTTTCAACGCTCTCTGTCCGGCTCCCCTAAAGTAAGTTTTCCTACTGGGTTTTTGTGAGATTAGCTCACGCGGTATAGCACCCCTCTTCTGCAAGACTGGCTGGGTGATGACAAGGCCAAGCGGTTCCGCCGGGAGGTGCACTTCCCCACCGGTCGGTTTGGTGAACCCATTGAGCAGGCTCACGCTGTGGTTTTCCTGGCCAGCGACGAGAGCAGCTTCGTGAACGGAACGGACTTTGTAGTCGATGGTGGAATGACCAAGGTAAATGCTCCGTATGGGGTAATTTCCCCGGATTGCGCTGACGAATTATCCTAGGCTTATGTGACCCCGGAGGGACCGGCAACTCCTGCCCCTCAGAACAATGGCAATTAAACGGCAATTAAGGCACTTGGACGATCAGGCTTCAGGCCGTCGGTCTCATATGATTCTTCGGCAAATGGAATTTATGCAGTTAACAATCAATTATAGGCGAGACACTGACGAGGCGGGTTTGATCTTTTCCGAATGCAGGTAACACACGACACGATGATTCAATTATGATATGATTTCAATGTAACATACTCCAAGTCGTAGGACTTTTGCTCTAGACAACACCACACAATTGTATGATGATGATCAGTGGACGTGGCATGATCTCCCCTCCCCTGGCGGTATAAGAGGGCTGGCGGTATAAGAAGCGATCCTCGGCACTTAACGTCATTATTCCCCGCAATCCGTCTCTTCCGTTACCCCATTAAGCCGGCTTTCGCTCTATTGCTCCTTTACTCCTTGGTTTCTTTACTTTTTTCCCTTTTTCACTTCCATACTCCTGAATATCCAAACTATACTCCCCCAGGAACATCGACATACAAAATATATACCATGTTGTCTCAATTTGCTCTCCCCGGTGCGAACAAACCATACGGAAACCCAACCAGAACCACTTTTAAGCCTCGGAATGGGCGGCTGTACGTTATGCCGCCCCTTTTTTCTCTTTTGGGATGGTTTACTGACTCGCTTTACTTTAGCCTGATTCCTTTCATGGCCACAATTGGTCTCGGTATGTTCAATGCGTATTCTTCCGGGGTGGTGTGGGCCATACTAACTATGGCACGTGCAGGGTTTGGAGCATACAATTATTACGTCGCTGCCAAGTTACGTCGGGAACAAGCTCTGCTAGAGGAAGAGCAGCGCCTGGCTCGAAACCAACAGTTGATGGACGCGTACGGCGACAAGAATAGTTTGCATGAACTCCAACATGCACTCGACACGTATTCTCGATGATACATTGAACATCGGATTCGTACTTCAAGATCGTACTTCAAGATGCTGGTCGTCTTGAACCACTGGAGGATGTACTTTTCTGCTCGATTTGCGATTTGGGTTTGAATGGAGTTTGGGATTTGGATTTGGGACCTGGGATCGGATTTGGCATTTGGTGGATTCCAAGGCACTATATGCGCTGAGAATAGGCATATCTGGAGTTATTGCTATCAGGTTGATCATGTACATTTATAACCTCATTTGAAGTAACTTTGCAATCACCAAATATTATTAAATGTATGTTGTACATTGCATTTCTTCAAGGCCGTCCCTTAACAATGTAGGGCTGACTCTCGGCTGGACATTCCTCTCTCCGATTATAGAAAATACTGAAATATATATCTACAACTAGGTGATATCTCGATAACTATCCACTCTATATATATAACCTAATACTTCGTTATCATAAATGTGCGGGGTATTTTTTGTTTAGGGCAATTAGAATAAATCCACAATAGAGAGATGAAACGCAAGATAGCATAACGTACAATTCCATGGTAAAAAGATTGCCCTAAGAAGCCCTGATTCCTGGTAAAATCGTATTGTATACCATATCCGTAAAGGCGTCTACGCCTCCGACAGATTTGACTAAGGTATAGTAGGGGGCACGGATAAAATCAACCTCTAAGGTCTACTCTGAAAGAATAAGTCGAGAAGTATTTCAATGATGGGTCGTAAATGAGGGAAAATAACCTAAAAGAAGAAAAATCCCATTAGTGGGTATGAACTACTTACAAGTAGCAAGATAACTATACCTTCTGGACTGGCAACCCGTTGGCGCCGATCACAAAAGATTCAGACGATTCATCAATAAGTTTCTTAATGCAACAGCCACAGCAGGGAGCAGCATCACACAAATCTGGACAGCCAGTCTGTGGGGTAAAATGATCGCCGCAGGTTTGGCAAACTGGGTCACAGCTATGTGATCGAAGCTTGAATTGACGACAATCTAGGCAAAGGACACCCTAGGTAGCTTGCACTTGGGCCTTATCTTCTTCAAAAGGAGGTGGCGGGCGTGCCTGTCTGTAAACTTTACTACGACGACACATAGATACCTAGCTATCTAGCAAAAACGATGGCAAGGCTGGTAAAGGTCGATGAAGAATTGGTGATGAAGGTAAGGATGAAGGTAAGTGTGACGTGCCAGATCTTGCAAAGGAAGCAGAGTGCATTCTACTCGAAATAACTTCGAAATAACTAAGATAGGGAGAAAGAAGAAGCAAATTGTAAAGTAGAAAGCAGCTAGTTAATATAGCTATCCCCTTTACAAACAATGCAAACTTCTATCTAGCGAACAATCTAGCTAATGCGAACTAGCGAACAAGCAATCAAGCAAATAGGCAAACAGGAGTATGACGAGTGAATCGTAACAGTAAGGATGAAGGTAAATGAAGGTGAGGGTAATGAAGGTGACCCTGCCTCTTCCATTTCTCCCAGATCTCTGCTTCTCTAGCTTCTCTTCTTTTATATCAATCAAGGCTGCTTTTCCTGATCTGCTCCCTGTGGATCCTTCCAAAGACGCGATAAGCCTTCAACAGCATGCTGCCACTGTTTTCTTACCAAAAACATACATCTTCTGATCGACCTTCTACACTCAGCGGGGGGATCTGTGAGCCTCATCGTTACACCTTTGAGGCATCCTCACGCTGGGCAATACCTTCATCGACTCCACATTCATCGCACCGTCTTCGGTCCGTCCAACCAGTCTTGCTCTCGACATTTTCAGCTAATGTAATAGTGGCACCAAACCCATCATTCAGCTGTACAATCAGACACAGGTCGCTCGGTCCACTTGAAATTATCATTCTTGCTGGATTCCTGTAAGCGGACTACATATGTAGTGCAGTGGGGGTTTCCAGTGTAGGACGATTAAGCGGCCATGTGAGAGGCAGACACCTTTCCAATTCACTTCTCAGTAGTCACCCCATGGTGTTCTCCTCTCTAGCACCCTACAACTCCCAGTGATAACTCTCCTCTCACACCTGTTTTGCAGGCAGAGATGTCGGTGCCCCTACTGTCCCCGTTGCAGGGTTCCCTCTTTAGTAGGTAGAAATAAGTATAGGTGGATTTATAAAAAAAAGAAAACGGAGCAGGCTTTAACTCAAACACACGGGCCTAAACGGCACTCCATGGTAGGTAATTCTACCTGATTCCCATTGGATTTAGCCCCTTAATGATGAAGCAGTTGATAAAGATATAGCAAATAAGCAAACATAGTCACGTGGCATTATGTTCTATTTGAGATTTAATTAATTAATTAAGGCGGGGACCTGATTCCTGCAAGATAGCAACTTAACGTTGACATCTCGAAATTGGATTGTACAATATGATGCATTATATTTTACTAAGCTCCCTCGATTGAATGGAAGAATTAATTTAAAGGCCCAATTTTGCCGTTGTTTTAATTGCCGGTGGCGAGACTATACGATGTTGGGCAAGTCCATGCGACATCGACTAGCAGCCTAGCGTATAAACTCTCTTGATAAGCCTCCCAAGCCTGTCAAGCCTCCTCGATAAGATACTTTGCAGCTACACAGCTTCCCCGCATATGGAATAGTCAATCCCCTATCGGAGCTTAACCGTAAAGAGAACCCGTCTGGCAATGCCTTCCTGATACGTGTGAACGGGGGACGTACTTAGAGCGATCGTCTTCTCCTCAGTTCTTAGATTTGTAAATATTCACGTCGGAAACCGGTATCCAGTATGAAGGACGATTCACTCCAAGGCGATGATGCCAAGTTGGCGGCTTTGGGCCATAAGCCTGAACTCCAACGTAGTCATTCGACATGGTAAGGGATGCGCTAGCATATGCAGGCTTGATACTGACAGGACTCTCTAGGTCGATGCTTGGTCTGGCCTTTGCGGTTCTTAATGTATGTCAGACCTGGATTGCGACCGGGATATTTGGCTAACCAAGCTAGTCGTGGACTGCGCTTTCGGCCAGTTTGTCGATCAGTCTTACATCTGGTGGAAGTACCAGTGTGATTTGGGGTACGTTGGTTAGAAATACTTGGTTTCTACCTCGCTGACACGCATCCAGGACTGGTTACTGCAGGATTCTGCAATCTTTGTATCGCATGTTCGTTGGCTGAATTTCTTTCGGCATATCCTACGTAAGCTCCGGCATGTCCCCTTTTGGTATATTACCAGCTGATCCTTTTGCAGAGCCGGTGGACAATATCATTGGGTAGCAGGTGAGTCATCCTATCCCTACAGACCCTTTATGCTATATGACCTGGACTAACCCTAACTCTGTTACTAGCCAGTATGTTCCCCTCCTATACCTCGTCATACTTCATACTAACGAATCGAAGTCGCGTGGCCGAGCACAGTCCCAATCCTATCATGGGTTACAGGCTGGATCAATGTGGCAGGCTGGGTAGGCAAGGCAATCATTCAATGTGGTACTCAACCTAACACACAACCAGGTTGCACTCGTCGCTACGAACTCCCTTCTCTCCAGTCAACTTATTGTCGGCATCATCTCGGTTCTTCATGAGGTTAGAGGCTCACTCCATACTCTTCCTACAATGCTAACATGATATGCAGAGCTATGTCCCACAACGCTGGCATCAATTCCTCATCTACGTTGGATTGACCGTCGGTTCCTTCATCATCAATGCCTTCATGAACTCCATCTTGCCGCTCATTTACCGCGGTGCTTGTGGGTTACCTCTCCCAGCTTGACTTGCTATCGCTAACAATATATGTAGTCATGTGGTCGATTGGAGGGTTTGTGATTGTGTCAATTACATGTCTCGCATGCGCTTCTCCCAACTACAACACAGCTTAGTATGAGATCCTCAGCAGTATCAAGTTATGACAGACTACTGACATCCACAGCTTCGTGTTCTGTGACTTTGTCAATACAACCGGCTGTATGCTCCCCGATAACTCTATTATGATGATTTTGCTAATTCAGCTTAGGGCCTGATGGAGTCGCATGGCTTCTAGGTGTATGTTTACTGCATCCATTGTAACGATGCAATGATACTAACATATATCCAGTTGCTTCAAGGAGGGCTTGGCGTTACTGCCTTTGTAAGTCATGGTCATTGCGATACTAAACCAATTCAACTAACACTATCTAGGATGCTGTGGCACACATGATCGAAGGTAAAGATTACTCTGGGTTTGAGAAGTTAGGGAGAGGGACTGACACGCGTTTCTAGAGGTGCCCAATGCCGACATCGAGGGACCGAAAATCATGGTTACCTGCGTGGGTATCGGAGTCTTCACCGGTTGTATCTTTTTGATCGTCCTTCTATTCGTCGCAGGAAACATGCAAACGGTCGCATCCTCCGCAGCCGGTCCTCTTCTGCAGATCCTCATCGATGCGACCAAGAGCAACGCGGGTGGTATCTGCCTTTTGATGTACGTGGTGAAAATTTCCCCTGTTGTGCTTCCACTGACGTGAGGTTATAGGTTGCCCCTGGTCTGCTTGGTCTTTGCTATAATCAGCGTCATGACCACCAGTAGCCGAATGATCTTTGCATTTGCAAGGTATTTGATATTCTTCCTGGCATACAATGCGTATACTGACTCTTCACAGAGATGGAGGCCTTCCTGCCTCTCGGTTCTTTGCAAAGGTCCACCCAACACTCAAATTGCCCCTCAACGCACTCATTCTTAGTGTTGTTGTGGTCATTGCATTCGGATGCATCTTCCTCGGCTCTTCAAGGTAATCATCATCACCCACGATAGCGCAATAGTAACTAACAGAGTCTAGTGCGTTCAACGCAATTATCTCTGCCTCGGTCGTGGCTCTTGACCTGTCCTACGGAATCCCTATTGCCATCAACTGTCTTCAGGGGCGCAAATCGCTCCCGGAAAGAAAATGGAAATTGCCTAATGCAGTTGGATGGTTTGTCGACATTGTATGTTGCCAGGGAATTTGAATGAAGCCGAACATCTCTAATCATGATTAGGTCGCTTTATCATATATCGCTTTGACTACCGTCCTTTTCGTCTTCCCTCCGTCAAGCACGGTCACGGGAAGCAGTATGAGTGAGTAACCTGCGAGGTTATCTATGACATTTTTCGTACTAACCTTTCTATATAGACTACTGCATTGCAGCATTTGCTGTTATTATCATCATCTCCGTGTTCCAGTGGTTTGTGGATGGAAGAAAGAACTTCACCGGTCCTCGCGCTGACATCCTCGACGCATTGGATACTGTGCCTACGATAGAGGAGGTCCAGCCCATGCACGAAAAGGAACTTGCTGGTCGGGCTTAGGCCTGGTAGTGGCTTACGAAGATCATGCACTATCGCTATCAATTACTCGCCTGTGGGATATATGATGTCTGCACTATAGGGTTGACATAGCATCGAGGATTTAAGTAATAGAACATCGATTCGTGTTACTACTGTTGCCCAAATTTGCGGAGACTGCAACAAGTAAAAGAATAAGATATCACTTTCAAACTCTCAATAGAAAGGAGATGAAGCACATTCTTCCTGAAAAGCAAGGTACCTCAAATAAGGTACTTATGCTCTGTAGCTATACCGCTTCCTACCCCGCCCATGTCGTCCACTTCTTCTTCTTCTTCTTTCAATCAAGCATCGACTAAAACATCTGACTAAATATACAATAATGCCGGTCAAGTTAGATACAACCGTTCTTCTCTATGTCATTTTCATTGCGGTAAGATATTGAATACCAGCCTGGCGATGACCTCTATTGACAAACCTCACCACTAGGGAGTGACCATCTCCTTGGTCCTTGGAGCGTGAGTTACTACCTTCTTCATCATATCTCCAACTAGCATGTAATCAACGAGAATAACTAACATCGGAATAGGTTATCTTGGGCTCGCACCTCCGCATTGCTTCTCCCTTTGCCAACATGGGTTCCAGCCCTCGCGACCTTAAATTCCCCGACCACAATACTCACACTGATAGCCACACGAATCCTTTTTACACGTTTAAACAACGACACAGCTCACAATCATCAATGGAACACAATATCGGGTATACTCAATCACGCCCAAACAGCCATATCGACCATCGTGGCCACATTAGCACTCGCGTACCTCTTCCCCGATAGGATCCTCTCTTGTAACCTGGAGCAACAATGGCAGGGGTTTTTCAAGTCGAAGAACTCACAGGCTATCCGGTCAATCCAGGATGAGCTCCAATGCTGTGGTCTCAGAAGTATTCACGACAGGGCATGGCCTTTCAAGGACCGCACCCACGGGGACAATGCGTGTGAGTTGCAGTTGGGATATCAGAGGAGTTGCTTTGCCCCGTGGAGGGAGTACCAGCAGCGGACGTCTTGGATGGTTTTTGCGGCGGCTGTTTTTGTTCTCGCGGCTAAGGTGGGTTTCTGCATACGATATAGTGAGATTTGTGTTGTGGTGTAGTGGCTAATATTCTGCGACTTTGTACAGATTGCTTTCGTTCGGATTTCCAGTCATCGGATGAGTTGGATGAGCACAGGATCTGTCAACAGGAGGTCTGGTTATCAGCGTATTTTACAACCGGAGGTGCAGGACGAAGGGGACGGTGAGAATGGTATCCCTGAGGAACCGCGGAGGACACTACTACCCCAGTCCAACACTGAGCATGCAAACCACTGGGATGTAGATTGAGTTCGAGGAACCTTTGACCAGCTAAGGAGGAGAATGTAGGCCTGGGTCCAAATTGCTAATATCAGATAACATCCAATCACATTTATTTTCGTTTTGGCTCAGATAACATTAACGTCCTATAATTTACAGTCCGCAGTAATAACATTCTACCCTCTGGTTCTGAAGTGCTAGAGTAAACGAGGCACAGTGCGGACGCCTTCTCGCTGCGGCTTGTTACAGTCTATCCCTATACCCTACCTATCACGGTGAATCCACAGCCGGTCCCATTTTAATATGCACGAGGGTTCAGCGTAGCTCTTGGATTGAGTTCCAAACGGGTCTGTATGGCCCCTTGCGTTCGGAATTTAACTATAGCTTACTTATTATACGTAATACGTATGTATCTCCTAAATACGCCCAGTTCTTTTTCTTCGTTTGCTCTGCTTTCCGTTTGCTAGAAACTATCAACACAACCGATTGCTAAACATCTTGTATCTGTTTGAAGCTCTCGATGGCATTTATAACCCCCTATTCGTCTTGCTCGGTTACATGTAGAGATTTATTTTCCATCACCTTGTCATGATGTCCGAGAAATCTGTGGTTGGCCTAGCGCCTCCTGTTCCTGATCAACCTACCACCAACATAGCCAGTATAGCTGAGACAAGCGACGATCTGCAGAATATACAAGACCAGTATGATGCAGAACGTAAGAAACGCCTACGCCCTGACGGACCAACCCAATATGTTGACTTGACCGATGACCCCGCCTACTTGAACGAATTCATCGTCGTCAACACCGATATGCTCCAGCAGAGGCAAACCCGAGTCCTCATCGTCGGTGCTGGGTTCGGAGGTCTGCTATTCGCAGTGCGACTGCTCCAATCTGGATTCCTCCGTGCGAGTGAAATCCTCTTCGTGGATGCAGCAGGTGGCTTTGGAGGAACGTGGTGGTGGAACAAATACCCCGGCTTGGTCTGCGATGTCGAGAGCTACACTTACATGCCCTTGCTAGAGGAAACGAAGTACATGCCGCCGCATAAGTATGTCAGCGGGTCGGAATTGAGGCGACACGCGAAGCGCATTGCCAGTCAATGGAAGCTCAGCCAGCGGGCTTTGTTCCAGACCGAGGTCGATAACTTGGTTTGGAATGAGCGGGATTCTCAATGGACTGTCAATATTAAACCTCGTGGCCAGCGATCCACTGCGATACAGTCTGATTTTGTTATCTTGGCTACTGGGTTGCTGAGTTCACCGAAGATACCGAAATTGGACGGGCTTGAGACGTTCGAGGGGAAGGTTTTCCACACCTCGCGCTGGGACTATGATTACACCGGCGGAAGTCCAGACAGCCCGATGATGGATGGACTACGAGACAAGACAGTTGGATTTGTCGGAACGGGCGCATCTGCCGTCCAGGTGATCCCACACCTTGCCGGGTGGGCAAAGAAATTGATTGTCTTTCAGCGCACACCGTCTTCTGTGGATTCGCGTTACAATCACCTCACCGATCGCACCTGGTGGGCGAAACTGATCAAAGGAGGCCCCGGTTGGCAACGAAAGCGCATGGAGAATTTCAATGCCTTCTGCTCGAACGAGAGTCCCCTCCCAGATGTTGACCTTGTCGATGATGGTTGGACCAAGATGCAGTCCCTCGGTGTACTGATCGGCAGTCCCTCCGGTCTTGACCCGGACTACCTAACGCGGATGCATCAATTGGACTTGCAACGCCAAGAGGCGATCCGCCATCGCGTGGAAACCACTGTGGCCGATCCCGCTACTGCTAGTGCTTTGAAGCCGTGGTATCCTGGATGGTGCAAGCGGCCATGCTTCAGCGACAACTTTCTCCCGGCATTCAACCGGCCCGACGTTTCCCTGGTGGACACGAACGGAAAAGGGATCCGGACTGTGACAGAGAAAGGCATCTTGGTAGAGGGCCAAGAGTATGACCTGGACACCATCATTTTCGGAACCGGCTACAGTCTTGGGGGTAGTGCCGATCGCGGGGCTATGACCGTCACCGGACGTGACAACCAGATCCTGCCGGAAAAATGGCAGAAGGGCATGACTTCACTCCATGGAGTAATGACCAATGGGTTTCCCAATCTGTTCTTCCCAGGTCCGTATCAAGCAGGAGCATCAGCGAACCAGGTCTATGTTCTCGATCAGCTTGCCGTTCATGTCGCCTACATCATTTCGGAAGCCGGCAAGTTGATCTCGGAGCGAAACCCAGATGTCACCGTGCCCGGGCTTACTATTGAGCCGGACTGTCGCTCCGAAGAGGAATGGACTTCGAAGGTTTTGATGAGAGCCCGAGCGCTCAGAGGTGTGATGGATTGCACTCCGGGGTACTTCAATCGGGAGGGACTCCAATTTGACGACGGTGAAGCCTTGCGGGCGGCGCAGTTCAGTATCTGGGGAGAGGGGATTAAGAGTTATGTGAAGGAGATTGAAGATTGGCGGCAGACGGGCGGGTTGGCCGGGCTTGATATTCAGGCCCGACATGGCGCGTAGTTTTGGCATGTTCACACGGAGAGTTTCGTTTATTGGGAATGAAGATTGTACCTGGTACCTGTTTCTGTAGGAATCGAGTCTTGACGCAGGTGCAACCGACTAGAGATCCCTGAACGAGTACAACGTAGGACAATCAAAATGCAATTGGTAGCCAAAAGGTGTCAGATTCGACCAAGGGAAAAAACGGGAGTCCACGAATCATGGTCGAGGCCATGTATCAGAATCCCAAAGAGGATATTGATGTACGTAGGTAATAACATACCAGATCTATACGTGCCCAGGCGACTAACCCGAAGCCGCTAGATCCGAAAAATCTGCATATCCTCAATGAGTATGGAGTAGGGCATAGGTACGTCTTACTCCGGACTCGATCTCGTGCATGGACATTTTCCCCTCAAGTGAAACACAAACCGCCCATTACGGAAAGTGTTCACCGGCATCGGAGATTCTTCCTCGGCTTCCTCTGTTTTCTCATTTTTTCGGTCGGAGAATCCTAGTTCACCATCCAACTTCCGTCTCCATCGTATGTCCAAAGTGGGTCACTCATGCCATTTCAAAGACAACATATGGCAAGTTGTCTATCAACTCTGTACCCCGTAAGCCGAGTACGAGCACGAGGTAGCATTGGCTGTATTTAGCCATTCCAGAGTTTGGTGGGTAGCAGGGGAGAGTTTGTTTAGTAGAGTCACAGTTTGTGATATCGAATAGCATGCCACGATCAAGTGCGCCATTGAGACAACGCGAGGCAGCTAATGGACCAGCACGAAGTCCCGACAATAGCCCGCTCATTCAGACTAAAACCGACTTCACGTGATAGCCAAGCCAGAATGCGGAGATGAGAACTGAAACAGGTATAGTCTCCCACGTGTAACTGGTTGGTTTCCCCGTGGGCGAAAGCCTCAAAAGCCCATTTCTGTCCTCGGGAATCTTATGTTTGATAGACGAGCTGGCACTTCGACTATGTTGAGCATGGTCTTGTTTTTGTTTTGCTTCTTTCTAGACATGGCTAGGAACATACCCCCTTTGGATTGTAAAGCAGTAAGCCTAACATTCTTGTAACGTGCTGTATCTTACTGTATACACCGCCATCCTTGCATAGTCAGCTTGCCTGACGCCAAGACTTTTTTTCCTTTAAGGTAAAGTGGAGAGTGGGATTGTGTGGCGTCCATTGGGTCTGTGCTTTGGATGGCTTGCCATCGATGTGACATTGACTTGGATATAGTTAAGTTTTATTTAGTAGTTTGAACTGTGAACTGCAGTCCTTTCCAGTCACCCGGGCTCATAACTAAGCCATCTTTTCATTGTCTAATGTTGCAGAGAGTAGTATTACCCAGGTAGTAAATGAGTAAAATAACTTAGTAGATAGTTACCCGTTGACTGCCCAGATGTAAGAGTCACAGTACAAAAAGTATTTGCGGGGCACGTGGGGTATTGTCCCATGAAAGCCAGCCAATTAGAGTTTATTTCCCCGGGCCCATTGTCCCAAAGTGGACATCTCCGGGGGTTCAAAGTTTCCACGCGCGGCTCTGTTTGGTTTTGGACGTTTGGAAGGTGTTTTTTTATGTTTTTTAATGTTTTTAGTGTGTTTTGTGGGTATTTTTCACTTGTCCAGCCCTGGGGGGATCGGCGGATCATTTCTGGGGATTCCAGCCAATCAGAGCCTCCAATCTGACAGGTTTACGGCTTAGGCCGTGCAACACTTCCCCGGTTTTCTATACTTGCCGTTTCGATCGCGTGGTCAACTTCCAGAGCCGACTTGGCTACACAGGTCATTCCAGCCGATTTCTAGATTTCTGGTATTTTATGCAGCACCCAAACCAAATGTGGATTGGACTGGTTTTTAATGTTTCCCTGTAGTGTTTTGGTTTGTTTGTGTTTTTTTTTTCAGACATGGGGGTAGGTCCGGGGTTGGAGCTCAAGTAGCTGTCTTCCCCAGAATATAAATTCTCTCTTCCTTCCCAATCCCTTCCTTTCCTCTTCTTCTTCCCACCTCTCATCTCACATTATCTTATTTTGAAACATCCCACTTCATCTCTTTCTAGATATCTTAACCACATCTACTCTTATCGACTTGCTACCATGCCAGGTGGAGCAGTCATCTCTGGGCCCATCGACGCCACGCGCGTCGAGGCCCCGGTCACATTCAAGGCCTACTTAATGTGTGCCTTTGCTGCCTTTGGTGGTATCTTCTTCGGTTATGACTCTGGTTACATCAGCGGTGTTCTCGGCATGGACTACTTCATCCAAGAGTTTGAAGGCCTCGTGAGTGTCAATGTCTCCAAGTTACTAGTATCCCACTAACCGACTAGGATCCTGCTACTACTGATGCAGCACAATTCGTCATCCCGTCCTCCCGAAAGTCGCTCATTGTCTCCATTCTCTCCGCTGGAACCTTCTTCGGTGCGCTCATCGCGGGTGATCTGGCTGATTGGTTCGGTCGTCGGGTTACTATCATCGCTGGCTGCGCTATCTTCATCGTCGGTGTCATCCTACAGACCGCTTCAACCAGCATTGGGCTTCTCGTTGCCGGTCGTCTCATTTCCGGTTTCGGTATCGGATTTGTCTCGGCTATCATCATTCTCTACATGTCTGAGATTGCACCCCGCAAGGTCCGTGGTGCTCTTGTCTCGGGTTACCAGTTCTGCATCACCATTGGTTTGATGCTAGCCTCGTGCGTGAACTATGGTACCCAAAACCGTACAGACAGTGGGTCGTACCGGATCCCCATTGGCCTCCAAATGCTCTGGGCTGTTATCTTGGCCTTTGGATTGTTCCTGCTGCCTGAATCCCCTCGATTCTTTATCCGCAAGGGTCAGAAGGATAAGGCTCGCGTTGTACTGGCTCGTATCCGTGGCCAGCCAGAAGATTCGGACTTTGTCGAGATGGAGCTGAATGAGATCGACGCCAACAACCAGTACGAACTTTTGGTAATCCCCCAGGGTGGATACTTCGTCACCTGGTTCAACTGCTTCACTGGAAGCCTTTGGCACCCTAATAGCAACCTTCGTCGTACTATCCTGGGTACTTCGCTACAGATGATGCAGCAGTATGTCTCACCTTCCCCCTGGTATTGAACAGGAACTAATGATCCATAGGTGGACTGGTGTCAACTTCATTTTCTACTTCGGAACCACTTTCTTCAAGGAACTCGGCACAATCAAGGACCCCTTCCTGATCAGCATGATCACCACTATTGTCAATGTCTTCTCCACTCCGCTCTCCTTCTACGCCATCGAGAGATACGGTCGTCGTCCTTTGCTCCTCTGGGGTGCCCTGGGTATGGTTGTGTGCCAGTTCATTGTCGCCATTATTGGTGTTACCGATGGCAACAACCCCAAGGCCGTCAGTGCAATGATCGCTTTCATTTGCATCTACATCTTCTTCTTTGCCAGCACCTGGGGCCCCGGCGCTTGGGTCGTCATCGGTGAAATCTTCCCTCTGCCTATCCGATCCCGCGGCGTTGCCCTCTCCGCCGCCTCCAACTGGCTCTGGAACTGCATCATCGCAGTCATCACTCCTTACATGACGGATGCCGACAAGGGTAACCTGGGTGCCAAGGTGTTCTTCATCTGGGGTTCGCTGTGTACCTGCGCCTTTGTCTACACCTACTTCCTCATTCCCGAGACCAAGGGTCTGACCCTTGAGCAGGTTGACAAGATGATGGAAGAGACTACTCCTCGTACTTCCTCCAAGTGGCAGCCTCACAGCACCTTTGCTGCCGAAATTGGATTGGACGAGAAGATTAACCCTACCGTGAGTCAGCAGGAGGTTTAATCCATCGGACTGTTTCTGCGTAGTGGTTCTCTTGTTTCCTACCATTTACGTTGTCCCAGCCCTCTTGGCTGGCCTTGCTTCAGTTATTTCTCTATCATGAGCTGACGGTTTAACGCGATATTGCTTCAATATCTACGAATATGCATTTAACATGATGGAATTAATTCTGATAGTTTTTGATACAATTTTTCTCTTAATCCTCATAGGCATTATTTAACTATCGCATACCTGTATGCTTTCAAGGCTAAGGTTTGTCGGAAACTGATACTGGAAAAAAAAGAACAAGAGTGCGAAGTTCTCGACAGCGACTCGCGGTCTAGGAGATTCAAACTCAGGTAGTTGACCTAGAGAGTGATTTAGAGCAGGTATGGCTCATGATCGACTAGGCCACTGGGGTTCGCTACTATTACATTGACTTTGATACTTAAACAACGGCTGTTTGCTGGTTTTTTACTTCTTGATACTTCAGGAACTAATATAGGGAACGAGAAAAAAAAAAGGATTAAAAAAAAGTGGACAAACGGTTTGAACCCAGAGCCGTGAGTGCGTAATTCTCGACAGTGTTCTAAACCAGGCAGTTGACCTAGAGGGTTGTCTAGAGCAGGTGCTGCTCGATAGAGTTACCAACTAGGCCACTGGGTGTCCTTATTCCTACTACACTTACTTTGATACTTAACCAACGAATAGTCCTTCCATTCTCTCCTTCTACCATGCACCTAGGCACCAACCTATTTATACTTGATACTGACCATTTTGACATAGGAATTATTGATAATACCCCAGTTGAGCTACTCCGTATTCTCAACATAGGGTTGGAACCCACATTTATCCACCAGCCACACTCAGCCATCGGTAGATCTTCGGAGAGCAAGCAATCGCCAAGCCTTTCCGGAATTATGTCATCGCCTTGGCAAGATTCAAGGTCCGAACAGCTCAAGTATAACGGGAAATGCATTCTTTAGAAGGCAAAGCTTGGCACATGTGTCTTGTCTTGCATGCATCCAAATCCGACGCTTTCCGGCAGCAATCTCGGAGTCCGACAAGTTCATTGTTGATCTTTCGCACAAATATGCAGCCAAAGCTATCGGCGCTCCTTTCTCCGCTGACTGATCTCGCAGGGGACCCCGGGACGGGACCGCCAAGACCGAATACGTATACATCTGCACCCTGCGACGAAGACTGAAAGAAGATCATCATAGGGCCGCGTCCTTAATTCCCCGCATGATAAATTGCGAAATCCTCACTGGCTGATTTCCTCCTTGGCAGGGCAATAGTTCCAGGATGATCGACGGTGGATTCATCAGCGGGTTAGAGTTAGTGCCGAACTAAACATCTGCCTCTTTCACAGTCTACGCATGTCCTATCAACGGCACGCAATTGCAGCCTGTCGCCATGTAGCATCGGAATCCAATCGGAGCTCCGCTGAGGGGGCCGCAGTTACCTAGATCTCTTTCTCGATGAGAAACTTGCAGCGTTTCATTTGTCAATGCGGACCCAGTACTGCGCCATATCCCTCGTCAGCTTCATCAAAATGTTGTTTTACCTGAAGCGGGTATATCCTGAATCTAGCCATGCTCCGCCTTGGTATTAGCCAGGGAGGCAACAGGAAGGGGTATAAAACACCCCAGGACACCCATCTGTGGTATCCTCAACTTCCTCATTCTCATTCACCTTCAACTGCCTCGATAACGCAATCATGGTTCATCTCGCTTCCATTGTTGCCGTCGGCCTGACTGCTCTGACCGGCATTGTCTCCGCTCACCCGGGACATGATGTCAAAGCCGAAGCCGCCGAGCGAGCTGCGTTCTTGAAAGAGGCCTCTGTTCACTCGCGCAGTCTTGCGCAGTGTACCTCTCATCTCCAGCGTCGAGGCCACCAAAGCCGAAACGTGGCCCGTCGTCACACATCCGTGAAGAACATACGTCGCCGCCTTGGTCTTCAGCATAGTATGTTTTGTGTTTTGAAGTCTTCAACATACTACCACGTTCTAACGACCCATAGCCAACCACTTCCTCAAGGCGCGCTCCGATGACGCCCTGGATACCTCGCATCACTCCAATCTCACGAGTGTGGATTATTCGACCGATCCCGAAGTGTTGTTTGGCGCCGAGGCGACATGCATTCTCGGACCGGAGGTGACACAGGGACCCTACTGTTAGCTTCCCATCTTTCTTGTGATTGAATCTTACTCACGCTGTTTCGGTTTAGATGTCACCGGTGAGCTCGTTCGTAAGAACATCGCCGAGTCCCAGGAAGGTATTCCTCTCTACCTGGACATCCAGCTGATCAACACCAACACCTGCGAACCCATTCCGCAGCTCTACACGGACTTGTGGCACTGCAACTCCACTGTAAGTATACTGCATCCCCGATATCACATACAATACGAACCTTTCACTTACACGATCATCATAGGGTGTCTATTCTGGAGTCGTCGCCAGCGGAAACGGAAACTCCAACGATTCCACCAACCTCGACACGACCTTCAACCGAGGTATCCAGAAGAGTAACAGGGACGGTGTCGTTCAGTTCCAAACAACCTTCCCAGGTCATTACACTGGCCGGGCAACTCACATCCACGGTATACACAATTCCCCTTAGTTAAGCCAATTCCAATACTAACAAACACATAGTTCTCGCCCACCCAGCCAACGAAACCAGAGTCCTCGCCAACGGCACCATCTCCGGCCTCTACACCACGCATTCATCGCACGTCGGACAGATCTTTTTCGACCAGGATCTCATCACCGCCGCCGACGAAGTCGCCCCTTACTCAACCAACACACAGGAAGTGACCACCAACGCCGACGACAGCATTCTCGGCGAAGAGCTCGACGTCATTGACCCCTTCATGGAATACATCTATCTGGGCGACGATATCTCCGAGGGAATCTTCGCTTGGATCACTGTTGGTTTGGACCCTACACAGGATACCACTGTTACCCCTGCGGCTTATTATACTGAGGACGGTGGTGTTGAGAATGAGAATGCTGGTGCCGGTGGTGGTAGTGGGGCCCCTCCCGACGACGGTGCTTCCTCTGGCAGTTCCTCGACTACGGCTGCTTAAATGGGGCGGTGGACGCTTGTCTCTCGGCTTTGGTGAATGAGCCATGTCCTTAATTAGCTTTGTTTTATCTTGGCTATCACGGTATTTGATCGTTTTGCTTTGATCTTCATACCGAGGTTGTGATAGTTTATCATATTTTTTTTTTGATGAAGTGCCTTAGTTACTCGGAAATCAATACCATCAACAAGCTCTTCGCAATAACTACTTGATTGTTCAGGATGAAATGTGTCATAAGAAATGTGCGAAGGATTGACAAGGTATGCAAACTTTGTGAACGAGAGAGTCATGTATCAAGAATAAACACAGGTTAGCTGTTTGAAAGAATACTACATAGTCATCACTCATGCTCAGAACATGAAAAATATTGATACAACGCCCCTGAAACGCCCCCAAAATTGTCCATCCGAAGAAAGTCCATCATGCCGATGAATTTGCTACCCCCAGGTCTTCTTATAGACCCGCCTCTTTTGAAGTCCTCATCATCTTGGATGACCCGCTATCTTCTGGTTCGTATGGTCGTTTCCCACCGTGCTCATCCACACTATCCACACCATCTGATATATTTGACAGACTGTCGGAAGGCCTAGATTCCCCTATCTCCGCTATAAGCCGGCTAGCAAACGTATCATAAGGCTGATATGGGATTCTTTTGCGCTTAATTGTAGGCCATTGGATGGGGGTTGTTGCATCCCTCCAATGACTGAGCGCATTCAGGACCTCGGTAGTGATCTGGGCCTCATAGAGTATGATAAAATGTTTTTCATGTATGTGAGTCGCGAGAAGACGTGACTGGAGCAAATTAGCTGGGACGCGATAGACCAATAAAATTTAAGCATACAGAACATACAGTGTAAGTGATTGGTTTTGATGGATTGACGGTGCGGTTGCGGTCTTTTAGCTGCGCAAGAGCCAACAAATGAGACACAAAATATGGATCGTCGGTCCATTCCTTTGGAGTTGTCCGAGCTTTCCGCTTTAGATGGATTCTCCAACCGATCTCGTTGCTACGTCCCCCTGGAGCTGGACGATATTGCCGATTGCGAGATCCATTGACAAATGTGTAGTGCACATAGCCCAATAATGAGCGTGAGGGATCCTCGATCGATTCTTGACTGTTATGAAACATGAGATATTCTGGCCGGTGAATAGACCGACGATCAAAAAAGAAAGGAGGTCCTTTGCTGCTCGGTGAAGTTGTCAGTTACCCCGGGTATATTGGTCATACTACCAGCCTGTAGCTCCCACCTAGTATGTGCAAATGGGCAATCCTTGCCTACCAAGATTTTGATCAGACGCTCACACTTCATCTCAGGTCGCGGACCAATAGCCAAGACTTCAGGATCGTTAATTTCATCCCAGTGAATACGATGTCGTGGACCCTTCTCGTAATGAGAATAATCTGTAGAGACAAGCGTGACAGAGACAGGGGAGTTGCGACATCTTCGAATCGACACCCCACCAGATCGAGATGATACGAGGTCCACTGTAGAGGACCTACAAGAAAGCGATTATGGTTTCGCACGAGATCCCGAAAGGACTGTGGCCCAGAATCAGCTACCATTGTTAGCATTGATGACAAGGGTGATGGTTCTGTCCAGGTGATGATGGAAATAATGCCAGGGACAGTGTCACCGCCTAATAGAACCCCCTCTGACCGCCTTCACCAAACAACCCTGGTTGTCTAGTGTGCTCCTAGACAAGATGACAGGGTATAATCGGACGAATCAACTTGTAGGCATGGGCAGGTTAGGCGCAACTCTGCCTAGGCTGCTACGCATTAGGCAGCAACTGCGAGGCCTTTTTCTTCATCTAGCGGGGGGAAAATGACGATTTTCTTCAAACCTCTCACACATCCACTTAATAAATATGTCTGCCACTCCCTATTTCAGCAGTGTCACCTCCTAATCCACCTTCAGAGCTCGCTTTCAAGCCGAAAATGGAAAGACCTTTTCAGAGCTGAATCATGTGGCTGCCAGTTCCTGGGGTCGGGCTCATTTGCTCGCATGTCGCGTGGTCAGGCGTGAGCCGTTGCACAATCTGCTTCCCATCCTATCAGGATATATGCCTTCGACAATGCGGCCTTTCCCGAATGAAATTACATCGTTCTTGGAAGGACCCGACCTGGCACTTCTGGCTGGCAGCGAGCACAACTTGGTGCTAAATACTGGTTACGGAATCGCTGAAGGACAAATCTGGGCAGCAATGGCCCAATTCAGAGGGAACCAAGACCGGCGCGTGCAGGGCCTATCTATTACCCAGGAAGGAAATGAGAGCGAGCTTGCAAGAAGGCAGTCCTCGCGTGTCAGACGAGAAATAGACCAGTCAGACTTCACCAATTCCGGCGAAATCCAGATTGGCTCCACGCATAGTAGCCGTAGCTCACACAGTTCCGAAGATTCATCTTTAGGATATCTCGACCTTGATGCACAGCATCAAGGTATAACACCAGAAGATGACACTCTGCGACTTGCGTCATGTGTGATTAGACATATCTTATACTTCGCTCCCCTCAACATCCAGCGCCAAGGTCCACTATTGTCGAGTTCCGAGACGCTAAGACACGGGTTGCCGCCACTACAATAACTAACCGCCGGCAGATAGTGGCCATTGACGATGGTGGCCTTTGTTTGCGACGCCAAAAATCAGACGGAGGTTTTATGCTTGTAGACAATCATGTCGCGATATTGGAAGCGAAGACGCAATTCCAGAGTCTTCGAAATGAGAAACCTGTTATCTCCGATAAAAGCCTTGCGCAGATGGTTTGCGAAGGGCTGGTGACCAGAGCCAGCAACACTGACATGAGTGAGATTCCTACACATCGAAAGCCTCAATGTCTTCGCTATGAACATTATTCATTCGAACTATGTACTAACGACCTCGGCAGTGTTGTAATCATCCATGCGACACAGCACTACATGTGTTTCCTCCATTTGGAAATCAGTTATGAGTATATGGAGACTTTTGATGGTCCCACACCTACACATATGTTATATGTGAGCTCGACGCCCTGGTTTGATCTCAGCCAAAAAGGCGGAAGGAAGAACGTCTTGGCCAATTGGTGTGGAATTATGTATCGGGCGATATCCGAATAGGAGCTATCCATGTATGGCTTTGCACTCTTTCCTAACGTGACCCTAGGCTGGGATCAGACGATGGTTGGATAGTAGGGAATATTTGACCCCGAGTTAACTATTTTTGTTGCGCTCCGTATTTTTAACAATTTGGTTTATTTGATTTCTATGCTATGTATACCAAGCCAAGCGACTTGAAAAGTTTGCTAGTTTCAAGGTAGGATGAATTACGGGCTACTACAGTGTAAAAGCCATATGGTCTTGCGAATGAAAGAACTAGCGTTCGTGAAGGTGGTAATAGAGACGGTAAGGCAGTTTCCAATAAGAGAGTTATGATCTGGTGGCATATTTAGTCGTAATGAACATTGGAAAAGTAGTCGTATGACTATATCTGAGATCTATAACGTAAAATAGACTTGCTTTGGTGGGAGTATCCTCGAATTCTGTGACAAAATCTATTTGCATGGGAAGGCATTCCGACCAGTTCGTACGGAGTAGAAACACAACCCAACCCCAGCAATATGGATGGTGCGTACATACATTGATTCCATTAACGCCCTCGCGTTCGTCGTGTCGAGCGAGGAACGTATTCAGGTTCTGCTTCCTCCTCGCCATTATTATCCACCTCGTTATCTGAACCCGATGAGATAGACACCGGCGGGGACTCCGAAGGAGGTCCAGATTCGAATGGCTCGTTGTCATCCGGGTCATAATCGGTGTGAGACGGACCTGCAGGACTCTGCTGCTGATCATGGTGCTCGACGATCAACCCATCGTCTGCGGCATCTTCATGACCAGGAAGAAGAAAGCCACCACCATGATCAATCGCGTTATATGACGACTCCCTGTCAGGCATTTCTTGATCGCCATCATCTTCCGATTCCTCCTCCCGCTTTTTCTTCTCCACAGCGAAGGGATTATGCGAATCGCGCTCCCTATCAGCATCTGGATCTCCACCTCCATACTCATCTCTCACACGCTCCATAATCCGTAACCCAAATAGAAACTTCCTCCACGTCTGCAGGATCTTCTTCTCTGCCTTCAGCTCCTCCCTCTTCCTCTTCTCCTCAGCTTCAACCTTCCAAGCATCCCTAAGTAAACCCTCGTTCTCGGCCGCAACAACAACACCCTGAATAACCGGTACAGCCATCTTTGACCCAAACTCGAACCCCGTCACTGCCTCCGCATAGTCAATTCCAAGCTTCTTGCATACTCGCACGGTACCAGGTAAGGGGACATGGGCCGCGCCCTCGGGCACCATACTCGGCACGAAACAGTCAATGTTACCATATTCGTTCTTGGGGATGCGGCCGTCCTGAATAGGCGGCGGGATGATGTACTCTGTCTGGTCGCGTGCGTACAAACCCTGTAGGGGTTTCTCGCCGGTCTGGCGGTGCAGTTCGTCGACTTCACGTTTGCGTATGAGGGTCACGGCGCGGATGGGCACGCGCTTGAGCGCTACCGCGCCCGGTCTCGGCTTGCGGCCTTCTTTGTGCCAGCTTTCAGCGGACAGGCATTTTAGCACGTCTGCTCGTCGGAAGACGGGTTCTTCTTTGGCCCGCACGCCTTTTCCAGCGATGAAGGTTCGGACGGGCTCGGCGCCGGGGCGGAGGGCTTCTTCGCGGCGGAGGAAGCGCTCTAGCACGAACTCGGTGGAGGTCCGGAGGCTTTGGAGAGTATCGGCTGTTTGAGCTGTTTTCTTCTTTTCGGGTTGGTTAGGTTGTAAATCTCGGGTTTCTTCGAGTTTGTCGACTGCGGTTTTGCTCTTGCGGGCTCGCTGGTACCCGCGCATTACCATCCCGAACCAGTCAAAGGCAATGTAGTGCCCGCGCTGGCCTACGGGTACTTTTTCCAAGGGCATTCGGAAGCCTTTTGTTTTACCAGGCCAGGTCCGCCGTCGGAGGTATCTTGTTGTGACCTCTTTAGCAGTACCATCGGACGAGTGGGCGACAACATAGCATATGACTTGTTTGGCCCGGTCTGCTTTTGCACCGCGTGGTTCGAAGTTTGCTTGTAGATCTGTATCTGCAAATGGCGCCACGGGGTTGGAAAGTACAAGCGGGTCGACAGATATGATCTCATTCGTGACGGGCGAGGCAACTTCGGTCCAATAGATAGGAAATGGCAGATCCGCATCGAATTGCTTACGCTTCTTCGCTGGTACTTTGTTTTCAGCGTCAGTCTCAGGCTCGGATCCTTCCGACTCCTCTTCATCCCCGGGGTCCTTATCTGCCTTGGAAGGTGTGAGAGGTGTGTAGGTCTCTCCTTTGGTCCAGCCAAAGCCCAACGGTTGTAGACTAGCCACCAGTCTGGCCTCAATGCCTAGAGCACGAACGAGAGCCGTGAAGAGCTGTGCGCCGACGTCCCGCGAGCCCTGCATACGCTCGGCGGTCGCGCGGAACTCATCCAGGTTGGCGATACGCTCACCATGACGCTCCGGGTCATGCTCCTCCTCGCGGAAGTCGGTGATTGCAGTTTCAAGGGCAGATACCGGCCGATATCCATACTTTCGCAATCCTGGCGCCGTGATACGAAACTGTTTCCTCCAGTATGCGACCAGCACCTTCATCAATATGATAATTGGATCACCACGGCTCATATCCGGCTGGCCTGGTTCCAGTCGCTCGGACTCATCACTCCAGTCTTTATTCTTCTTGGCCTTTTTGCCTTTCTTTTTACTCTTCGGTTCGGGTTTCGGCTCTGGAAGTTCTAGGCCCGACGCTATACGCCATTTCTTGACTTCCTTCTGAATCCCTTCCGGTAGCTTTTTGCGCAGGATCTCATGCACTTTCGAATCGTTGCTCCAGGAATTGCGGATGGCGTTGTGGAAAAGCAAGCATTGGACATGCATACAGTGCGTCTGGATTCGGATTTGGCGCTCAATTTTACTAGGCCCTTTCTTGCCCTCCAGAAGATCAGACACATGTGTCTCATTTTGGTCCAGAGTCAACTCTAGATCCTGTAGCTCCGGGGCCGCGACAGGTCTAGTGACGCTGGTCTTTGTGTCTATCGCATCCTCCCAGTCAATATCCTCTTCTTCATCTTCGGATTCTTCGGACGCAGAGGCATTTTCCTTGAGGAGACCTTCAGGTGCATCGCTCAAAGAGTTGGAGTCGGAGTCGGAATCGGAGAGGTGGAACGGAGCTTGGGGAGCTTGGGGAGGAGCTTGAGAATTATCGGGCCGGGCCTGGCGCTTGGCCGGGGGCGGGTCCTCGGAGGATACGCGCTTGCGGGGGAGAAATGGTGGCATAAATTGTACGAATGAATGTGAAGATGAGAAATAAGGAAGTTCGCCGAATGTCGGAGATGGGAGATGAAGGGATAGTCGTCATCGGCCGAGGTTGCAATCGCTTGACTTATTTCCTGCAACTTGCAACCTGCAACTTTCCTACTTAGCTACCGTTTCCAACTTAACAAAACTATTTGACTCTTCAAGAACATAAATCAATTCCTTCTATCGGATTATCATTCAAAGCACAATGTCAGCAGTCAAGCGATTCTTCTCTTCCCCCCGCTTTGCGGTGGCGGGGGCCAGCAATGACACTCACAAGTTCGGATACAAGAGTAGGGCAACACGCTCTGTTGGCATTTGGATAGAGAACTAAATAATTACAGTCCTGGCCTGGTATCATGAACACTCTCTACCGGTGACACCGCTGAATCCGCGAGCAGCGCAAATCAACCTCCCCTCGCGTGCTTATGATACAGTCCCGTCGCCGGCCGGTTTGCCATCGCCGGCGCAGACTTCTCTCTCAGTTGTGACTCCCCCGATTGTGACCCTTCAGTTGCTGAAGGAAGCGCACTCGGTGGGGATCCCTGCAGTCTGGTTGCAACCTGGCACCTTTGATGAGGAAGTGCTGGACTACGCCCAGAGTCACTTTGAGGCGGTGATTGCGGGCGATGGAGGACGGGGCAGCGAGGGATGGTGTGTGTTAGTTGATGGTGATGAGGGCTTGGAGGCAGCTGGAATACAATGGACCAGCCAGCGATTGTAATTTCCAAATGGATCTGATATATGAGGTCATGTAGGGGGTTTAAATAGTGCGAGACAAAGAAGTGACTTGTAAGGAAAACACTAATTGCCGCCACGGCCAACATCCAACCTCTCGCTTTTTTTTTCTTCTTCAGAAATTCTTCTTTTTTCTCCGATTTCGATCTTTTGATCTTTTGATCTTTTGATCTTTTGATCTTGGATCTATTTTGTCTTTATCCCTTCTTTCATTCAAAATGCCAGACATGCACGCTGTCTTCAACTCTCCTAGACTCGACCTCTCAAATGCACCCTCCCAGCTATTCAAAGTGCCAGCCTCAACGGCTTCCACGTCGCTTTATTCTCTCTCGGTCAGTCGCAAGCGACCACGTCGTAACACAGAGAAACATTCGGCACATAATGAGTCCAATTTTACCGGGTCTCCGATGATCCAACCCAACTACCGCTCAGTAAGCGTAAGCGGAGGCAACGACTTGCACGCTTCGGCTGAGCTAGATTACCGTCCAAACCGATACCGCGAATCCTTCCTCCCACCCTCATTCGATTCCAGCGACGAGTCAGCAAACCTAGCAGACTACAACGGCAGTCGCAAGCGCAGCCGCCGTGACTCTGGCATCATATCCGCAGGCCCCGACAGCCCCAGCACCACACCCACAGGCTGGGGCCAGACCGTGATCAAAGCCGTGAGCAAAGTCCTCGATCTATGCTGGACGGGCGCATTCCGAGGGTTTTACGCAGGAGGAGGCCAGGGCTACGACATGTCATCCAGCCCAGCAACAACTCTCGAATCCAGCTGGCTGCCCCCAACCAGCCCATCCGCCGAGAAAGATATGTACAGCCCGAGCACGTTTTGCTCGACACCAGTGCCCGGTCAATATCCAGACGACGAGGTTGACCCGAGCTGGGTGGTGGTCCCCGGGAGCTCGGATGCATTCGCGGGCAGCGAGCTTGCTAGCCCGTCACTCCGCACACGACGCGCTTTTCGGGCATCGAGTCCTCGTCGGAAATCCGCTGTTATGCCCCGGCTCACTAAACGGACTGCGTATTCCGTCGGACCCCACTCGCCTACTAAGGGACAGGGGGGCCTGCCATCCCCTCGGTTGAAGGATGCCCCCGTGTCTGCCGATATACAGCGACAGGCTGCTAAGATGCGCCGCAAGGAACGAGAAGAAGATGCCAGTCTCCAGCGATTGAATAAGCAGTTGCAGGCGATGATCCGCGAAGGGAAGGAGGCGTTGGGCACGACGGTGGTAGTAGACGATGTGGACATGTATGACTCTGATTAGGCTGCGATTCGCCTTTCCGAGCATCTTTTTCCATCTCGAGTGGTATGGCTGTTTTTGATTTCATCGCGTGTAACGACCTGATACCCCCAAGGGCGCTCTTTAACTGGGTGGTCCGGACCGGAAACCCCGGTTTTGATTTGGCTACGATTAACGATTTTGTCTTTGATTTTTGCTTGCGCTTCTTGCAGCTTCGTCTGTCTGTCTCATTACGTGGCAGGGCTTGGGTTTTCCTGCGGATTTCTATGCCCAGACTTCAAAATTGCCTGTGTTTTTACACTGAAGCTTCGCTTTATGATCGAATCAAGGAAAGCATTTGACATTGTTTGGAAGAATAAATGACAACTCAAAAACTGAACAACTGAATAGCATTACCGATTGCACATCCCCAATGTCGGTCGACTAGTCCAACGAACTAATTTCATAAAATCCTCGCCACAATTTGATCGAGAAGAACTAAAACACACGCAATTGTGCCGCATATAGCTTACTCAGAAGGCAGCACCAGAGGCCTGCTTCTGCTCACCAGCAAGACCAGGGCCAGAGTGAGGACCAGCACCAGACGCAGGGTCAGGGGGACCCGCAACAGAACCATCACCGATCTTAGAAGGGGAGCTGGAACCAGGCTTGGCCATAGCACCACCAGAAAGGAAATTAGTTACTTTTCCCAAAGCACCACCCTCGAGAAGAACACCAGCAAGGGTGGAGCCCTCGATGGGAGCTTGGTCACGACGCATCTAAACGAAGGTTAGCTTGGTGAGCTGTTTCTCTGCTAGTAGGTGGCACATACGGGCAAAAGGCCAAGGCCGTGGTGAGCGTTGCCCTTGAGAGCACCGAGGCCATCCTTGCCCATTAATCCGCCGAGGAGGCCGCCTGAGCTCTCGCTCGGCTTTGCTGCCTGTTCTGCAGCTGTCTTCTTGGCACCTTGCTTAGTCTCGTTCGCATTCGGCGCAGCAGAGTCCAGTTGCTCCAACTCCTCGGCGCGCTTGTGGCTCTTGGTAACGGGCTATTTGGACTATTAGCGCTTGTGTACCTCAAAAGTGTGGCCTGGGATAGAACTTACACCACTGCTAGTCAAAGACTGCAGGACACCGAAGATTCCCTTGGAATGGCCCGCCTGGCGGGTATCGAGCTGCTTGGCAGGGGTTCCGCTCTTCTGTTTATCCTGGTCCTGTGTTAGGTCAGCTTTCTTTTCCTGGTTCTAGGGACTGCTTCAATGCCTGATAACGCATGTCATACATTCACGAGGAGATTTCCGACGATGGGAATACCCCTGAGGCTGCTTTCCAGTTCGTCCTCCAAGCCTTTTCCTCCGTTCTGACCGGCATTTTGACCTCCGTTCTGGCCCTCGTTCTGGCCTTTGTTTTCATCGTGGTTTTGGCCAGCATTCTGTCCCTGATTCTGACCAGCGTTCTGACCTGAGTTCTGGCCTGCGTTCTGGCCCGCGTTCTCGCCCTCATTTTGCCCGGCATTCTGGCCATAGTTCTGATCGACGCCTCGGCGCTTGTTCATGCCATTCTCGCCACCAGTGTGTGTGTGCTAGTGTTCCGTCAATATCATGTCCCTTAAATGACTGCTGGCTGAAGATACATACCTTTCCGAACAGCCCTCCGATGATTGGCAGGCCACTAATACCATCTTTCCCGATATCTCGGCGCTGGTTCTGCTTGTCCTATTAGGGGGTCTCGGTTAATACTCTATTGTCTATCTCTATTCGAGAGAGAAGGGTAAACTAACGTTGCCAAGAAGCTTTCCAATAACCGGAAGCTCGTCGATCAGGTTATGGTGCTCATCGCGCTTGGCATCCTGCTTCTGTTCGATTGCTGTCAGTTCCTTTTCTTCCACTCTTTATCGACTAAAAGCACATACCCCTGCGAGCATAGGTCCAAGAAGAGGAATATCCCCAATGATATTCTTGTGCTCAACCGAACCCTGCGCCTCGGCACGCCCGGTAAGCTGCGCAACGGGGGCCGCCAAGCTGACGGCCGCAAAGAGTGTGAGGGCGTAAGTAGTCTTAACCATTGTGTCGGCTGTAGACCTGTATCGCAAGTATCAAGGTGAAAGAAAGGAAGTGTCGGCGAGCGACGGAGCTGGATTTGTAAATAAAAAACAAAGAAGGGATATTAATGAACGTCTGAGGGAATGCCAGTCACCTCGGGGGATTTCAGACTTTCTATAATCGTTCTAGCACGGATCGTCTTCGCATTCTGTCAGAACTGAGATATGAAGGGGTGTTGTCGCGGCCTGCTCCAATATCAACACCCCTCGCGGCGAATCCTGTAGCTTCTTTCGCCGCTCTGACAGTGTGGCTGGATTCTTTTCTCCTTCAACAGGAATGCACCGATGCTTGATTTCGACAAATCTCCCCGTCGATCATGGGTTCACCTCCCTGCTATGCAAGGGATGACCCTGGCTAATCGTGGGAGACGATGTAGGATCCAAGACCTGCACTGCTAGTGCTTCTGCCCTGGACATTTAATCCCGCGAGCTTCTTTCCGGGTGGTTGATTGGTGGTAGGCAATACGCCCTGCTTAAGGGGTTGTAGTTTGTTCCTGGGAGACATCCTGCCTCCTGCTTGGGATCTCATCGATTTGTTTACTGCCACTGGTAATGATCGGTCGGAGCGCCCGTATATATGTAAACTCCACCTCAACCTTTGGTTGGTATTTACAGACCGCGATCTACATAAGCACTGTATGTTGGTTATAAGGTATTTTGTGTTCTTCTTTGTTATGCATATATCTCATCATCTTCTACACAAGGCGGCCAATTGGCCTAGTGGTAAGGCATCCGTTTCCGGTGCGGGAGATCGTAGGTTCGAATCCTGCATTGGTCGTTATCTTTTTTTTTCTCCCTATTATCTGACTGATGGGACTTTTATTATTATCTTTGGGGCCTTTTGTTCATCCTCATATGGCAGATTCGTACATTTAACGAAAACTCTCAGCGGAGTGAGTATCTATCTATACCTTTATAGAAAACCTAAAAGCTACCAAAAGTACAACTGAGGGAGGCATTAATAATAGGACTGTACCATCGCTTGTCTTCCGCTGACACTACTTCAGGGAGACTGTCATTAGCATTAGATCAATCGCAACCTAGTAGGCTCAGTCATGGAGTCTAAGATCATCTTCGGTTAGCAATCCGGAGTGACGGAGATGTAGGTATTAGATTCTAGGACACTTTCACTATGCACAAACCGGACTAGAATCGTCTTGATTTCTTTAGGGACATAAAAGTGCGACTATTAACGGAGCGGCTGCATATGTTTGAAAGACCACTATATATTTAAACATTCGGCTGACTGTGCACTATACTAGACCGACTGTTTTTCTCACCTCAAAAGCGTCTCTAATGAGGAGAGAAACATGACCTGCCTCTTGACGTCTAAGAAGGGTTAAAATCGTGTGAGGGTATATTTAAGTAGCCCAGGGGACATCAAAAATCGACTGTGGAGCGATTGGCTTCTCGCGCTCCTTCTTTCCGCCATATCGGTGATCATCCAGGGATCTGGCTTTTCGAAGACGACATAGTGGTTCTCAATACTTGTCGATAATGGAGTCAACCCCGCTACCTAGATATGAATTCATTTTGCCATGTCAGAGAAGGCAAGCATACCAAGGAATAGTAAGAATTTGTCGCTGTCCCCTCCACTTTCTTTTTCTTTACCCCAAGCTAGTGGGGGGCAATCTCCTAGTTTCCATAATTTCGCACGAAGTGCTTCAAGTTGACACTGCACCTTTGTGTTTCCACGCTAAGCACGGAAAGAAATCATTTGAATGCAATCCGCCTCAGAACAGTTGATTTCAAGGGGTAGATGATGCTGAGTTATGTGTGCCATCATGTACCATGCACTAGCGGGCCCAGCAGCTATACGTTCCCGGGGGGTTCTTCGCGCCTGTGACATACTTTCCACATGATACTTATCTTTACCAGACTCATTTCGATCTTGTTTGGCGCTGTATACTGGTTTTACATCTGCTTGAAAAGCTTGATGCTTGATTTGACACTGCGGGGAGTCTGGAAGAGGATCATCTGATACGTGATTGAGCTGGCCCGTGCAAGCCGAGACCATATGCATCGCATCTTCGATAAGCTCCGCTATATGTTTTGTGAGATCTTGACTGCCTCCCTCTTGAAGCTGCAGATGGCCGTCAAATTGTGGAGTTGAGTTCCAAAAGAGCAGGCCAATGAAAAGCTGGTCCTCCGAGTCTTTGTCTCTTTGGAGCCATTGCCCACAGGCGTAAGCTAATTCAGAGCTAGAAACTTTTCCATTGACGGGTCTAGAAAACGCGCTTCCCCATTTGGCTTCGAAACCAGATTTCTCGTCTAGCTGAGAAGCAGATAGAGCTGCTGGAAACTGGAAGGAGATCAGTTCGAGGTGACATGAGTCAGGAATTTCGATGTGCAAATCAATTTGGACGCAACGATTAGAGGCTTGGGAGATATATCCCAACATCATGCTGAAGCCAAGAGAATACTGAAATAGTTTCCAGCCAAAGACGCTTTCCCACTGGATCAATACGATAATCTGCTGACATGGCGAGACATCGTTCACTGATGACCAATAGAGTCTTTGAAAACCAGGGATAGTCGAAACAAAGCGTAAAGACTTCTGCCAGAGTGTTGATGCGCGCTGTGATGCGTCGAAGACGTCGACCTCGGGGTGGAAAGTAAATTGAAGAATCCCAAGGACCGGATCATCGGGAAGTTCGTCGAGTTTTGGCTGAAGAGTATGGTAGGTCATGAAAGCGAGGTATGACTTGCACGTACTCTGAATGAATGCCAATCATTGTAATGCCTGTAACTATTCGGGAGTTCCCAGCTGCGCGTCTCAGGTCCGGACTCGGCGAAGTTGGCGGTGAAGGCGTCAATCACTAGCACCGCCCTCGAGGTTTCGCTCGTCTTAGTTCACTTTTCCTAACTATATAAGAGAAATAAATAATAGTAGCGCTCACTCATGGTACGTAGATAGGATTGGCCAATCTTGACAGCTATAAATTGTTCGCGACACATAGGTCGCTATAGTGACAGATGTACCGGATGATGCCTGGCACTCGGGAAATGGTTCCAAAATCAATCAACGACATAAAGTAAAGTGGCAGAGGAGGGAAGGAATGACTAAAAATGGTGCATATTTCAGGAAATCCATGAGCGCAATTCCAGGATCAATCAGACCAAGAGTCATATCCTTTGGACCATTCAAACTCCTCCGCGGAATCCCACCATCGAAAATCTTCGGGGACATCGTCGAATACTGTATTATGTTCCCAAATTGGAGTATACTGGGTGGCAGGAAACTTGCCCTTGGACTTGCTTTTAGCATATTTTTGTCGGCTCTGTGTGAGCTTGTTCTCTTCCTGGAGTCGAGCTTTTTCCGCCCATACTTTAAGATCCTCCGGGTTCCTGATACACCAGATGACGACATCTCGTGCTGCATATGCATCTTCTAAAGCACTATGCCCGCAATCGCTAGTCTGTATGTTCAAGCCCAAAAAGTCCTTCGCAAGTGTTTTCAACGCCCAGTTGCGGGTCAATGGCTTCGTTGATGGAATGGAAGGGTAGACAGTCTCAGCAGTCAATATCGCAGAATCAACAACTTTTGCATGAGATATGCCTAGTACTTCAAGATCGTACTGGAGAGAATGACCAACCAACACGGTCGAATCGTCCATAAACTCCCACAATTTATCGCGTGCCTCTCGCCAGGTTCCGAATGCTGCACCACAGGCAACGGCGCTAGTCATAATGGCCTGCGTCACGCCAGTGAACTTGTATCTCCAGTCAAGCACCTCCTCGGATGGATTCACATAGCGACTGATAAGCACTTCGCCGGTCAAAAAGTCGATCGCACTGAGAAAAGCGAGTGTTTGGCGACCGTTTCTCACTCCGACCATCTCACAGTCAAGGGCGATGGCACAAACAGTGCCCGCAGCTTGTAGCTCCGTGCTAGGTGTCTCTCGAAATTGATAGGTTGGAATTGATCCTTTGCGTGGGCTTTTCTTGTTTCTGATGGTTGTGGGACCTATGATATATCCTTCCGTCTCAAGACGATTGCATGAATGGCACCTCGAACGTAGATATCGCAAGATGAGATCCTGCTCCAGAAGGTCCATATATGCTGGATAAGCCGCAGTGCTAGATGCAACACATGGTAGAGCTTCTGTTGGAATGAATATAAGCCTCGGATTACTCAGTGGGTAGATACGAGGTTCCTTACCTAGTATAGGGCCTTCGTTGATGTTTAGTGCTGGCATAGAAGCCAGTAAATCATGTAACAAATGACCACCTGGAATTTCCGGTCCCTGCTCGATGAGTCTCGAGGGCTCATCGGGGACAACTGTGGGCATAGATATCGACCGCACAACGGGTGTCACCGCTGCGCTTGATAGTACACTTGGCGGTGATATCTGGTGAACATCGTTTGCTCTACCCGGCGAGGCTGTCTTGGTATAATAGCTTTGGTAATGTTGTATAATCGCCGTCTCATCCTGAAAGATTTTTTCGCAAATAGGACACTGGAGAGAGTGACGCTTCTTTTGGAAATGATTTCTAGCACCAACCAAACTCCGAAAATTCCCCCTCTCACACCCAGGACAGTAAAGCCGAATAGAATTTTTTTTAACCATGTTTATAACATTGAAGCTGGTCGGAATGCTAACCATACGTAGATGCCGCGTGAAGAACAGATGTAGTTGTAGAGAGATTTATTTGTCTGCCCAACCTTTAGTCTGGCGCCCAAGGCATACACGTAGTCAAATTCATGCATGCTGCGCTTAGAAACTATTGGCAAGTACAGGGGTTTTCGAACTACGCTGCGGCGCGCTGCTTCTCCACAACTCCTGCGCGACCATGCATTTTCATTATCTCAGTCTGCTCTATAGGTGGCAAAGCCACTAGCTGAAAGCTATTCCACGCAGGGGTTATTTTTAGGTACTGAGACTGCTTAAGGTGCAATATCTTTTATCCTAGTACTGTTTTGCTCTCACTTCGCTAGGTCACCAACGTAGTATTTTATTTGGAATGATTGGCTCTCGGAGGCTCACTGGTTGCTGCCCTCAACTTAATGCTTATAGGAACAGCAACACTTAGACTTGCTGAAGTACGATCAAGAAACATACAACCTACTAGGAAACCGATGTATATCCCGGCTTACAATATATAACTATGTCGTTGATTGTTGCTGGCATCGGGACTAAAGGAGTAAAAACTGGAGAATGTACGATTACTGAGTTAAAAAAATGTCGCCCCTCAATGGAGTAGTTCCAATAAAACGCGTTCTAAGTTCACCAATCAGAATCTTGAATGTAGATAAAAATGACACGAAGACAAAACACCCGATAGTGAAGTTTAGTCTTAAATCAGACATGGTATAAATCTAGCATATACTCCAAAGAGGCGCCATTGATATGTCGATAATCAGTTTCTGGGAATGGCTGCAGCCCAAAAGCGATCCTGTTCGAATTGACATGTCTTTGTAAGTTGCCTAAGGCAGGCACATCGAAGGAATCTATGGTTTCGATATCTTGAGGACAATCTCGTTCTGGAAGCAGCCCAAGAGCTAGATCAGAGCTGGTTCCAGTCAACGAGTACCCACTGGCATCGATAATGATATCAAGAAGATATGGTAACTGGCACATTCGTACCAAGACCTGTCTCCATGTTCCAGAATTCAATTTAACAAGCGAGAAATTGATATAGCGTATACTGTGGATAGATTGGTTGATAAGTGAGAGAAGATTATTGCATGAAATAGAAACTCCCCCCAGATCAAGACACCGTAGGCAGAGAGAGGATGGAAAGGCGAGAAAGTCAATATCCAGAACGTCGAGACTATGTATTGCGAGCGATTGGAGATTTGGCGCAATTTCAATCATCCGTAACATTCGGGTGGCATAAACGTTGTTCGGGAGTGCAGCATTTTCTGGCGAAACTGGTTTCAACCAGTACCTTTGGTCCCGCGTATTTGTATATTCACAGGAATATAATCCAAGATGTCGAAGACTTTGCGTGACATCCTCGATAGGGATCTGCACCGAACTGGTCTGGGTCGGGAAGAAACGTCCGAAATCATAGGTTAGGGGGAATTTCAACTCCAGTTCTCTCAAATTTGAAAGCGGCACGTAACGTAAAGTCGAAGAAACCGCATCCATATAGGCCCTTCTCTGCTCTTGTGAAAGGCCCAGGGGTGGTTCGTGAAATTCAAGCGCCGCGAGGTTGAAGAACTTGATCAAACAAGATGACAGGCATCCAAAGAGGTCTTCGATATACAATGCGGCGGTATACGCGGTAGATTCCGAGCCCGTCTCTTGAAACCCGAAATCAATCTGACGAACATACACAGCGTAGGGGCTTTTTGATAGTTTCATAAGTCGTTCAAGATGTGGGGGTCCTCTACAGGCGCTGTATCTCGCATCAATGTGCCGGAACAACCAGGATGCGGCACTGTGACAGAAAGCTTTGTTGACAAGACGCAGATTCCCTAAGTCTTTTCGACTCCTCCAGTAAGGTACCGAGTAATGCTTTGCAGCGTCCCACAGATATAGAGCACGGCCGTCATCGAGCCAGACATAATACGCAATCTGTGTAGATAATTAGCACCGAACCTAAGGCCTTAGGAGCAGAGTGTTTACTTGGTCACATATCTCTAGAGGGATATGCATTTTTGTGTTAGGCTGTCTTTTAACACTGAGGAGATGGTAGGAAACTTGAAGGGACTGATTGAAAAAAGGGTGTTCGGTTGCTCTATTACCGTTACCCCTCCTTCCAAACGATCACCGCCTACAGGACCTACATTGTATGTTGTACATACTAACAAATCTTTATGAACCGTTTCTTGAAGGTCTAGATCTGCTAGTATGAACAGATCATCTCTGGGATCAAAACTTCCTAGACATAGGGAAACCAAGTCGTAACGAGACAAGATCGATAACTCTTGGATATATACCTTCATAACATTTACTCTAAGCATCTCGATACTCAATTTCGCACTCTAAAGCTCTAGAATCTTCCAATATAGATTTCAAATCCACAAATCACGGACACGGTCCATGAGTTTACCTCGTTGTCCGTGCCAAGACCGTCGACCACGGAGGGCGGAGCCTTCGAGCAATCCCGCTCCGCGATTATGGTATCCCAGAAAATGGCAGCCCTAAAGTATTTAAGTAGCAAAGACAGCCAACACAATTTATTGACTATCAACAAGCAAATCAACAAACAAATCAACTTCTTTTGACATTTGTCTTTGATAAACCTACCAAAATGGCTCCCATCCACGTCGGCGCTCTGCTCTTCAATTACCAGGCGATCGACGTTATCGGACCATTCGATGTACTCAATTCCGCGAGTAAGGCGCTCCTCCAGGCTATCAGTTTCTTCAACCCCATCGATCCGAACCTTATAGCAAAGGCACCCGAATTCGTCTTCCACCATATCGCAGAGACCCTGGAGCCGGTGCACCTGCTTACAAGCTCTGTGACAATCATGCCTACGGTCACTGCGGATGACGTCCCGGAATTGGATATTCTCATCGTCGGCGGGGATAGTCCTACGAACAGCAATCTTGCTCCGAAACTGCAGGGCCTTATTCGCCGCCATGTCGCCGCTGGAAAGCTGCTGTTCACGACCTGCACTGGTGCTGGGATTGTCGCAGCCACCGGCGTTCTGGATGGCAAGAGGGCTACGGTCAATAACGTCGAGTACAATTGGCTGAAGAAGAAGTACCCGAATGTCAAGTGGACAAAGGAGAAGAAGTGGATCATTGATGGCAATATCTGGACTGGGAGTGGAGCAGTGGCGGGCATGGATATGGTTGCCCACTGGATCAAAGAGAATTTTGGGCTGGAAATTCTTACTCTCGCGGGCTTGTCGCTTGATTATGAACCGCGGGATGTTGATGGACTTTTCAATGTGCTGCCCCACCGATACGATTCGGCCGGAAATCAGATTTCCACCCATGTCTTTCCGAACGAGATCTGATGTTATTTTGGGCTTGCAGGGTTGAGGTCTGGAGCATGGATAACTTGTCAAAACGCTGTAGCTGATGAACCTGTCATGCTATGAAATGCATCCATCAATAGAATATCACCCCACAGCTTCTCATCTCCTATCTTCTGGACTTCCGTAGCAATGGCGTTTTGTAGTGTAGGCTGATCCGGAGCTTGAGCGATGCGGCGACTCGAATACCGCAACGCAGGGCAGCGGTGCAGCCCTTGAGCAGATGCGGCTGTGTTTTTTGAAGCAAGGTCGTGATGTGCATGGTGACTATCATGAACATGTGCGAGATTCTCTTTTGTCAATGCATAGGAATTCTTCACACTCCCAATGATCTCATGCATCATTGAAAAGAGGCTCTTGGTGGGGATTTGCCTATCTCGCGATGGTTTAATAGCCTGTAGATTAGACAGCAGTGTATCAAGGTATTCCTCTAGATTCACAGTTTCCTGTGCAATCTCCCCGTTCCATTCAGGTACTTCTGGCAGTCCCACAGACAACCTGTAAAGCACAAATATCGTCAAAATAACTTGATACCATGCGGAAATTGGCAAGCTGTTATGCTCCACAGCGGGAATAGTGAAGAACAAATCGAGATACTCCTTGGTAGAGCTGACGCATTTGACCAAGTTGCTGATGACCATTGGGGGTGTGGATAACATGGTGGAATCTTCCTGTGCCTTTGGAGACGGTGGCCTTCTCTGTCCATAGCAATATACCAAGCCCATTTCTTGAATCCGGATCTTGACGGTATGATAGCAGTTGATCAGCAACACTAGGGATTCTCAATCAGCTAATTCAAAAGCCCAGAGCTTGGGATGGTCCTACCCGTGCTGCGAAGATCCGTTGATAGAGACGACCACCATTCCTCTAACCGCGTCGTGAATCGTTCAGCATGAATGTACAGCCGAGTCCCATGAATGCCTTCGGATTGGTAAGTCTCGCAGACTTCCTCGGCGAACTGTAGCACTTTCGTCACTGGGTATATCAAGAGGTCTGTGTCGAATTCTGGCTGTTGTTGCAGGATCATAGCGCATCGAAGCATGGCCTCGTGAAACTGGAGATTATTGGGTTTTCCAGAAGACATTGATATTCTATCCAAATCAGCTCAAGCTCATTGGCGTGTATCTGGCGGGGAATGGCATCTTACATGCTAGACATGTAATAGCAGCCTAGATAAGCACGGCATGCTTCTCGGATATAAGCATCACCTAGCTCAGTTCGTTGCTCAAGCAATTCGGCAGCCTCTTGATCAAGGCGAAGCTCAATGACCATACCGATTCCGATTTGCAAGTACTGGTAGTATTGTGCACTTCCTGGAACAAAGTGGAAATGGTACCTGACATTGGTCAGCTTGCCGGTGCCTCCGATGCCGCGAAGGCAGTATGGAGACTGAAATCTTACCAGGCAAGGTGAACAAGTAATCCCTGGAGCAGATCTAGATCTTTTTCGCCAGCTATGATTACCCGCTGACTGAGAGTCTGCTTAAATTGTCTGATCAGGGCGTCTTGAAGGTGACAGTACTGTGAGGAAGCAGCAGCAACAGCTGCAAGTAATAGGAAGGGGCGGTCCTCAGCCATCGATGCAGCAGTCCAGGCGTATGAAAGCTGCACAAACGGAAAATAGGACGCCATGCCGCGGAACTTGTCTAGAAGATGCTCGAGGACGACAGGACCAAGTCCTAATTCGGTGATCCATGCAGCGTCTATCGCAGTGGCGTCCCAAGACTTTTCTGGGACAACTTCGGTGGTATTCTGCTCTTCGCTCGCCCCTAGGGCTTCGTTCAACTCAGGATCAGCCAGGTACCCTTGGCTCATCCATTCAGATGTTGGGTGTGGGTTGTCGTTGGAATATTCAGGAATTGCAGCCAGCCCACAATCTGGATCAACGGGTGTTTGGACTCCATGAAGGGGTGCGCCAGATTGTGATAGAAGACCAATGATATTGGTGAGCTTGGACTCCAGCTCGGCTAATCTCCTTCATCGCCTGTCAGCAAAAGTGACATCTTGAGGGGAGTACCCTCCACGTCCACTTACGGTTTCGTTCGTTGTGAAGCTCGAGCTCGCTGTTTCGGCTCTGAGAATACGCATTGAGCGTTTGATCTGGCACATCTACTCAAATTAACCAGAGTGTAAGTATACGGTCAGGGATGTGATACCCACTTAGTACAAGGCTGTCCTTCCTCGGGTCGAATACATTTGACCTTAAGGACACGGCATTTTTCGCATGCAAGTGTCACTTTCTTCGGCTGACGAGGTGAGTCCGTCGAGATTGCATTATCCATCGTCAGTCATATATATCAGTGATCTTAATCTCGAAGGCTCAAAAGGATGATGGGCTTGTTGCTCTGATATAGTTTGAGACCCCAAATCATAAGTACTTAAGCTGACAAATCCTCGTCCTCTCCGCCCTGACCTGCCTGTAGACATTCTAGAAAAACAGAGGGCGCATTGAGTGGATTATTAGCTGCTCAGCTGATGCCCACTGCGCGAAACGGATGATTACGTAATACACCAGGGCATCCATGCTCAGTTATACTCAGTGAGAAAAAAGCGGCAGGGGGTAAGCACTAGAAGGGAAAGGGAAATTCGCGCGGTAATGTGCATGAAGCCCTAACAACCCAGCATTCACCCGTAACTGCAGTAACTAAAAAGACGCAAAAATGTATTCCTATAGAAGAATAGCAAAAAGTTGACGACCAATGCAGGATTCGAACCTACGATCTCCCGCACCGGAAACGGATGCCTTACCACTAGGCCAATTGGCCAACCACGATGAGTTGTTATGAAAAGACTCAGCGGCCGGGACATATAAAGCATAGCCATGTTTACCAATTTGAGAGTATGTAGACTAGTTTACGCCTTCGTCTTTTATTAAGTAGATTTTCTCTCCTAGGCTTGCTGTATACCGTAATTAAGAATTCAAGGGCGAAAAAGGAGGCACGTAAACCGATCTATATGCATAGAGATCTTCATCCTTCAGGTTCATACATCTCGTCGAGTATGACTTCCGTTCCAACTTTTATTAAATATGCATCTACTGTACTTTGAGGAAATATATAGCAAAAGGAACTTACTTCATTTCGGGTACCAGCCCTGAAGTCTAGATCTATGCGTTTCAATCTACATAAGCCCCAAATATCCCGATATCAAACCCATCGGACCTACCGCACGGGTGATCTATCAAGTCTTGCTGAACCTCGCGACGAATGAATCTCCCAATGTGAAGTGACCTGTATATTCCCAGGAGCAAGATAGCTCATCTTTGCCATGAAGGGCTGAGTAAGACCGACCAGAGGCATCTCTGGTTCCTCCAGCCCCTTACCCGAAAGGACCGTCGCCTTCCAATACCTCGCAAAGGATGGATCATATATAGAATTATGGGCTGTAGATGGAAGCGCTGGCTTCCTGAACATGCTTTGGATTGCTGGCTCCAGAGTTGGGAGGCAGGCAACAATTATCCCCAGAGGAGGCACGATGCATGAAAGTATTGACTTCCTGGCTGAGCTGTACGTTGTGTCTTCTGGGTCGAGGTCAAACTCGCTTTTCATGCGGATGGCAATAATAGTGATGATTCTAGGGTATTGGTTAGTCATGAGGTCTGTAATATATATATTCGTTGCGTCCAGATACAATCACGGATTACTCACCCCAGCCCTAGCAGTTGGATACAAATCAGTGCAATCTTCTTGGTCTTCGATAACGGTATGCGCCACATCCAGGAAACAGGAAGAATGACAACCAAGAAGCTGAGAGCAGCCTCGCTCGCATTGACACTGGTATGCAACATTTCTCGATCACCGCAATGACCCGGAGTGTCGGCAAGCCATATTCTCTTCGGCGGGGTGCAGAAAAACGCTGTTGCAAAGAAGCTCGCAACCCAGAGAGCTGAACATAGGACCGTGATAATATATGCTAACACGGTCAGAGCTCGCTGACTGAAGTTGTGTACATAATAGTTGAGAATGGACAGCTGAACCAATGCGATCACCGTGACCCAGAGAAGATCACCCGCATATGTAAGCTGATGGTAGGGTTAGTTTAAAAAACATACATCGACAAGAGTCAAATAGATGCCACTCATTGTGACTTACTTCATTAAATTGGACGAAAACCTCAGACCCTCGGACCTGGGCTACCTCTGTGGAATGCAGTCCCATTCCACACAGCACGACCATCATGATTTCCACCACATAGCGACCGACCATCAAGAACTATATGTTTATGGTCAGCTTTGTCGAGATATTGCGGGGAGCCATGGTGCCAACCACTGAGAATAAGCAATGAAATAGATAGCCTTACCGTCGCAACTATAATCAACAAATCATTCAATTGCAGCGACTGGAATCGTCGCGACCATAACCGCAGACCGACAAAAACAAAAACAATACCCAAAAGGACCGACTGGACAGCGATATCTGTCTTTCCCAAGGTATTATGACCTAGGGAGTGAGCCAGTGTGGAGGGAGACGCCATGAGGGAGAAGTTGACGCCGAAGAACCTCGGAAGGGAAGTTTCTGATTTAATCTTAATTTCTAGGACACCATCCGCAAAATATGAACATTCGGACATGAAAATATTGAGGGGCCTAAGTAGCGCACGAGGGCGGGGCAATTATCTCGAGACCAATGCTCGAGGGCAATTACAGCATTTACACACTACAAAGAGTAAGATCGCCAGACTATGAGCAAGGGCCTCCGGAGACTTGATCCCTCTGTCACGCTGGCAAAACGTGGAGAAGTTTCTAGGAGCTTGATCTTGCTTATGGCCGCTGCAGGTTACTAGGATCTCAGATGCAATTACTACTTCATAGTACGACGTACTTTTTCCAATTTAGAATCACACTTTATCTATACTATTGTACAGTTGAAGTACGCATATAGGTAAGGAGTGCCAAGTACTTCCAAGGATTTAACATTAGTATAGGGCTCGAAAACCGAGGTCCCCAATTTATCTCAAACGTCAGTGTTTCATCTTCCGGGAGACACTCCCCACTCGACCTTCCCTTCCCGTGCGGGTCATTCTGTATTCACCGTCTACTGTTTTCATATCTAGTTGGACAATATACATGTATAACCGGGTCCTAGGCAGGCTATACCAATTAGGGCTATGCCGGCCAAACACGTAGTGACTGCCACGAGTTACCTACGTCTCACATCTTGTCCTATGGGATTCCTCGTCGCAGATCCACTTTCCCATTTGCATACTAAAATCCTTGGCTTTTTTTGTTGTTGGGATATTGTTTTTACAAAGCCTGTAGAAATTATAATCCAATGATATTTGAGAAGTATTTTGGGCTTCTAGACTGCTCTACCGCTATTTGAGGTACTTCACATAGTTTACTCTCTCGAAATGTACTTTTCAGTTATACATTCTTTCTTTATTATCTTCTACCTTGCTCAAAAATATGATTAGAATTGATGTACGGAGTATCTATATGTCCATAGCTTAGGTACGGAGTAGTATATTAAGATTCGAGATAAGCTTCATGTTAAACCTTATAAACGTAATCTTATACCCGTGAATATACGGAGGCATGATCTAAGGAGTCAAGCCAATAGCACTCTAACGCTGGGCTTGAACTAATTGAAACTGTCTATTACCAAGTGATGTGCAACCTTACCTAGTCACTTGCTACTATTAATCAACTCACTGTCAACAACATCGCCATGTCATTTCACGTATGAACCGTCCATTATTCAAGACATCCTTATGATCCGTGTGTAGTATATTGTCTGTCCAACGCAATAGAAATGACCCTCCCCACAGAGAAGATCCAGGTATGTATAGGTACATATGTATAATTTGACTAATTTCACAACCTACCGCCTCAATCGAGGAGCAGCTAGAGGCGAATCAATATGCCCCCACTCAAAATCTTCACTCTCATCCCCATCATCATAATAATCCAAATCAAAACTATCCTCCTCAGAAGAGGGGCCGACATGCACAGCCGGTGACGAGATAGGACTAAGTGCCACACGCGGCCGGGACTTGAAGACACTTGCGTACTCAGCATCTTCCTCAAAGAGCCGATCCTGCGGCGTCGAAGCACGCGAGATATCATCCCTTGAATGAGCTGAGTGCGTGGAAGCCTTTCGCGGAGTGATGAACTGGTTGACTGGGAAGGAAGGGCGGGGTCTGCGTCGTCGTCGTGGCGCTTCGTGGGCCACGGGTGGGAGGAGAGACATTGATCTGCGCGTGCGCTCGGCCAAGGTATCGGAGCGCTTGATGGGTTCTGGAGCTGGTTCCTCGTCAGACGAGGCGAGGTCTGGGGAGAGCCGGACGGTTGGGGGCGAGCGTTGAATATGTTCTGATTCTGATTCTGGATGTGGCTTGGGCTCGGGCTCGGTCTCAGGCTCTGAACGGAGCCCTGTGGTTTCCAAGTCTGGTGAATGACCTGGGGTGTGGTAGTCTTCTGCTACTGTTGATGGCGAGCTGACAATCTCCGACAAGCTTCTGAATTGTAGTTTGCTGCTCTTTCTAACCTCTGGTGTAAAACCTGCAGGCTTGACGCGGGATTTTCCATTGATGCGGGAGAGCGCCTCATTTACAGAGGAAAGGAGATATTTATCCGGCCCTTTCAACGTCCGCCCGCGATCCCCAGGCTGACGAACAGCTTTGGATATACTAGCAATTGTGAGAGACTGGTGATCCCGGAATAACACACGTGGTTCTTTAGCAGAGGCTGTGCTCGTTTCGTCGGTACCTCTTTCCTTTGAGAGGGACTTGTTATATTCGTGCCACTTGTGCAGTCGACTTCGTTGGGCCAGAACGCGAGCCTCCAAATCAAGGACTAGATCCTGCTTCAAGCCACTGCTGTAACTGTCCACATTCGAGTTCTTTGCCTGCATCCATGCCGCCGAGAAAGGGAGTTCCAGAAAAGCGTCGGCGGTGCTTTGTGATCCGCCTTGGAGCAGTGCAGCGGCCCATTCCTCGCTGCCTAGCCAATTTGTTTGTAACTCACGCACCATCTCGGGATCACTCTGCATATCATTCATACGACCTCCTGAGCCTTGATCCGCACGTTCGGTCAGCTCCACCCCTTTATCATCCAGCAGCTTCGAGAACCGGTCATACGCCTCTTGAACTCGGGCATGGCGTTCTCCCACAGAACCGAGAGATGCTTGGTGGGCAAGAATGAGCGGCAGGAGAGTCCGGTAGTCGGTCGGGGTCATGGCTGACGTGGTCGAAAGTCTCATCGCAGGATTCCAAACCATCTCGTTTGCGGACACCGCCACAACTTTACGGAGAACGGCCGCGGAGAAGCTAGCAAGGAGCTCCTCGAATTTATCGCCCTTGCAATCATCCAGCATGGTTTTGCGAAGGACAATCTCCCTTCCCAGATCGCCATTCTTTTTCAATTCGCCTAGGCATCGAAATAAAGCCGCGCGGAGGTTGACGGACTGTAGAGGCTCTAACGGGGGGAAGAAGGGTCGGAGTTTCTGTAGGGGATGTCAGCCAAGTTCACGAATTGGAGGCTTGTGATTGAGTAACTGTACATTGTGAGCGCTCTCTGGATCCCAAATTGCGTAGAGGTGATACAAGGCCCATTCTATCAGTCGGATTCGGTTTCGTTGGTTCTGTGGTGTCGGGCTCAAGGTGGGGAGAGATATACCCGGCCAATCCTCGCGTTGGTCCAGATGCAATAGCTTTAGACTGCGAATAAACACATCCAAATGTGAGGGACCCGGCCAGTCTAGGGGTTTCGGCCGAACAGGCCTTGTTGCAGCCATCCTGTGTGGAAGGGGACTTTAGTAAACAGGCGGCGGAGAGTAAACATAGATAAGGAAGGTTTGCACTGTTTGCAGCGCCTATCAGACCCGCCTTTATTGTAGATTGTTTTTCCCCTCCTCAATTGTCCTCTTTACTTGTGCTGCGTTCTTCCTCTCGGTCATTCTCTCTCTTCAATAACATCAGCCATGGCGTCCGACGCTCCTGAATGGAGCCCCGAGACCGGTAAGCCTCTAACTCCTCTTTTCAGACTATGCAAAGCTAATATCCGTAGTGCTCTCTACCCTCCCCTACCGTCCAGAAGAGAACTCTACCTCACCCGTCCCCTTCTTCCACTTGATTGAGCGCCTCAAGACCACCAAGCGCGAGGGCTGGCGCCGCTTCGGTATCAATGGAGAGTCCATCTCCGACCATATGTATCGCATGTCGATCATGACCATGATGGCCCCGCCGTCCCTGGCAACCAAGATAAACATCCCGCACTGCACAAAGATGGCCTTGATCCACGACATGGCCGAGGCGCTTGTCGGCGATATCACTCCAGTCGACTACCACATCCCCAAGGCCGAGAAGGCTCGCCGCGAGGCCTCCGTTATGGAATACATCGCTACTACCCTCCTCGACAAGGTCCCCGGAGGCGCCTTCTCGGGCGGGAAAATCAAGGAAATCTTTGAGGAATACGAGAAGGATGAGACTCTTGAGGCCCACTTCGTGCATGACATCGACAAGATGGAGCTCCTGTTGCAAATGGTTGAGTATGAGCGTTCGGACAAGGTTGATCTCACCGAATTCACCCACGTCGCCTCGCGCATTCGGTTGCCCGAGATTCAGGCCTGGGCTGCGGAGGTCATTCAGGAAAGGCCGAAGAAGGCATAAATATGCATGCAGCTTGCGCATTATTGCAGGGAATGGGTGACGGGGGAGTTGGCATGCACTGGGCTTGTTTGAAAGACCCATTGCATTTTTGGCGTTTGTTTCTTCATTTTTACATTTGCATTTCATTTTTCCGGGTACTTTAGATACCATAGAGGACGAATCACGAGAGCACATGGTTACTACAGGGCTATTTCACTAAACTTGGTTATCTGGTAAGTACGTGTAGCTCTGCCTCGGCAACTTCTATGCAGCTTTTCCAGTCTTCAATTCAATACGAATGAGGGAGGAACACGATTGATTATTTAACCTTATAATACAGTCGATCCAACCAAAGTTCAACCGTGCCACAAGACCGCAGCTTCTACCTGGAACTTCTATGTCCGCGAGCAATTGAAGCTTCGGTAGAGGGAATAACCTCAAATATACACAATTGCCTCGGACCTTCATATCCAAGACATAGACCCAATTAATCAAGAGGCTCATTCTCCATTTCCCTCGCCAAAATATCAGCCTCAGCCTTCATTTCATCTTCACTGCGAGGCTTGCGCGACTCATTATCCACAACCGGGAGCCTAGATCTCCTCCCCGAATTCGCAGACTGGTCACCCTCTTCCGTAGGAGCAGCATTCTTAAACGCGTTCCCCAAATCCCCCTCCTGCCCATCTAGCAAGTCATAAATCGCATCCATGCCACCGGCATGATCTAAATCCGCCGACTTGCGCGGGATTATATGCGCATGGACATGCGGCACGCTCTGGCCGGCGTCTGCGCCGTCCTGAATGGCGATGTTCAAGCTTGTGGCACCGTATACGCGCTCGACCATCCGACCCACGCGTCGGACTGTTAGGAAGAGGTCGCTTGTTTCGTCTGGGGTGAGATCTGTGACGCGGGGGACGACGCGGCGTGGTGAGACTAGGACGTGGCCTGGGAGGATTGGTTTCAGGTTTACCAGGGCGAAGGTTAGGGACGTTGTGTAGAAGACCTGTTGGTGTGTTGGCGTTAGTTGTGTTCATGGTTATGGTTGTACTTGTGTCTATGGCTAGTTCTGTGATATAACGTGGTTGGTGTTGGTTGAGAAGACTGGGGGTTGAGTGGATCATGAGCAATTTACCTGTGGTGTGACAATGAAGGAGCCAAAGTAGATTGGCGCTGTGGTAGCTTTGAGAGCTGGCATTTTGGAGTTGGATATGGGATATTGAGGTGAATAAGAAGGTTGTCAACTTATCCCCGGTAGCTTTTCGGTGATGTCGGACGATGTGTTGATAAGCGCTTATCAGATCAATCTCGAAACCACACCTCGGGACTCCGAGGTCCCCTTCACCCGCGGACTACATTCCTTGTTTTATCCATGAATATATAGAAAGCACAGGAAAATGGGTATCATTGACATTGGTCATAAACAATATCCTGAACTATATTACAAAAAAGTATCTGGTAGGTAAAGAATTGCGACTCATCGCTGATCAAGGGTAAGAATACATACAAACAGTCGTGTAACATTGGCATGAAAGGTTCGAGAGAGTTTTGATATCACGACTCCTCCTCCTTCTCTGGCTCGTGTTTGGTTTCGGGGGCAACATAAGGCTCTTCTACCGCCTCGACCGCCTCTTTGAGCTCTTCAGCTGGAGTCTCCTCTTCGTGGGAAGTTGTATTTTCATCGCCTTCCGTAGCATGCTTGTTGATGGCCGATTCTGTGTTTGTGGCCGGCTCTTCGGAGGAAGACTCCTCAGTCTGCTCGGTCTGCTCGGTCTGCTCAACCTGCTCACTATTCTCCTGTTCTTCGGCAGTTTCAGATGGCTGCTCATGGATTTCTTGCGGTGGCTGTTCCTGAGGTTCCTCAACTAGCCCTTCAGAGGATTCTTCCACATCGACAATTGGCTCATCCGCGACGGTACGTTCCCCTGGAGTCCGTATTTCCAAAACAGAAACAGGCCGCGGTTCAAGCGATTGCTTCAGGGGCTCATGCAATGACGATGACGTAATCTCTTCCAGATCCTCCGCATCCTCCGCGATAGTTGTAACACGCGATCCTGTGGAGGGACTGTGCTTATGGCGACGGGTGGTCGCGCCAGTGAGGAGCGCCGGGTCTTGACTCTCCACAGCAGTACCGAATGTGTTATCACTTTCCTTGCGTAGAATGGTGAAACGGTTGTTGCTGTTGGCAGGTTTTTCCTTGGTTTCTTTTCCCTCGACCTCCTCCCTCCTTTTCTTGGCCGCTTCCCTTTTCTGGGCTGCGGCGGCTTCATCAGGTCCTCCGGCCTTAAGGGGGATTGTGTAATCCGAGACAAGGTTGTAGTAAACACAAACGGTCTTGAAAAAGACGTACAAACCACCATGATTATCTACTTTCGAAAACACAGCAGGATGCCGGTACCATGCGTGCGCAAAGAAACGGTAAAGGCGGCGGAAGATATCATGCAAGCGGTTTCTGGTGTTCTGATCGCCTGACAATCTAAGTCGGCTAGGGAAAATCTTCTCCGAGGTGAGAATATTCATGGCCCAGTCCAGAGTATGGCAGCAATAGTCAATCGCGCAGCAGTATTTGGCTTCCGGGTGTCCTGCGCCCGCGCAAATGTACTGCCAATCGTTGACTCGCATCTCGGGACAAGTTTGCGACGAGCAGGGCGGGCTTTCAGAGAAAAAGCCCTCGATCAGGCGGTTGGCTTCTATAGTGAAGAAGCGGCACAGTTCGTATTTCCAGACCGTCTCCTCGAATCCCTTCGGGGGTTTTGTCAGCTCATTCGCAACCTCGCTCCCCGGTCTTGACGGCTCTTTCGCCATCTCGATCCCTGAGGGTTCTGTCGGCTCTTCCGCAACCTCGCTCGTCAGGTCCATCTTGTCAAATCCTTTGGGGTTCTGCTTATTGTATTCCCCCAGAAGCACATTGTATTCCTTCATAAGCACATCGTAGTTCGGGTCCGCCTTGTCAGATGCTTTAAGCTTCTGCTCAGTGTACTCCTTCATAAGCACCTCGTGCTTCTCCATAAGCACATCGTACTTCTCCTTGAGTTTAGTGTACTGGGGCGCAAGCTTATTGAACTGGGCTTTGAGGTGTTCCTGGAGCTGGAATGGAGAATCAAGCTGTATTTATCAGTAATGTCCAAAATATCCAGTGGAGAGCAACTAACCTGTGAAAGGGGAACCACTGGTGGACCAGATGCCATGTTGGCGGATTTGGTCCCTGGCCGGATTCTGCGCGTCGAGCCATCATTTTGTCCCATCGCGACGCCAAGCAGGTCTGTATCTTTGGCAAAGGAGTCGCCAACCGATGGCGACTGAGGCCCAAACTGAACCTCAGTAAATGGAGGAGGACTGGGAAGCCGCGGGGAGCTTGACGGGGAGACTCCCGCAGCAGTCATGACGACAGTAAAACGAGGGCGCTAGATGAAATGAGAGAAACCGAGAAACAGAAAAAGAGTGAATGGTCTCTAGAGGCCCTGTCAAACTGTGTTAATGAGAGCAAAGGTCGAGTATGGAGAGCAAGCATAGACGCTAAAGATGACCATCAACATAACAACCGCTGACCGCCCGAGCCCTGTACCCTAACGTCTACTTTGGGAAACAACGTCATCCGCCGCATCTACGAGGTTTCTTCAGACTCTGTTCTTCTACGTATTTACGCAACATTCAAAGACTAGCACATTATGTCTGCCAATTTTGAAGATGAGGATGCTCCTCCGGAGCTTATCGATGTGTCTGCAACGCCAGCAGACCAAACATCGGTAGATGAAGAACCAACAGCTCGCGTGCCCATCACCCTGATTACTGGTATGATTGAATAGAGTGCATATTGATTTAAGTAATAAAATGAGACTAATACGCCGATTAGGCTACCTGGGGGCGGGGAAAACGACTCTCTTGAATTATATCCTGACAGAGAAACACGGCAAGAAAATTGCGGTGATCATGAACGGTTCGTCTATTACACCGGGCTGTGAGATATGATACACGTCGCTAATGAATTTCCAGAATTTGGTGACTGTAAGGTGTCCAATCAAAGGACTAAAAACTTACATTCTAACATTATCACAAAGCAATGGATATTGAAAAACCAATGACAGTAAACCAGGGCGGCCAAGAAGTGACCGAGTGGATGGAAGTTGGAAATGGCTGCATCTGCTGCTCCGTGAAAGACTCAGGCGTAATGGCTATCGAGTCATTGATGGAACGCCGCGGTACCTTCGATTACATCCTTCTAGAGACCACTGGTCTTGCCGACCCGGGCAACATCGCCCCAATCTTCTGGATGGACGAAGGACTAGGCAGCTCTATCTACCTCGATGGAATTGTCACTCTTGTCGACGCAAAGAACATCATGCGCTTGCTGGATGAGCCGGCGCCTGAAGAGAAGGCCGAGTCGCATGACGTGCACCACGACCACGGTTCTGGCCCTGTTCTGTCAATGGCGCATATGCAGATCTCACATGCGGATGTGGTGATCCTCAACAAAACGGATCTCGTCACAGACGAGGAGCTGGAGGCTGTGCGAGATCGTGTTGCCTCTATTAACAGCGTGGCTAAGATTCATGTGACAGATCATAGTCGGACGCCGCAGATTGAGGGCGTTGTGTTGGATTTGCATGCTTATGATCACCTGGCGGATTTGGACTTCAGTAAGAAGGGACATAGCCATATGGACCCGGTATGTTTATATCCTCTTCTGTTTCCTGCTTGTTGCAAACAGGGAATGCAATCATGATTCTAACTATAACCAGGCAATTTCTACTATTGCGATCGTTACTCCTCCGATCCCGGCAGATAAGGTGAACTGTGTGGATGCCTGGCTGCGCTCTGTCTTGTGGGATACAACGTTCCCTGCGCCTGCGAAATCAGTCTCATCCGAACCACACCCCGTAGACTTTGAGGTTCATCGGTTAAAAGGTATACTGATCCTGGATAATGGGAAAAGCAGAATCATCCAAGCCGTGCGGGATGTATTCGAGATTCGAGATGCGGAGCCTATAGATACCGAGGATAAGTCTAAACCACTTCAGTGCAAAATTGTGCTGATTGGACGAGGACTAGGGCCAAGTGCAGAGCCTTGGCGGGAGAGTTTTGAATCTTGTTTGGTTGCCAAATGAGGAGAGTGCATTGTCTATGATCAAGCATAAAGAAATCATTGCTCCATGGAAGGAGATAGCAGGGCCTATTTACGGTTAGAATGCGAAAGTCAGTCCTAGCCAACAATTGCATTGCCAAATAACGAAAAAAAGAAATAATACAGCCCTGTCAGACAAGAAGAGGTATAAAAAAATCCCATCAATATACATCGACTTCCCGGGTGAGAACACCAGAACGCAGAACGAGGGCCTCCGACAAACCATAGAATAGACAACAAGGAAATTAAAGAGAGCACAAAAGAGACAGGGGAAAACAAAAGAAAAGCTGTTACCCTAGCAAAAACCAATTAAAATCCGCCAAAATGCAAAGAAGAAAAAAACAAAGGACTTTTTAGGACTCCAGGTTCGCCCGCCATCGGTATAATGCTTCCAAAAGCTGAATAACACGAGGCAAACGACGAGGCATAAACTGTACAAGCAGAGCAAATCAAAAGGGTATCGAGTGCTCGGCCCCGAATATGGGGCTCGTTCGGAGAAATGGGTCGTGGCGTCGTCGGCCAATGTAGCAAGATTGTTTTGTAAAAATATTAGTGATCTTGCGTTGGTTCGAGGTGTGAACTTGCCTATCAGGGCGAAGTTGTTTGTGCGGGGGGATGTATTTGCGACTATATTCGATTCGAGGAAAAACGTGCCTGGCTCAAAATGCCCGGTTTGGCCTGACTTGAAGGTGAGCCATGAACCCCAAGATAAGTCGAACTAGGCGTTGAATTTGGGTGGGCGGGACTGATTGGCAATCTCGAACCCAGCAGATTTGAGTTGGAGTTCAGTGAATGTTCATTCTCCTGCGGTTCGATGGGGTTGGAGTATTTTTTGGCGCTCTCTTGCTTCTTTGAAGTCTGAGGGTTGAGGGATGAGACTGACCCTAATGGCATTGTCGAGGTGGACTTGACATCTGGATTATTTGCAGATGGGTTTTCCCATGGCCGTCTTAGCAGTCCAATTCCAACGACAGATGGACTTGTAGCGAATGGTAGAGGGCCAATGGAAGCCCCGGTGTGGCGGAGGTGGGAAATGTGCATTGAGGGAAGTCGAGGTGGTGTTGACGGTAATGTGGGTGTGATATCGTTTTCATAGAGCATATCCGGCTTTGGTGGCTCAGTAGGAGAAGGGCCCTGTGATGAAGGGGAACTTGGAGTGTTGATGGGAGTCACGGAAGAACGGAATGTTGGGCTGATAGGCAATTCCGAACGGGCCAGACTTGATGTGGAGGGCGATGGCTCGGTAAGTTTGGGTTTAATACCGGTGTTTGCACACGGTGAATTCGTATAAGTTTGCTTCGGTGGCTCGATAGGAGAAGATTTCACTGATTGAGGGACGCTTGGAAGCTCGGGTGAAGGCTCAGAGCGAGCTAGAGTAGGATTGGCCGACGATGTCGGGCGAAGCTGGGAAGATGTTGAGTTGGATTGTGTTGTGGGTATAGGCTTGGTACAGGTGGTAGCCTCTGCACGTGGTCGATTGAAGTTATCCTGCCTTAACGGTTCGACAGGCAAAGAGTTCAGCGATGAAGTGGTGCCCAAAGCGCCGAGGGAAGTTTTAGAAGAATGGAAAGTAGGGCTGATAGGTAGTTCCGAGAGAGATGGAGATGATAATGAGGGCAATGGCTCAGTTGATTTAGGTTCGGTTTCGACATTTGCGCATGGTAAGTCTGCATTCTTCTCCTTTGGTGAGTCGATAGGAGAAGCTTTCCCAAATCGAAGGCTAATAAAACCCTCAGAGTCACGGAAGTTAGGGCTGAGGGGCAAAGATGAGGATTCAAGGTCATCCTGGTCATTGGCGAACTTCGCACATGGCCGATCCACACCGTCTTGCTTTGCTTGCTTAATTGAAGACGGAATTGTCGAAAAAGGGATGTCCTGAGTGCCACTTGATTTACTGGAGTCACGCAAAGTAGGGTTAATTGGCAAAGCTGAGGCTTCAAGTTTACCCTCGTCATTGGCGGCCTTTGGACTGGGTGGGTTGAGAGCGTTCTGGTTCTGCGATTCAGCAAGACATGTGCTGACGGGGGGCGGGAGTGAAGGTGCGGTAATTGGAGAGCCCCTACGATAGGTCGGCTCATTGAGTGTCTCTTGCTGATTATTCATAGGGGCACTTTCGAGATAGACAGGCTCATTTGGAAAGGCCGATAGTTCCACTGGCTGGTTGTGGAAGCCATTGTCCATTGACCTTGTCTGAGAAACTGGAGCAGCTTCTGGATTCTGACTATAAGAAGGTGGGTAAAGTGACGAGCCATCATTGAATTGGCGGGAGAAATCCATGTACTCGTCATGGCTGTGAGGTTCGTGGTGATTCAAGGTAGAGGAAGAAGATGGCTTAGATGAGAACCCCATGTCTCCATTCGATTCTGCGAGAGGTATTGTTGATCGCTGGAGGAGGTCGTGATTTTCAGAGAATATGGAGTGCTGCAGATTACCGTAGGAATCTTCCGAAAATTCCTTTTCGGAGTAATAGTGGCCATCTTGCTGCATCATTCCCGGCTGAGGCTGAGCCCAGTTCCTGATTGGTAAGTGCCTGGACTCGTTGGCAATGTCCTCCAGTGACCGAACAGGCGTTGATACCCGTGCTTCCGGCAGTGGGGGGAACATTGAGAAAAGCTCTTTCGCAGAGAGCCTATGTCGCGGAGTCGGGCTTAAACAGATGTCCACTATCCGTCGGTAATAGTCTGGAATCTTCGCGTCGTCGCCCATTCTAAGAGGTCGCGGTTGTCGTTCAGGTTCGTCCTCCTCCATCGCCAATGCCCACAGCGTCATGCCCAGTTGGAAGAGATCTGTCTTGACGCCAATATACATGGAGATGCGCTGGTTGCTCTCGATCTTAGCGGCGATTTCCGGCGGCTCCCATCCCACTGGACATCCCCTGCGGTTGATATCAATGATTTTGGCGTTGTCGTCTGCATCCACCACAATGTTCGCGAGGGTGAAATCGCCCTGCACGTAGCCCGATTCGTGGATCTCACAAAGACCCTGGACAATCTGCTTTGCCCATCGTTCGCGTCGTGCAAAGCTCGTTTTTCCGCGTTGCTCATACAGAATGTCTACCAGTGCGCCATTTTCTGCATAGCTAATCAGCAAGCCCTTGACAACACCTCGCCACTCATCGACAACGATTCCTTCCACCTGGATCACACTTGGACGGTCTTTTAGCGCATGCAAAGCGTTAATCTCGTAAAGGAACTCGTCCACAGTGTCGGGGCCCGGTATTTCCTTCTTGATAAAAAAACGTCCGTCCAGGTTTATTTTGTAAACAAAGCCGGATAAATGAGATTCGAAATGCAACAAGTCCTCGGGGATCATAGGGGCATTGACCAAATGCCTCACACTGGAGATAGGCGGGTATGGGATTGTTTCGTTTACGTCCTCCGTCACATGAACATGTAAGCGGCCATCGCTCGTCTCGAGCCTGAGATTCGTGACACCTTCATAGAATTGGATCGCAAGAAGGGACTCGCGAATGGATTCGTAGATGCGCGCGCATTTGTCGCGTTGATACCGCAGCTCCTTCAATTCCCGCTCCAGTGAATAGGGTGGTGCATCGTGGTAATCGCAGGAAATCGTTACTCGGCGCCATCGGTTCGGTGTCTCCGCGTACGTCACAAAGAATTTCTCTCGCTCTGTCCCATCTCGGAAGTGCATGCTCAGGTTCAAAATCCACCGTTGTTCCAGCTCCATCTCCAGATCGATTGAGCCGTCATCTTCCTCCTCTGGCACCCCGAAATTATCCGTCTCCATTCCCGAATAGGGATGCGTATTTACTGGGATATCGTCAATCTCGTGGGCATCGTTCGTTTCGGATTCTGGTTCGGGAGGGTCATCGACCGTGGTTGTGGGCGTCGGGCCGAGCCACTGAACTTCGGGCGCGGACAGTCTGGGGCCCACGGTGGGCGGTGGAGACCTACTTCTCTGGGTGGTCAAGGGGCGGCGGTCGGCGGAGAGGGCACGGCGATGATCAGGTTCTCGAGGAGCCAGTCGCTCGAGATCGGAGCTTTGTCGTTTAAAGGGGGTGGCTCGGGGTAGACCGACGCCAACTTTTCGCGAGAGTCGACGTGTTAAATTGTCTTGTTTGGTACGCGAGTTGTCAGAAGAAGGGCGGGGGGAAATCTCGTCTTGACTCTCCCCGGCAGACGTGTCTCGATGATCGTCGCGGCCCTGCCATAATTTTCGCAATCCCAACCGGTGCCACATGCTCTGCTTTGGCGGATTTCCGCCTTTGTCGTCCAAAGCCAGCCGCGTCGGGCTACGGGAGTTGGGAACAGAGATGGCCATACGGCAAGCCGCTCTGTCGTGCAAGGAACGACTCGAACACCCCGCTGGCTGATTCTCCGATGTCCATAAGAATTGAGACAGGGTCAAGGAGGTAGGAAAGTTAGGTGTCGCACTGACACGATTTTCGTCCCACCAGTTCCAAATAGTCTCCTTTTAGTTCGAAGAGTTGGAAGGTTCACTTCGAGGTCCAACGTCCAAGTGTCGCACAACGTCGGGCTGCAATGGGCGAGGCTGGGAGACCGGTCCAGTACAAGCTCATAAGGTAAAAGGGCGGGTGCAAAAGGAGGAGAGAATATGTCGGTCAAGACGAAATTTCTTTAGATATAAGTGGTTTTCTTTTTCTTTTTTTTTTCCCTCTAAATTTTCTCCCCTAAGGAATCGCCTGCAGCCGTTTGATAGCGGTGATGAGATGCTTCCGCTGCAAGGCTTCGAAATGTTTGGAGGCAAAAGGACCTTGCAGGAGATCAATCAGAAGCCCTTCTAAGGGACACAAGGGTGAGGGAGTAAAAAATCGAGTAAAGATATGATTCATCGAATGGCGCACAGATCAAAAATTCGAGAATGCGTTGCGGCCTGACCCTTATGCCTGATTGGGGGCTCCGTTCACGCCCTGTTTGTTTGGCGTCAATCTATATGACACGACAGCAGCCCTAAATCGGGATACATTAATATGACTCGATAATACGGAGTGCATGTGAGGCCTGCATTATCTTTGCATTATCGCTGGCAATAGCACTATAGACTATACATGTACCTTACTAGGACACCTCCTGCTTTGAGTGGAGTAATCTTTTTTTGGCTCTCGCTCTAATCCATACAGCTCTCACATGGGAAAAGGTCTACTAGCAGTCCTTCAACTCCGGCCATGCATTCCGTGTCGGAAGACAAAGACGCCATGTACACAATAAATCACACAAATCCTATACAACGTAAAACACAACAGGTATATACGACATTACCCAAAGAGGAAACCCAAACCCAAATAGGTATCAGCATGCTACTCTTCCTCGACCTCGTGGCTCTCCTTCTTAGGCTTGGCCAATGCTTTTTGCCAGACAGTACGGGCAGCCTCCTGGTCGAGAGTGGGGAAGAGAAGGTCAAACACTTCGGAGTACCAGTTCACCGGGTGGCCTTCAATGCCCTCCTTGATGTTCTAGAGTAAACAGTCAGCTAAAGTAACCACTAAGAATGGAATGATTTTGATGACTCACCTCAGGTAGCTCAAGCCAGTCAGATGTGTTGTCCGCGGGGAAGAGGACTTTTGTGGCACCAGCCCGACGGGCAGCCACAGTCTTCTCTCTCAAGCCTCCAATGCGCAGAACCTTACCAGTTACAGTCAACTCTCCGGTCATGGCAACGGTTGGCTCAAGGGAGTGGTTCAAAGCCAAAGACAACAAGGCGCTAGCCATGGTGATACCGGCAGAGGGTCCTATTGGAATGGTTAGCCGCCGACTTATTACAATATTAACCAACATAAGTTTCACATACCATCCTTTGGGACAGCGCCTTCGGGGCAGTGCAAGTGGACCTTGGCTTTTTCGAAGAACCGGTTCTCGGGGAATTGTCGCGCCATTACAGACTTAGCGAATGAATACGCAATGTGGGTGGACTCCTTCATCACGTTTTGCAGGTTGCCGGTGATTTCGAGCCCGGGGCGCGAGTTGTGATTCAATGCGTTCTCCAGGATACATTCAACGTACAGAGCCGCTCCACCCATGCTGGTCCATGCAAGACCCATGGTGACACCAGGAGGGAACTGGTCGTACAGGCGGTCGGATGTGAAAACAGGAGGTCCAACGTAATCCTTCAAGGTTCCCTTGCCGATGCTGAGATGCACAGTGTCGGGAACCTTGAGAGCCAGTCGAGGGATCTCTGTGGTCGACTTCTCCGGCTCGACCGGAACTTGCGCAGGATCGGCTGGCTCATGTTCCTTTGACTCCTCCTGAGCAGCCTTGCCCGCTTCAGTAAGTGCCGCCTCTTCGGGCAGCACATCCTCGCCTAGGTCTTGGACAATCTTGAAAGCTGCCTTCCGATAGACTTTTTCGATTTGCTTCTTCAGGTTACGGACACCGCTCTCACGGCAATACGACTTGATCAGCTCCTCGATGGCATCCCGTTCAAGGTTCACATCCACATCCTTCAGACCAGTCAGCTCCCGAGCGGCGGGGGCGAGGTATTTCTCAGCAATTGCCATCTTCTCGTCTGCCACGTAGCCGGACAATTCGATTAGTTCCATACGATCCAACAATGGCCGAGGGATAGTGTCAGTCACGTTGGCTGTACAGACGAAGAGGACCTTGGAAAGATCCACAGGAACATCCATGTAGTGGTCTAAGAACGAGTTATTTTGTTCGGGGTCAAGAAGTTCAAGCAAAGCAGAGGACGGATCGCCCTGGTGACCACGCCCAATCTTGTCAACCTCGTCGATCAAGATTAAAGGGTTTTCGGTTTGACACTTCTTGAGAGCTTGGATAATGCGGCCAGGCAGAGCACCAACGTAAGTCCGTCGGTGGCCCTTGATCTCTGCCACGTCGGTCAAACCACCAACGGAGAATCGGTAGTATTGTCTGTTCAGAGCGCGAGCTATGGACTTGCCGATACTGGTCTTTCCAACACCGGGTGGGCCAACAAGGCACAGAATCTTGCCTTCGACAGTTCCACGAAGCTTGCCGACAGCGATGAACTCAAGAATACGATCCTTGACATCCTTCAACCCGTAATGATCCTCATCGAGAACACTGACTGCGTTCTTGACGCCAAAATTTTCCACGCTCTTCTGGCCCCAGGGGATTTGAGTTAGCCAGTCTAGGTAGTTACGAGTGACGTTGAACTCGGATGCAGCGGGCTCGAGGTGTGCCAGCTTGTTGATCTCCTCGTCGAAGACCTTCTTGACGACCTCGGGCATGGCAAGCTTTTCGGCCTTCTCCTTGAACTTCTCGACAAGCTTGTCTTTCCCGTCGGACTCGATACCAAGTTCTCTCTTGATGCCCTTCATTTGCTCCATCAGCCAGTACTCGCGCTGGCGCTTCTGGATCTTGGCCTCGACATCTTTGGTAATCTTGGATTGCAGTTGAGCGTTCATCAATTCTTTCTTTAGAACAACAAGTGCCTTGGGGAGACGCTCCTCGATATTCATTGTCTCAAGAACTTCTTGCATCTCGTGGAGCTCACCGGCAGATACAGCGGCAGCGAAATCAGCCAATTTCGCCGGTTCGTCGCTGAGATTTCCTGGAAATTGATCGGTGTAGAATGCCGAGATTTGGTCGCGGAATAAAGGATTCAAGGTGGCGATCTCTTTGCACACATTGACAATTTCACTGGTTACCGCGCGGATAATTGGATTTTTCTTGTCGAACGGCTCTTCGGTCAAGTTTTCCACGTTGACAAGGCTGACAGGGTATTTTTTCAGGAAGGATGTAGGTTCGTAATGGTCTTTGGGAGTTGGCTCGGGTGCGCCTTCTTCGAAGCTGGCCACGACATCACCTCGCTTTTCGGTCGTCTTGTCTTCTGACGTAGGTGCGGGTGGAGGTGTAGCGGCCTTGGTATGCTCTCCGGGGGGAAGTAGCGACGAGATCTTGATACGCCGGTGGGGATAAAGAACCGCTGTCACACCGCTTGACTCTCCACGAAGAGGATATGCGGCGGTGATTTGAGCGAAAACTCCGGTGTCATAAACGTCGTCCAATTTCTCAATCACGTCACCATCCGCGTTGTCATCCTTGAACAAGAACGCTCCGACATACGGCTGACCCCGTTTCATCATATCCTGGATCGCAGCGGCGACATTTGGGTCGCGAATAGTGATCGCTTTGTAAAAACCGGGGAACAACGGGCGTTTCGCGATGGGAATTGCCATCACCTGTGGGTAAACGTCGGGAACTGCCGGCTTTTGTAAAGCCTTTTCCCCGGAGGCCTTCTTGCCCTTCTTCCCGCTATCATCGTTGCCGCCATGACCGCCGCTGCTTGCGCCGCTAGGCTTGGAGTCGGCCGGACCATCACTTGGTGGGATGGGCGAAGGTGTGTCATTCGAGTTCCCCTTGCTATCTGATGCATTGGCTTCTTTCTTGACTTCCTCTTCCACTCCGCGCTCTTTATCGGATGACCGGTCTTTTCTCCGCGCGGGAGCTACCTGATCTGCGGAAGGGACATGCTTCCCTGAATCGGCTCCCTTCTTCCGCGGTTCAGGTGCCCGTTCCGTTCCCTTATCATCGTGACTGGTTTCGTCCTCTTCCTTTTCTTCCGATTCCTCTTTAGGGTCCTCTGGCGGGGGTTTCTCTCTACGCCGAATGGAGCTTGCAGAGAAGGCGCGGGAAGACGACGGAAGAGAGGCACCGAAGCGGGCCGAAATTAGTGTTGATCGGAATGTTGCATTATATCTCGGTGATGCAAGAAACGGCCGTCGGAGGAGAGGTCGTGGCGTTTGATGGAGTACAGCTCTCCAGGGGAGGGTCTGGCCGCGGAGCATGCTCCTTGAGTATGAAGTGAACGTCCGGGCAATGGAATGAAGGAAATAAGAAAGGATGTAGTGAAGAACCGTGGCAGCCCGTGACACAGCTCCAAGAGGACAGCAATAAGTATTAGATACAAATGGGGAGAGTGGAAGCTGGAATTCCGTAGTCGGAGCACCCGTCCCCATTGCTTCGGTAAGCAACTCTTTCATCATCATCCGGTGACACGTTTTTCCGAGAAACTTCTCTCTGCCGAAGGACTCGAAGCTTCTGTGATCCGGAGAGAAGCTTACATTGGTTTTGAACGTTATTGGTGCTCTAGAGTTCAAACTGTCATTCTTTTTCTTGAATCATTTTCCCTCAAATATCCATCTCCTTTAATTCTTACAACCACCACTGCCGTCCAACCGTTGTTCGGCTATTACTATCCATGAATCCATCCACGGCATTTCCCAAGGCCGCGGCTTTCCCGGCGCGCCTGCTGCGGACCCAGCGACAGTGCTCTAAGCAGACTTCCGGCAATAGCGTTCACTCATCTACGCAAACAAGAAATTACCATGCCACTGTCTCTGCTTCTCCGGCTAGGAGTTTCCGGGAGGGCGTTTGCAAGAGAAAAGAATCTTTGGTGATATCGGCTAGGGTATGTCGTCTCTACGGACTGTCAGGGTTCGGGTTGCTAATAACATATTTTTTTTTTATCGACAGGCCTTCCACACTACATCTCCTCTTGCGGCTGTTCCCGACCCTTACAAGGTCCTCGGTGTGGATAAGAAAGCATCCGCCGGCGACATAAAGAAGGCCTACTACGGCTTGGCCAAGAAGTACCACCCGGATACCAATAAGGATGCCCAGGCCAAAGACAAGTTTGCCGAAGCCCAGACAGCATATGAACTGTTATCTGACGCCCAGAAGCGAGAGAACTATGACCGGTATGGTTCAGCCGCTTTCGATCAGAATGGCGGGTTCAATCCAAACGCTGGCGGCAGCCCATTCTCTGGTGCGGGAGGATTCCATGGCTTTGGTGGTGGTGCCAGTGGTGGCTTTGGCGGCGGATTTTCTGGCGACATCAACTTTGAGGATCTTTTCGGAGCCTTTACCGGAGGAGCGCGGCGTGGACCCCGAGGTGGGCGTAACCCATTCCAAGAACAAATTTTGGTTGGCGAAGATATTGAGGTGCAAACAAACATCTCGTTCATGGATGCTGCGAAGGGCACGTCTCAGGAAATTGTCATCACGCCGTTAACCAAGTGCGGAACCTGCAAAGGTGACGGATTGAAGTCTGGTGCCAAACGGTCCCAATGTCGTCAGTGCAACGGCACAGGTACCCGCGTTCATCTCATGCAGGGAGGCTTCCAAGTCGCCGCCACCTGTGACGCTTGTGGAGGTTCGGGTATGTCTGTTCCCCGGGGATCAGAGTGCGGCTCCTGCAACGGACATGGCGTTGTCCGAGAGCGCAAGACCATCAAGATAGACATCCCCGGCGGTGTCGAAGACGGCATGCGTCTGCGAGTGACCGGTGAAGGTGACTCCCCGCCAACTGGAACGGCTGTTCCCCCTGGTGCTCGCACCCAGCCCGGTGATCTTTACGTCTCCATTCGAGTTGCTCCAGACCATCGCTTCAGCCGCTCCGGGTCCGACATTCTATATACAGCCTCCATTCCCCTCACCACTGCTATCCTTGGTGGCGAGGTGACTATCCCAACTCTCGACAATCAAGTGAAGGTCAAGGTGGCCACCGGTACGGGTACCGGTGACCGGATCACTTTGTCAGGAATGGGCATGAAGAAACTTAATGGCCGTGCTCGCGGTTTCACTCCCAATGGCGATCTCAAGGTCGAATTCAAGGTTGCTATGCCTAAGTACCTGACGGGCAATCAGCGCACCATTTTGGAGGTCCTTGCAGACGAGATGAACGATAAGACAGCGAAGCGGACAATGAATTTCAACAAGGATAGGTAAGATGCACAGTTCGTCGTGGATATTGGCTTTTGTACTAATTGACTACACTTGTAGCCCCTTCTCTACCTCCAGTAGTGCTGAAGATGCCGCCAAGAACGAAGGTTTCCTGAAGTCTGTATGGCATCGACTCACGGAGAAGCATGATGATGGCTCCAAGCCATCCCAGGCTGACTCTAAAGACTCCAACAAGGACACAGAAAAGAAGGATGCTGACGATAGCAGCAAGGATAGCTCGAAGAAGTCGAGCTGAAAATGTAAATCATCATGTACTCTATATCCGTTTGTATTTACCTCACCCATGTCATAGCGCCGGCGATATTGGGGACCTGTTCTGCCCAGGTCTTAGGGGCAGAATACTTGTATTACTATTCTCGAGTGATAGATGCCTTAGAAGCTCTCTACTTCTGACTGTACTGTGATCATTCCCATCTATTAATTATCTTATATTACTCAAAATTCAAATGTTTTGTTCAATGGCGTTCTATGTATTTGTAGTTGAGCGGCTAATTTGGGGTTTGGCGCCCATCGAGGCACAGCCACGGATATCACATCCCACATCTCCCTCCTCCGACATTCCAACACTTCAACACTCTAGGCGACTCTTTTCTTTCCCAAAATACTGCCATTATTGTGTCACCTTCTAGATTGTTTGCATCGAAGAATACCTGATTGGCCGACGTCATTGACGCACTAGGGATCAGGCGCTGACCGTTCCGTCTCCCTTACCCCACAGCCTCGACTCCGACCCCCTCAGACACGGAGCTTCTGACCATCCCTGCCCCGCGTTTTTTTTCTCTCGCCCGGTTTTCGTATTATTGGATGGGAGCATATCGCTCCTGGCAACCATCCGACAATGGCTCAGTCGCCGATGCTATCATGTCCGTTGAAGCAGACCAACGAGATTGATTGGATCCAGCCCCTCAAGGATTACATTCGACAGAGCAATGGCGAGGATCCCGAGCGATACAACCAAGAATGCGCGACTCTCAACCGACTTCGCCAGGACATGAGGGGCGTAGGGAAAGACAGCGCTATCGGTCGTGATCTGTTGTATCGATACTACAGTCAGTTAGAGCTGCTGGACCTCAGATTCCCCATCGATGACAACCACATCAAGATCTCTTTCACATGGTAGGGGTATTTTTCCGGTGTATATTCCGCTTTTGCTTACTATTTTTCTATAGGTACGATGCTTTCACTCATGCGTCTACTTCTCAATTCTCCCTAGCCTTCGAAAAGGCATCCATTATCTTTAACATCTCCGCCATCCTGTGTTGCCATGCTGCCAACCAGAGCCGGGCCGACGATACCGGTCTCAAGACCGCCTATCACTCTTTCCAGGCATCCGCCGGAATGTTTACATATATTAATAAGAACTTCTTACATCCGCCATCAACCGACCTGAAAGAGGACACCATCAAGACACTGATAAATGTCACACTAGCTCAAGCCCAAGAGGTGTTTTTTGAGAAACAAGTGGCAGACCAGAGGAAGCCTGGGCTTTTGGCCAAGCTGGCTGGACAGGCAGCGTACCTCTACTCGCAGGCTGCGGAGATAATGCAAAATTTCGTGGAAAAGAATGTGTTTGACAAGGTCTGGACGGTTGTTGTGCAGACCAAAGCAGCACATATGGGATCAGTAGCATCATATTATCAGGCGGTTGCGGACAGTGAGAGCGGATCTTATGGAATTGCTATTGCTCGTTTACAGATGGCCGATAAGCAGTCCGCCACTGCTCTAAGCTGGGCAAAGACATTCCCCTCGTCGCCTCCAGCGACCTCCAGTCTGACGGCAGAGGCGGGTCCGAACCTCGTGGACCTCGTCAAGCATAATCAAACAAATGTGCAAGCTTTACTTGCCACTATGGTCAAAGACAATGATTTCATCTATCACCAACCGGTCCCTAATGAGGCTGGTCTTTCACCAGTTGCAAGGGTTGCAGCTGCCAAGGCGATACCGGTTAGCGAATTATACCAAGGACAAGATATTACGGAAATCACTGGGCCAGACATCTTCAAAAAACTAGTGCCTGAGAAGGTAACTCAGATCGCCAGTATTTACTCCGAAGAAAAGGACAAGTTGCTTCGAGCTGAGACTGAAAAGGCCGAGACTGCCAGGAGTGAGCTGGCCGCTAGCTTGCTCTCCCTCGACCTGCCAGGCTCTCTCGATGTCTTGAAGGGTGGCATGAACCAGGACATGTCAGTGGACAGTGAGTTCCGTCGCTGGTGTTCAGAACTTGCTGGTCACAGTCCCTTCCGCAGGGCATTCGACGAGTTGCAGGAGCGCAAGCTAGAAGTGCTATCGCAATTAGATGAGTGCTCAAAGCAGCTAGATCTAGAAGAGAGCGTGTGTGAGAAGATGCGATCAAAGTATGGAGCAGATTGGGGCCAGCAACCCAGCTCTCGACTCAATACCACGCTTCGAGGGGATGTCCGATCTTATCGAGATACTATCAACGAGGCCAGCGCAAGTGATTCTCAGTTGTCTTCCACATTTCGGCAGTATGACAGCGATTTTGATGAGATGCGGTCTGCTGGCGAAACGGATGAGGCCGATGTCCTCTTCCAGCGAGCATTGATCAAAGTCCGTTCGAAGCATAGCAAGGGCAAGGACGGTGCCACTAGTCCGGCGGAAGGTACTCTGCTAGATGATGTGTATGATGAGGGTCGTGCCTCTGTTGCAGAGCAGATTGCTAAAGTGGAGGTGATTCTAAAGAAACTCAATCTCGTGGACCGAGAGAGGTCTCAACTGCTCACAGATCTCAAAGCGGCGGTAAGCATCCTAGCGTGTCTGTTCACGAAAAATCTCTAACTCTGTCTTTAGATCCACGCAGATGACATCACGGAATTCTTGATTCTAAACCTGAAGTCGATTGTCGGCCAAGAAACCGAATGCTTCAAAAAACAATTGCCAAAGTTCCTGCCATATCAGAACATACTTGTACAGGCGAATCACAAACAATCATCTTTGATAAAAGAACTCAACAAGCTATACGATGACCTTCGTCGAGATAAAAGAGTTCAATCCGAGAAGTTGAAGTGGGAGTCTATAACAAGACAGCGCAATTCCGTGCTAGCTCGATACAAGAAGGTCTACGAAGCCTTCCATGGGCTCTCGTCGGGTATCAAGCAAGCACGGACTTTTTACAAGGAAATGTGTGAAAATGTCGACAGTCTCCGCAAGAATGTCGAAACTTTCATCAACAACCGCCGGTCAGAAGGTGCGCAGCTTCTCAGTCAGATTGAGCGCGAAAAGGGTGTGGGCAACAGTGCAGACGGTCTCCGCAGGAATCCCGACTCGTTCAACAACCGCGATCAGTCCAGCGGTGTCTCAGAGCAAGAAGACCGCGAGCGAGAGAAGCTCCGCCAGCTGATGGAGCGCCTATCAACGGAACCTCCCTCCGCGGGATCAACAAAACCGCCCTCAAAAGTCAAGTCACCACCCCCGGCGGTTCAAACACCGGCGTATGGAACCACCGGTCCATCCCCAAAGCCGTCACCTCGCTACCCTCCGACCTTGCCAGGCGTGTCCCACTCTCCAGCGCCCTACGGGCAGTACATGGGAGGTGGTCCAGGAGCTTACCCGGCCCAGCATTTCCAGCAAGGTGCCGCAGCTCCCCTATCCGATGGCTACAACCCCATGGCATATCCTTACCAGACCCCCGTGTCCCCACCCCCGAATCGGCAATTTTTCTCTCAAACCCCGGTCCCGTACGGCAGCTACTCAAACTCCGGCACGCCGGCTCCTGGCGCTGGCCCTCAGCCCTCGCACTATATGGCTGCCCAGGGCTATATCCCGCCTCCGCCTCCTCCGCGTCCCCAGCAGACAACCTATCCTCCTACAGCAGGTCCTACATACGCCTCTGGTCCTGGTGGCTATGCGCAGAGCAGACCGTACGGGCACCACAAGACCCCTTCGCAGTCGCAGCCACAGTCGCAGCCCGGCTCCTCCGCCGATCCGTGGGCTGGTCTCAACGCCTGGAAATAACTTGACTTTCCTGTATTGAGATTGCTAATACTGGCTACATGGAACATGTCGAGCAGGGTGGTATATATATCTCGGCGTTTATGAACTTTTACACTGTTGTTTGAGGTCGCCCTCGGTTGATTCTTTGCTGTTTCATGGGTTTTTACTATGTTGTCTGAATTGTTTCATTTCGGGGGCTTGTCCTGCTCTCACCTTCGGTCTGTATCCCTGTCTTTTCTGCCTTCTTTGCTTACTGGAGAGGACATGCATGCTCTTATGTAAATGGTAAATGAAATATATACTAGCAAGTATGTGGCCGATCAGCAGATCCGATATATATCTTCACCTAGGAACATAGCCTCAAAATATGGAGTACTCACTTCACCCATTGTCCCTAAAGTTCATTCGACTTCTTCGTATAACCTTGAAAGATTTGGAGGCTAGTTTAGCAAATGCTATTACTGCCTGGAATCCTAGAGAAAAACTAAAAATCGCGCCATTGGCGCGTGAATTTGGTATTCCTTACCATCTCCTATCGCCCGGTTAAATGGGCGGCCTTCTCGTTCGACGCGCCACCTTCATAATTCAGTATTAAATGCTGAGCAAGAAGAAGCAATAGTTAGCTAGATCACCCTGCTAGATAATACCAAAATGGTAGAAGCGTGTGTAAATTCAATTATTATACGCGCGAATGAATTGGAGAACACGGCGCGTCCGCCCTAAGACTTCTATAAAGGAGATAGAAATTGAATTGAAGTAAAGACGGTAAATTAAACAACGAACGTCTGTCGCCCAAATGTAAAACACATAGTACCGGGGCCTTATTTCTTGTCTGTATTAAGCTAATACCAATGAACTATATAGTAGAGACAGTGCTCTGCTTTATCATTGAGATTCATCGTTTCTTGCTTTCTCTCCTAGGTGCTATACGTATCGTATTAGTTTATGTTTGTTAAGTATAACATCCTCTCAATTCTGCTAGACTTAATGTCAAGACTTCTGAGAATACAAGATAACATGTTCCGCTGTACTATTAATAGAATGGCTTCAGCGCCTAGTGAAATGATTGGAGCTTCTGGGTACCGTTACAAATTCAAGGAACTGCTTCAAGAAAGACCGAAACTAGGTCGTGTCTGGTTGGCAACGTCTAGGACCCCTTTGCGCGAGAGATTCGAGGAGAGAGGCATAAGACGCTAGGGTAGTACTAGCCTGACTGCTGCTCAGCCGACCGAGATGGTAGTTACTGATAAGTGGTCCACAGGAAGTTGGCCCATGTGGCCAACTGATCAGCAGTCAGGACGACGTCCCTCTCCGTTGGGCCGGGTGGCCGCTCCACAAGGTCCTCGAACTTCAGGCATAGCGGCGCCCCTGTCACGATACCTATGATTGCAATGATTAGTACGGTACTACAGATATAGTACGTGAGTATGGCCTGGGATTACCTGCAACAATATCTACCTCGCCCGTCTTCGTCGGGACCATACTCGGGGTGTTGCGGGTTACGGGCCGGTCGTAAGGCGGAGCAAGGCACCATCTTTCGAGGTGGAGGGCCTGTCTCTCCCCATTTATTGAGATGAGGAGGACTGTCTTCACGTCGCCGCCGGCGTTGACCAGCCACCACCGTGCGTCGACTGCGAGGCGACGCATCGACTCGGAGTATCCACACTCGAGGACGATAGTAGGCCAGTCAGACTCCTGGTTTCGCGTCACTGGTTTATACGCTGTATCGGCTTCCTTAGACGATATTTTGCTTTGGCTTAGGAAGGTCCCCCCCCCGCATGGTGCCATCAACTCTCCATCCCCCATCGCGATAAGCTGCCTCCAAATAATCTGCCATAGGGTCAAGTGAGCGGCTTCGTGAATTGTAGTCAGTATCTTGAGCACGAGAATTTGCAAGTTTGAATTATAGGACTTTCGAATGCCTCTACCGAGGCTTTGTTGCTGATCTATGCTAGTCAATTGCTCCTTCCCAACGTTCCGGCACACGATGAACTGCTGGCAGGAGCTACTAGCCTGCAGTTCCTTCAGTCGGGAGTCGATTTGTTTCTTTAGGGACCGAGGCCCCTTAAAATCTAGAACGACCACGTCTTCCAGTCCTCCCAAAATATCGTCGTTGACTTCGGGCATTTCGTCACGCGGGGTCGACATCTCGGTGGGCGGGGTAGATGCAGACGGGCAGGGTGACAGTGTCGATGTAGCATTCGCTGGATATTCGCTGGACATTCAGTCGCGGTGGACGGCGGCTGATCGAGGCTGGGAGCAGATGCCATTTTGCGGGCAACGGTATAGTCGAGTCGATGGGTAATGACTGGGTAATGACTGCAATGACCGTTGGCACAGCAGTCTAACCTAATTGGTATAGGTCAATCTTGGCACTCCACTTTCAATACACCGACCATTTAATACGGTTTCGCGACTGTAAAATGCACAGAATACCGGAGGATCTATTAATCCTAATAATGTGTAACTATTGTTTATTTTAATTCATGTAATCAGGCTCTATAAATTGCTAGCTGAGCCAGTACTCCATTGATTGGACCTATGTTTTACAGAAACGGTTGAGCCGACATATTTTCGATGCCTTACAGATCAGGCCTCATTCAGTAACTATAAATTCCCCGTATCCCTACTTTCATCTTCGCCCTTGATAAGCTCAGCTCTTGAAGACCATGGCTTTATCCGAAAAGAGCATTATACCGGCCGCTGACCATCAATCATTTACGGAATATTTAGGAGGCTGCAAACGTATCGTTACTCTGCTTAGAGCTGGAATCTTAGCAGCGTCAGGCTTACCTACCTTCTGTGGCGTAGGCGGACTCTGGCGCTCCTATAATGCAACCTCCCTTATAACTCTAGAAGCCTTCAATAAGACTCCTAGTCTTATCTAGTAGTTCTATAGCTATGGGTAATATATGGCCTTATAAGCCGATCTAAATAAAGCATACTACGCCTTGGCGGAGCTATCGCGAAGGAATAAAGATTTCATGACATTAAGCTAAAATATTGATAGTATAGATATCGGACAAGTGCTTCTGTCTAAATTACGAAAATCCCTTTAGTTAGTTATATCGTTTTTAGGTCTCTCTTAGTAAGCGAACTATCCCTCGAAGTAACTAGCTATATCTTCTTTATAGCACTCTATTGTAAAAATATACGTTATGCAGGTGTAAGGCCTGTCAACCGGGTAAGATACAGAGGACTTTGTGGAAGGAACACAATGTATTGATGATATGCTAAGACTAATTCTTGCCAGTCTCGAGGGGGCTCCCAAACTATAAGGAAATCCATCTGCCTATGTTTATATGACGAACCCCTCACAGATCGATATCGAAGTAGATGTACGAATCAGACTAACTAGGGGAATACATAGTCATATGCGAAGTTATCGAATACGTTGGATGTGTCAACAGCCGTGCACCGTTGGCCCCCGTCACCAAATTCAACGAATGCTCACCAGCAGTATAGGCCTTCTCTAACGCTAGCGCTAATCCTTAGGAGATAGCGCAAATAGCTAGCAGAAGATCAAATATCATTATTCCTACTCATACCATCTGGAGACTCAATCAAGGCTCAGGCTTATCGATAGAGTAGGCTTAAAGATCGCTCGCTTCTAAGGCTGAAACAACACCGTTACAAAGAGGCTAAACTGCTTGTTTGCGGTCCCATATTACTGATACTTGTTTATTGCAGAGCTGTGGAAGGATATCGCTATCGCTTACTAGTAAGTCATTTAACGCTTGAAGCTGTCGCTACTCCTCCTCGAGTAGTATTTTCTGCGCCGATTTAACGACGTAGCATTCCTATAGGCAAAAGTATAAGTCAAGTAAAGTATAATTACATAGTGGAAGGAAGAGTCCGCAACCCGCAAACCAAGAAGTAGAGATAGAACAAGATAAACACACGGAACGCCAATGGGTATCTTAATATATCAAAAGAGAAAAGGCCGCCAGATTCTCAAAGCAAGGCAACCCAATAAGCCACATACGCCATGTATGTTCACCGCACCGAACCAAGCGCACCATCAACCAGGACAGCCTAGCACCAGAACGGTGGGATAAGAAGCAGAAGAGCCCTAGCTCTGTCCAAAGCCCTGTATAATCCCATTTCCCCTGCTAGAAAGGGAAAAGAAACGAGAAGAGCAAGAGACCAAAGCTAGACTCCTCACCTTACGGCTGAAACCGCAATCGGAACTGCCTCCCTCTCCTGTCCTCACGCACAGTGTACAGAAACCGCGCAATTGTTTCCTGCTCCGAGAGACCAGCGCTGTTGAAGTGCTTCCTGACAACAAGCGCGAACTGGTCTTTGCTCACGCGGTCCTGGCCGGCGGTGCGGCGCAGCGTGGAGTCAGAGACGGAGTCCGACGAGGTGTTGGTTCGGTGGGAGTGGTTTTGGGATAAGGATTGAGCGCGGCGGGCAGCGAGGGTGGTTGGGGAGCGAAGGCCGACGCCTTGCGAGAGGATCATGCGGGAGTAGTCGCTCGAAAAGGCGGAGGGTGTGGGGAGTTTATGGACGTGGCGGTAGGAGTGGAGCATTTCGAGGGGTAGATCTGTCCAGGGGAGCTGTAGAGGTAAAAGGGGGATTAGGTTATGGTCTCTTCGCTGTGCTTTGTGTAGAGTTGCGATTGATCGTTGCTTTCAGAATGAAACATACTCGGGGCTGTTCTTCGGTGTTCTGGTGTTCCACGATGGGCGCGCTGGTGACCGAGGCTTTCTCTTTTGCCGCAGCTGGCCTGCGGGATTTGGTGGCTTTGTGGTATTCTCTCGTACCACTCGAGGCTTCGGACCTCGAGTCATCCACGATAGCTGTGGTGCGCTGGCGCGGGGGTGCCATTGCGTCCCGGAGCTCGAGGCTGGAGGGATATTGGAATGGGGGTGTTTTTCAATGTCTAGGATTTGAATTGAGGGGTTTCTGGGAGGGTCAAATCATATAGGGACTCGCGGAATAAAGTAGATTGAGTGGATGACGCTCTCAATCTGGACTTGACACCTGAGATTCTCGTTTCCCCGGGCGGCCGGGCGTGGCAGAAACGTCATTTCTGTTTGTAGTTTAGTGCCTAAGGAGAACCTTGGAAAGCGATAAGGACTTATCGCGGAGAGTATTTCCTAATTGGGTGCTACTGCCTAGGATATAAAGCTCACCTGATTTGCTGTGAAACCTGGCTTTTCTATACTACCCATAGCAGTTTGTCGCATTCTGCCAGGCTTCCTCGCTCAATCTATTTGTCGAGCCATCCCAATACTCACTGACGTTACCAGTCCTAGCCATAATTCAAAGCAGTATTACCGTCTATATCATTTGCTCTGGTATCATTACTCACCATTGCAATAAAAGCCAAATAGTCGCATTTTGCGTCTGTTGCTGGGATTCCGTCAGTGACTACAGTTTTCTTAGGCCCTTACCCTCTAGTTTTGTATATTTAGCGGACTTGGCATTCCACGGGGAAGCCATCTAGATTCAAGGGTAGTATATACTATTTGCAATAACTGGATCGTAAGCTACAATTTGATTGCCAGTGAGAGGCAGCGAAGCAACGCAAGGTAGTTTATATCCTAGAGCCGTTGTTCCTGTACAACCAATCCTACCGGGATGAAAGTTACCAGCCAGGAAAGAAGATCTAGATTATGATGTATATATAGAAGATGGCGTGCGCAGATTAGGGTTAAGCTGACGGTAAGATGGTAAATCTACTAGATACCGTTACACGCTAGCATTGGTTGAATCGTAACGGGCGATGACATACGATAGCGGTAGGCGACTAAAGGTTGTAGCCGTGTGAGGAGGATAGTTCGGGGATACTGTATCATAGGTTGATTGCCAGCCTCGATGGCTCCATGAACAGGCAAAGAGGTAGAGAGAGCGGATACTGAGTAGTCCGCTCATTGAATTTGGACCTGCTCATCACCCAACGATGATTTCTGCACCATGTAGACTCATCTGCTCCAGCAGCATGTAGGGTATCAAACATCTCGAGACCGCCTGTCTTCGCAGCAACTATCAGTTCTGTCAAAGCCCGGTATATCATTGTGTGGCATATTGGCGCGAATGGCAGCTGTCAGGGGAGACTCCCAAAGAACATGAATTGCTCCGGATATGGTCCTTTCGATTTGCTTGTGTCTTTGAATAGGCAGGCTCTCATCTGAGCTATATGCTGCATGATATGCCAAATTGGCCTCGAGCAATGCAGAATTGGAGTCTCTGCGGTGCAGATCAGATGATCTGGGTTTTGATGAACAGAAATCTGACCATTTATTTCACTTGAGTCATACATTTTAGTTCTGGGCCAAATTGGCGAATCTTGACATATAAACATGTAGAAATATATCTAGAAAAAAAGGTGTCTCTGTTTATCCAACTTCAGATACATCGCGGGTTCGCAGTTCCCTGCACTCAACATGACCGCAGACATCAAGGTCTTTCTTGCCCTAACCGCACCTGCCCGAACCATGATGGCCTCACAAGGTAAATTCTCTCGAGTCTCCGTCTCTTCCTTTCTCTCTTCTCCTCCTCGGGTCCCCAGCTGATACATGACGGTCTGCTTTCTTGTTTCCGCTCATCCACGTTCTTATACCATGTCCGCCAAGCTACGTTAGTCGATCCCCCCGGATGCTGTGAAGGGGTCCTGGATGCCACACAAAGATCCCTCGTACGGATCCTTGTAGAGGAGGCGAAGGCTCCTAGTTGGGTGGCGAGCATCGTGGATGTCGCCTCCGGTTGGGCAGTCGGCAAGTTATACCACCGCTACAAGAGAAAGTATGAGGAGTCCCGACGACCAGTGCCTACTCGGGCTTGGCCCGGGGTACTTGAGGGATATTTGTGGCACCAGGCCCCTAGATCAGTGCTCGGGGGAGGAAGCTGGTGTCCCATCAAGCCTGTACCTCTGTGCGTGTAGAGGTCCTTCAGTCACCCCATCATCGCTGTACAGTATATCCGTGGTTATGGAGGGGTACTCTGCAAGAATGCTGCGTTATACTGTCTATAGAATTAGATTTGGACAGAGGGAAGGGAGATATTTGCATGACATACCTAGTATGATCTTTATGATCGCTCATAATTCTCCTTATAGCGGAGAAAATACTGACTAGCTAGCTTGAGGCGGCATATATTCAAGTTGCGCCTCATCTAGCCTGAGGCCTTGGCCTCTGCAAGAATCCGTATGAGGGATCTTTGGGTAGCGTCCAGCACCCCCTTTACAACATTCGGGGGGATTGACTAACGTAGTTTAG